GACAAGTGCACAATGGACTGGAACAAGGCAAAAGAATAAGAATGGAAGAATATAAATACAAAAGATGGATATGAGAGGCAAAATCAGTAAGAGACGAGGGGGCTTTCACTTTGGCTCAAACTTCCCCAGAGACCACAGCGCAGCAGGGACATGAAAAAGTTCTGTGTTTGCCGTAAAAGATGCGTATACAGGAGTCTCAGATGTTTCCACTCTGGAATCAGGTTTCAAAGATATGCGCTTTCAGACTCTTCAAATGGCCGGCTTCTATGGATGACACGCTGGATCTGTTTACACAAGGATGCTGCGACAGACAGTTAAACGTTAGAGTTGGGTATCGGATTGGCCTTTTGTTTACATGAAGACAGTGTTTCAGGTGAAAACGCTAGCATTGAGAAACAGCCCAAACAGAACCGATACACTGCTCGGCGGGGGGTTGTTTCACAGCCGTGTGAAGAATAAGGTGTGAATTTTCTGCCTGCTATGACCTCCACTTCCCCACACGTACATCATTTGGACTAGTGCAGTAGCCGAGAACAAACGTAAGCAACAATGGCGGCGATCAACTAATGCTAACGTGGGCTTTGAGCGCTACACGGAGGAGAATTCCACTCATTGGATTGTCCAGTTTCAGTTTCCATTTTCACTGCTACTGTCACATTGAATGATTGGTGCATTCTTTCACGTCTTTGCCGAGGCCTGAGGAGGAAGTAGTTATACTGCTGGAGGTAGCATGAGTCGTGTTGTAAAGTTCCACTGCCCCCTACTGGCCGGGGGCTAGAACTACATGGCTTTCCATTGTCGCGTTGACGCTGTGCACTTCGAATAAGGAGCCTGGTCGTTTTTGCTAATTGTTTTACAGCGTCTCCATCTATTAGTTCTAGATCTAGGTATTAGATCTATTAGTTCATTAATAGCATTATTTACAACGACAAAAACAAAAAATCTATCCATGTTTCTGCAAGAATCAACAGAATAAAATATGATTAGTGCCACTATTGATTGGAATGTTGAATATAAAATATCAGTCCTAGAGCCGACTGAGGATTCTTTCATAATGAGAACATTTGCAACCTCAGAGATACTGACACATTACCCTAATATTCTTGCACTAATGTGTTACCGATTTATCTGCAGATATAGTATATTATACAGTATATGTTTCTTGCACAATAGAGGATGCAGTATTTTATACTTGCTTCTTTATTAAGCTAAAGATAAAATCCCTTATTTTTAAAATGTATAGAGTTGAAACACTGAAATTTCCCCACAATGGGGCAAAAAAAGGATCCGTTAATTTCACTTAAGTTTAAAGGAAGACCACCACAGATCCACAAATGAAACTGCATGAGATATATTTGTCACAAAGTGTTTTGAACTCAAATGTATTCGGCAGCTTTCAGCAGCTGCTACATCCAAATCATCTTAGAGCTGGACAGATGATGAAAGCATTGACAGATTCAGTTCACACAGTCTGAGCCCAGAGTGCCAGAGAAACCAACGCATCAACAACTTCACTTCAGTGGGATCTAAGAACGTATTCTTCTGGGATAGGACACTGTATCCATCATCATGGACTGCTCCCTGATGGCTCCTGTGAAGCATGGCCCCTGTGAAGCATGGCCCCTGTGAAGCATGGCCCCTGTGAATCCCTTTCATAGTTCTTTGTGTATGCTATAAGCACAATATAATTTGAGGTGATTTGAAGGTTATTTTTAAAATGTGTTTGACTGTATGACCATCTATAAGTTCAAATGCAGACTTCAAATGAAGAATTCATATTTGATGGAAAAATATAACATGAAATGCAAACTGTGTAGTTCTTACTCCCATCTAGCGTATAGATCATATATTGCAGTCTACTTCTACCACCAGCACTACAGAAGCCTTCGAGGACCATATGTTGCGGTCATTCACCGGGGCACTAAGGAAAGAATCCTTTAGTTTGATAAATGACCGGCTCTCTCCGTACACTAACACGCCACAAATATGCCTTCACGAACATGGATCTATTATAATAAATAGTTTTACAAACGCGGTGTGAAGGGAAGAGACGCCTGGAGGAATGGGAAATGCTGTGGGAGCTTAAAACCACAATGATCAGAGGACACCAGGACATCGGACACAGCAGAACTGTGGCTAAAAGCAGATTATCTTTCACCAGGCGCTGCATCCACATCACGGAATGAAATATTAAGCTTGTCCCTGAATACGTTTTGTTGAAACTTGTGATAGTTGGACTTGGAGCGGGTCAGAACATCAAGAAATGTTGTAGAGTCTGCCTCGGTCTCATTACTGTCAGTGTGAAGAAATTGTTCCCGTGTGAGTCTATAGTGTACAAACACAATGTGCCTCCCGTTGTTTTAACTCCTTTCGCTGCGTGCAGTTTGCGATGTTGACACTTTGCTGTTATGACGTGGGTTTCTACATTTTTGCCTAATTTTTGTATAAAAGATTGTTGTTTGGGTCGTTCTTACATATCTGGTCCTCCATGGTTCTTTTACATAACTGTGGTCCCGTCCTCCTCCATTGTTCCTTCTTCAAACTTGTGAGGGGTGGAGGGAACAATATTAGTAACACCTGTTTTTGTCACTTATCAACCAATGTTTTTCAAGATGGCGCATTGACCTGGAGAGTAATGGACATTTATAAGTCACTTTCTAAGCCTATGACAACAATTCAAAAACATGGAGGTAAATATTCTTAAAGGTCACATTTGTTATTTGTCAACATGTTTTTTTTTCATTTGGAGCACCTTTACAAAACTACATTAGACATTTTAAGCCTTGAAATAAATCTCATTAAAAACAACATACACAAAAATTCCCTTACACTTTTAAATGTAAGGGAGATTTAAAATGTTCCTTTTTCATGCTTAAATGGATAGAATAGATAATGACTTAATTCAAGTTATTTTATGAGGATCCTGGAATCAAATTGGAAAATGTTTAATCTTCCAATTGTGGATCAGTGTCATGCTAATCTACATCGATGGAATTTGGTCCAAATGCTATCTGCATTTGTCTTTTGAAATCCCAGTCTCAGCTGTCCTGTTGACTGGAGTGGTGCAGCCCTTCGTTCAGAATAGCATAAATGTGATCATAGATTTGCTTAGTGCCATCGACAGAGGCAGGACTCACAAACTCGCACTTTGGTGTAACCTCAGAGGGACAAGGACAATCAAAGCAAACAGCCGAGGATAGATCGACTGAAGTTTGACTGGGACCAATGTAATCTCATTTTCTCTGATCTGTAGGCCGCAATCATTCCAAAAAATAAAATTCTGCAATTCCATTTTATAGTGTACTGGTTTAACTCTGAAATGAGTGACTATTTTACAACCAACGTTGATGAATTACAGTAAATTTAATAAATTTAATTTTTCTTAAAACTAAAATTAGCTAATGTGTGGGTGAAATCCAATTGTGCTTAATATTACAGATAGCAGCTTTGAGGTTAAACTGAACATGGCTTTGTACAATGTTAAATCACATTCAAGTCTATGCCTTGAATGTGATTTAGGGCTGTACCAAAATGAATTGACCATTTTAGGTTTTACAACCTAAAATCTACAATGTTCCATTTTATCTCATCTTCCCCATTTTTAAAAGCATGTCTATACCTTGCATGTATGTTAAATATCTTAATTTTTCCCTAACAACTAATCAATAAATTAAGAGAATTAAGGGGCCAAAATATTCATTAGAATCATTTGAAGTGCAAGTTTGACATTTCAATTACTGCATATGTTGGCTATCTTTGGGAAGCCTCCGAGAACCCACCGTAGGCCCCAGACCACACTTTGAGAAGCTATGCTACAGACCAGTAGTTTTCAAATTTACATGAAAACCGAATAACTGTGCATCCATCACCTGAGGACTGGGAACTGGCTAACAGTCTGTTGGGACAGCTGCAGGTTAGACTGGTGGGGGGTGGATTTGCGTTAGTTCCATGCAAAAGGTTAGATATCTACAATAGATTTCAATAAACAAGAACAGCTGTGGTTGATTTGAAACTGGTTAGAACACTAGTGTTAAAGCCAATATACATGGTTTTGATCATTCGCCGCTCTCAAAAAGTGAACCTAACTTCCACATTCATGTACGGATGTTTCCTCTGGTCCAAACAACGCAATTGTCAAATGGTTTTACATTGTAATGTGAAGGTATGCATATGATCATGCTTTCCACTGGGATTGACAAATTCATTTGTATTAGAATTTCAGATTCATTTATTTGCAGTAAAACCACATTGGAAAACTGCAAGACTACCCCGGTGTGCACCACACACACCAGAGCTCTTGCCACGGCACCATCTTTACGGCGCCATGCGCGATTTCAAATCTAAAATGACTAAAACTATTAAGTCATAAAGTTTTAGACTAAGATTTGTTCAATATTTAGTTGTGCAAGAGTTAAGCAACTTGATGTGGGCATAGACTCAATGCCTTGGGTAGATCTGAAGTCTTAACAAAAATAAGTCAGGTTTACAGAACTACCATGCCCCTTGCACAGCAAAGGTAAACAGATCCCCAGGCCGATGAAAAAGTAGAAGTGTGTTTGAAAGTCCAGCTGGCTGCAGTGAGTCTGGAGGTCACTGCTGCAGTGAGAGCTGAGGTTAACCTTCAGTGAGTGCACTGCAGAACTGCCTTTAAACTAAGATTCACTGGGAAACAGGGAGCTGAATGGTGACTACCCCAAGACCTTAAAGTTTCCTTTAACTAGTATTTTAAGCATGTGGTCATCACTAAATTAGAAGGCTTGAACAGCCTAGTAACAGTACAACATAATACACTCATTTGCTGCCATCTTGTGGATGAAGCAGGACATTTTGGTATTGAAAATTTATTAGGTTTCTATAACTTACAAAACACAGAAAATGTACAGTAGAAAAACACTTTTGAACATTGAAACTTCAGGTGGAGCAAGTAGTCACTTCCTAATAAAGAAAGACAATTAGTGACGTGACTACAACCACACAGTTTATGAGCATTCCTTACAGTCTCAGCTACGACGACAATTGTTCGACTGGAACGTCTTCTTCAGTGTCATTTTGTGAACAATACTCTTCACTTGCAGTCTCGGCTGTAGTGGGCTTAAGAATAGAAACATTAGACCCAAGTACATTTGTCTGAAGTAAATTTAGATTTGCCAACCTCATAGTCAGGATCTTGCTCTTCATCTTCATCATCAGCAGCACATTCCTGGTTAAGAGTCTCCACCCAGGTTGGATGCTCCTCATCCGTAGAGTCTTCATCCAACTCGTCCTGCTTCCTCTTGCTGCCTTTGCCACAAGGCTTTGTAGGAGAAACTCTCACTTCTGAAAGAACATTTTTTTTTGTGAACACTCAGGCTTCACATGCCATTTTCTCACTCCATACACAATGAAACTTAAGCCACAGCTGCCCTCAGACACCATCAGCCCCTTCAGACCAACCATTCACACACTAGACACCAGCCCAGCTTAGGTCTGACTTTCACATGCAGGTATGGCCACCATATGGGGGATTTTTTTATTTTTATTAATCAATGCAAGAATACATTTTGTCCATTCAGACCCAGGAGTTTCATGAAACATGATAGAATGGAAAGTTATTGCAGTAGCAACTAAAAGATTCTTAAAAATGCAACGCCGAGAGACATGTCATTTAACTTTAGGGCATTGATAATAAAATACCCTAGATGACTTCTGAAACTTGACCTGCCCTCGGTCAGTATGAGCCCTTTAGATTAGTCTATAAAGCATCTGTGACAGGTCACCGATGGTAGCACAATGGTTAATGCCAATTAAGTAACAAGAACTTAAAATTGGAAAAGTACTGCTTAGAGCATTTTACTTGTCAGGAGTTACCTGGCGAGAGGCAGCGACCGATGCTTGAGGACACTGGGTATCCCAGCGCGCTCTGCAGCCACCGCGGCAGGAGGACGAGCAGCACACGGGTCACTCTGTGGAGGCGCTTACGGCCCGTGAGGCTCTGGCGCCCGGGGCTGGACACATGCTGCGGTTCTCCCAGCACCGTGTCAGCAGGCCGCCTAAACCCAAGCACCATCCACAGCCCTCTGGAAGCGCGGACCTACAACAGCAGTGGGTTTGGTCAGACAGTTTACTGCAAATACAGATATTTAAGAACTACATACGCACCACGAAGCTGAAGGGCCACAGGAGCCCACGAAGCATGAACCGAAACACTCCAACTCTTTTAACGATTTTCTTCTGTAAACAGTTAGAACACAGGTTTCATAAGGCCTTACCCTTAATGTTAATCTACGGCTGGGGTACCACCATAAGTTAAATATTAGGGAAAACAAAATTAACCTGGAGTGAACAAGAATATTCGCACAATCGACGAGTGAAAACCATGGATCTATAATAACGGTGAAAACTAGAAAGAATATTATTGTAGCATTTTCGTGCCTTGGGAAGATTCAAAAAACTTTTATTGTTTGGTTTGAGCTTAACAATAATCTAGAAGAGCCACCAATGCAAGAGCTGTCGGAAGTGTGCAGGGAAAGTGGCGCTGAAGTCAAACTGAGCCTACCTCGTCTTCTTGGGCCTGGGTCACCTCGGTCACCTCGGTGTCTCTGACGTCTTCTAGGGCCATAGTGTCGTGAGGTGGAGAGCGCCTGGTCTTGCTGACGGGTGGAGGAGGAGAGGAGTTGATGAACTAGTGGGACAGAGCTCCGAGCTTTTGTACATCCCAGGCCCAGAGCGCAGCCAGTGAGAGCAGGAGCACCTGGAACCATCAGCCGGGCCCAATCATGTCAATCAGAGCTAAAGCTGGGGTACCTAACTTCTGTTTTCTGTCCATATTCACTCGTAGAGCACTTTTCCTACACAAAGTAACACAACATGCTTCACAGCCTTATGGGCTTTCACATGTAGTGTTACATAAGTCATCTTAATTAAAACATTATACACAGGGCATTAAAAACAATCATTAATATCACACAAACAGGTGAACAAATATTACAATCACACAAGGCAATAAGATCATAAATAATCACAGGGCATTAAAAAGAGTAAAGCGATCCTTCAGCATGGCCAAACAGAACAGTTTTTTAACCTGGATTTGAGCAATGTCACTGTTGAAGCCTGTCTCACAATTTTGGAAGGGCTTGAAAATTTCTTCTTTTTTGTTTATTTAAACCCACTTGTATTGTTGACAAAAGAGTTGAATAATTGCAACTTGGTGGGTTGCTGTTTTGTACAAATTATTTTTGAAACTCCCCGGATTAAAAATGTTGCAGTAAAATGGAAGAAGAAAAATACATTTTAAGATGAACATTTATTAACATGTATCACACGTTATTTTCCCTCTTTTAAAATAACATATCTGGAAGAAGACTGGATGTCATGGTCTAAAATGCTGCAGGAGAATGTAGCATTTCAACGGTCACATAGGTTTTACCAACGAACTAGGCCAAGTGGCCCGGATCTGGGCCACAGGGTGAAACCATAGACTGTATATATTAAGAGGGTGAAACCAGTGGGGGCGGGTCCCAGCTCAAAAGTGGCCAAAATGACGTGCGCTGACATGCTTGCAATACCACCCCGGGCCAATGGGGGTGGACCATAGACTGTATATATAAACGGACAGAGTCACGCCTATCTCCGCCGTTCTAACTAATGGGCCAAAAATGTGCTCTACTGGAGCAATCCAAAATGGCCGCGAGTGGTCCCGCCCACAAGAAAATTGTGAAAAAACGCATCTGCGCATGCGTCAAATGAATAGAGTTGCGCCGGCTGACGCATGCGCATATGCGTTTTTCACAATTTTCTTGTGGGCGGGACCACTCGCGGCCATTTTGGACTGCTCCAGTAGAGCACATTTTTTGGCCCATTAGTTAGAACGGCGGAGATAGGCCTGACTCTGTCCGTTAATATATACAGTCTATGTGTCACAAGTGTAAAAACAGGTTCTTCGGACCCGGATTTAAAAAGGGACCACTAGATTCAAAGCGAATTAAAAGCAATTTATTACAAAATACATTAAAAACAAGTAAATAAAAGCAATGAAACCCTAAGCTAAAAAAAACGGAGTAAAAAGCTAAAACAGGCTAAAACGCGTCCCCACGGCCTGGGCCGCCAGACCACGGGGCTCTCACCCGCCACGTCGGGCTCCCGTCTCAGGCTCTCTCTCTCCGTCTCGTTCTGTCTCCCCCTCCCCGTCTCAGTCTTTTATTCTCAAGGCGCAGGTGTCTTGATTGCTCACGTGGGGAGCCGGGGTGCTTCAGGTGGTGCCAGTTAAAATCAATATTAAAAACACACAAACACAACATGCATAAAATATGAATAAAACCATATTAAAACCCACCACCCATTTTGCACCCCCTGACATATGGGTGAAACACGGCCGCGGTCACAAGAGCTTCTTGCAACCGTGCCAGAGCAACTGTGCTGTAGTACAACGCTCGGTCCAGCTGGTGGCGCTAATACTAACTCCAGCAACGACCTCGTTGTCCGAGTGAAGTTTCCGTTTCTCTTCCTGTTTACATTCTGCTACTGAAGCTAACTACTCGAGTACGGATCGCGTTGTTTAGGGAAAGACACATCTCACACTTGTAAACAGTGCTCTGATGCAAAGTGCCACAGTTCAGTGGGTCACATGTGTGTGTGGCACGTGTGTGTGGCACGTGTGTGTGGCACGTGTGTGCGCGCCGCGGACACGGGAGCGCGCCTCTTAAGTTACAAGCGTAAGAGCGCTGAGAAATGAAAGAATGAAAAGTGTGGAGTACGAGCAGAGCGACCGGAGCCGTGCTGGATACAAGTGTGTGTTGTGTTCTGGTGATTAAATAAAGACTGATTCTTGACCGTTCCATTCCATTCCATTTTCTTCCGCTTCATCCCTTGCCGGGTCGCGGGGGCAGCAGTCTAAGCAGCGACGCCCAGACTTCCCATCCACACCTCTTTCTTGACCGTCTGAAGTCTTATTGCAATAGCATCACACTGAGAGAGCGAGGGTCAGGACAGAGGGAGTTATCCCCCGTAGGAAACGCTTCCCTTTGGCCCCTGCTGCCCCCCGTCCCAATGGAAGATGTAATGTGACGAGCAACATCAAGTCCCCACCACACCTCATCCCCACCACCCGCTACACTGACCCCCCTCATCTGGTCTTCACACGCGGGCCCTGGCCCGAGTCTTCAAAAGTGCCTGGTAGCAATCGCGCCCAAGCCCACATGGCACGGTCACGTAGCACCTAAAGCCCGGATCTAATCGCGAAGTGGGCCCTGGCCCACTTAAACCGGGCTAAAGCTGCGCATGTGACCGCAGCCTAAGGTCTACTTAACTGCGTTTTTTATTATGTTAGAAGTTGCCTGAATAAATACAGTAAACACTGCTGAACCGTTTACCAAGGTCCATCCATCCATCCATCCATTTTCTTCCCCTTAATCCACTTCTGGGTCATGGGGGTGGCAGTCAGAGCTGCACCCAGTACACATAGCACCAGCCCCTCACTGATCCTCCTGCAGGTGGTGAGTCCACAGGAGCTCTGATCTTTCAGTGGGGGCTTTGGGCAAAGTGGGGTTAAGTGTCGTGCCCAAGGACACACCAACAGCAGACGTCAGTGGGAGTCATGAAGTAGGTCTCGTGGTGGATTCGAACCTACGACCTTCAGGCCTAAAGGCCAATGCTCTACCAACTGAGCCACTGTCGCTCAGTGTTCCAATAAATTAAACTTTGGTTAAAGAATAAAACAGGATCAGTCTTTAGAAAACAAGGCACTCCCTCCTTCATTAAAATATTTGTATTTCTAAGGCTATAACCAACATGTTTCAACCTCAGCTGATCTTCATTCGTGAGGCCTGATGAACACATGTTAATGCTTGTAGGTCCATTAGTGAATGGTTCATCAGAAGAGTAAACGCTTGTTTCAGTGTCGTAGATGCAGAGCATGTACTAATGGTACTTTAGTTCTAAACAATACCTCTCAGGCATTCTGCGGCTACTCAAGTTACCATATGAATAGGACCGTCATTATGCAACCTCTCAGCCTGGTGATATAATTGGATATAATATCTGGAAGAGTTTTTTGTCATGAATGGGCATGTGGTGATGCACAGGAAAGACCAAATTTATTTCCTCCAAATCTATAAAAGCAGTTTCTCATCCCACACTGTACTGCACTCGCAGGCACCATCAGCACAGAGATGGAGAAGACCACAGTGACGAGAACCTTCAGTATTGGAGCCATCAGCAACCGAGTCCAGGCTGTTTCTTCTGAGGACTTCTCCACCACCCGCAGACACAGCAGTGCTGGGCTCAGGGCACTGCTCTGGGCTAACAACAGTAAGCTCTTTGGATGCTCTCTCAACTCAGACTCCCAGAGCAGCCTGGAGAACACCTTTCCAAACATCCTGACCCCTGGCAGCATTCCTCAGTTCACCATACCCAATCTGTCAGTGACCAGCAGCCTCAGATCTTTGGACGCTTCCACCACAGGAGATGAGGAGGAGGAGAGTGAGGGTCGTGGGAGCTCTGAACAGGACTCAGCATCTGCAGCCAACTCCAGCAATTCCTTGTCTGGCCCGAGATTGTGTGTGCGTAAGGCTGAGCGCAGTGTGTCTGACCCCCTGAACCAGAGGAGGGTTTTACAGCAGAGGGATGTCTCATCTTCTCACACAGGGGACCACCAGTGCCTTGATCCGGCCAGCAGGGCAGCCTTCTCCCTGCCACACCTACCCAAGATCACCACTCCTTATGGCTTCATCACCCTGAGCCAGAGCCCGCACATGGCCAATGAAGAGGCTCTGTTGCGGTGTAAGGACGTTGACACCATGTGCAGGTATCGCAAAGCTCCTCTGAGAAGGACGTCCCAGCAGGCCGTGTGCAGCCAGAGACTCTCCTCTACAGACACACCAGCAAACACTCGGTGCACCACCCCTGCTTCCTGCCAGGTCACTGCGGCTCCCACAGATGGCAAGTTCAAAAGCCGCTTCCGTGAGATTATAAGAAAACATTTTACCACCCGCAACCGATAGACTTCAGAATGTTTCTCTGACTGCTCCTCATGTTTTACTTTGCACAAATATTTTATTCTAAATATGAAATACATGCGCAATTGAATATAAACAAAAACATATTCAAAAAAGGATACATTGTGTCACCCTTTTGGAGTATTAATACTGCTAATAAATTAATGCAACAAACTGTTTTTTTCATGTGGGATATGTTTACATAAAATCTTATATTTTATATCTAATATTTTGTATCACGTTTCTATGTTTCTTTGTTTTAGCTGTGATTTTGTATTATATCATTTTGAGTGTAATTCATCTTGAAAACCCTTCCATTTGCAGCCTTTTGATAATGGGACAGTGAGGCACTTCAGGGTCACTTCAAGTGAAGGTCTTCAGCTGTTCACGGCACACAATAGAATGGAGGCCCTTTCAAAGAAAACGAGATTAGACTTCTGAGAGTTCTAGGACTAACATTAATACACTGTATCATAAATGGTTTGTGTTTGTTTATAGCCACATGTATTTTAGTTAAATTAAAACAAAATATATCAATTACTCATTCTACTTTGTGGTCAGTTATAGTAAAACATATTTCTGGATAAACTACAGAAAAAGCAAAAATACAGTATGAATATATTTATTGAGACGTTTGTGTTCTCTTTTTAGAATATTGTTTTATTTCAAAGACTTCTTCATGATGCAGAATTGCACATTTGGAGAATGCCTTCTGTCTTTGTGGCAGGCCTGCTCATTTATAAGATGTTAAACTGAACTATTTCTCAATAATGGCTCAGCCCCTAGAGCAGTAACTTCCTGTTACAACCTCAAATGCAGAAAGAAAAAGTCTGAGCAGCAAGATAAGGAGGAGAAGAAGAAGAAGCAGCATGTACAGGAAGTAAATGACAGAGCGCAGTGAGACACCTGTTTGCTGTACATGAAACAAAGTTCTTTAAAAAACCAACACATTTCTCTGGGTTTTCATGGAGTCAGATTCAAGCCTGACAGGGGACCTCCCTCCAGCTCTGCCACTGAAACATTGCAGGTAAGAAGTCTGTGGGAAGAGGGAAGCAAATGTACATGTTTAACTTTGTATTGAATGACTATTCTTTTATTTTAGAAGCCGGAACCGATGGAGTGTGGGTAGTAGTGCCCCACTTAGCCCTGGGCTCCAGGCTCCCTGCACACTCAACGATGTCTTTGACTCCACTAATTGTCACGCATCTTGCCCCATACATAAAGACTTTGGTATGTGTAAGATTTTATATTCCCATCACACACGTCACTGTCTGTATTGCATGAACTTACTGGAAATGCACATTTCTTCCCTCACTAAGAAGTCAACAGTGGAAGCAATATTTGCATATGATTACATGCCACAACATTTCCAAAACGTCTTTTGTCAAAGCTAATTCTAATTATTTGTCAAATGTTATAGCGCTCTATTTCAGTGGGAGGGCAGCTTAATGCAACTCTATTGGAAAAGACATTTTGTAAAGAATTAAAGAAATTATAAACAAGTATAAAAGAAAAATGCATTCAGGAACCCACCAGTTGAAAGTATTTTCTACTGGTGCAAAGAACTTTCTACTGGCCAATATAATGCATATGTTCTTTGATTATTGTCACCACCTCTAGACACCGATATGAGAATAATAAGACCATAGTTATATGTGATGACAAAGAAGATGTGGAATTTTGACAGTGGATTGGTCCAAGAATTTGAGAAAGTACTTCTAAACTAAGACTAGAAATCTGATTTTTTTCACTATTAGCTAGAAAGATTTTTCAGCCACCCTTCAACACAATTTCAAACTATAGGCTCTTTGAAATGTACAAAGTATGAAAGGTAATTCATATAACAATTGTTCTGCTTGGAGTGATTTCGTTTACTTCTGTGATTCATTTTCCTTTGTTCATGACCCCAGATTCAGTAAAACTCCAGATGAGGTTCATGTCAGACAGTACCCCTCCTCCTGTCCCAAAGAAGAGGCTGGTGCGTACCCTCTCCTTGCCTGCAGTCCCTGTCCCGCGGTTATGTCCGGTGCCCCCTGGTCGTTCTCCTTGTAAGCATCCTCACAACTTCGACAACCCGGTGTACATGCTCACCCCAGTGCGAGAGCCGGCCTCATCAGCCCCCCTCCTGCCCCTGTCCCAGCTCTCCTTTGACACCCCTGATGAACATTTGAGCCACTTTTTTGTGAATTTCAAAGACCGGAATGCAGTATCCCAGTCAGTCGAGCATCGCCACCTGATCTTCCTCAGAACCATGGCCCACAAGATGGAGGAGGATATGCTTCTTAAAGAAGAGCTATCAGAGAAGCCAGTCAGCACATATCAACCACAGGACTTCCTGTTGGATGAAGACAGTGAGCCAAAAACTATTGCTGGAAGAATCTACTACTCTGTGCACAGCCCCATGTTCCCAGGAAGGACACTTGGACTTAGGGTAAGCTCACCTTAGTGGGGACAATTTTATAGCATGTCCAAATATATCCAGTTTTTTGTGTTGTTGTTAGTAGATTACTCAATACCAAATATTTATTATCTTATCAGTGGCAGTAATGTCCTCATTTGATCTATTATTTCATTTCCGACCAGTCTACAATATGGTTTGTTTGTTTTCACAGATATGCACGCAAATGGACACATCTGTTTCAACACGCACCAATCTCCAGCCCGCTCATGTGAATGTAAATCATATTTTAGCCTCCTTCCGGACAACTCCAAGTATGATGGACACCTGCAAAAAAACTTCTGCAACCTCTCCACATCGAGGCAGTATTGAGTGTGGCAGTAGTGAGTATGGCAGTGTGTGCACGGTGAAACATCTGCTTTGGAAAGGCCACAGTGTTGTCATAGAGCGAGACCTTCCTCTGGCTACTCTGGAGAACTTTGTTCAGGAGAAACAGGGTCTGCACAATATGGACTGTGTGCTTTATGACAGACAAGTGTGCTTTCTGCTACTGCAGATATTACAAGGAGCTCAACATTTCTACAATAATAACACCAGTGTCCCTAGGCTGATGCCACAAGACATTGTATTGGTGTGGCCACATATAAAAAAGGGAAACAGGTCATCAAAAAGAAACAACAGCGTTATTAAGATGGGCCATGAAGCCTTTGTGCAGACGATGTGGAAGACGCGAGGGTGCCCCCGTGTGGTTATTTCCACGCCCTCCTTTGGCCTTCCTGTCTCTCAGTCTGCTGTGTCCTTCAATGCCAATATTCGTGCTTTAATTCAATATTGTCTGAATGTCCACACGGGTCTTGCTGCACTGTACATGTCCACATACAGGAAGGCTCTGTTATCACTGGGATCTCAGCTCAATGACAACAGCAGCAGTCATGTACATCACATGGTGAATGTGCTGCAGATGGCTCTTTGGGGTCCTGGAGCCCTTTCTATCAAACATATTGATATGTCCACGGTACAGAGCTGGTTAGTACTAAAGAGAGCTATGTTAGTGATGAAGATGGCAGAGAAATGTGTAGATCAGACAGATGTGGACTGGGAGGACATCCTGTGTCTAAAGTTTGTTGCATTCACTGAAGCAGAGACTGTGCTCAATGAAACAAGTCTGCCTGAATAAACAACTTTTATCTAGTTCCTGTGTGTAGTATAGATAAGCCAGGAATCATTCCAGTGATTAAGTAAGAGCCAATGACGACCGTGGACCAGTCAGTAGATTCATTCACCCATGCACACAGAAGTTGGCACTTTGATCCTATTTCCGGGCATCGCCAGCTCTCAGAGATTATACTGATGGTGACTTGTGGTGGTAAGAAAATCCGAAAGCAAAATACCACATCCCTCTTGTCAATCAGCCCAAGAGTGTGCGCCTTAGAATGTTTCTCTGCAAGTATCACAGCAGTAAATGTGTTTGTCTTAATAATTTGTCTTAATAATTTTATTAAATTGCATGCTTCTGTGACATAACTTCTGATAACAAGTACCAACATACTCCCAGTGTCATATTCATATTACAGTATACCCACTCTTCACGGGGTCTAGAAAGGCCTTCTCAGGACATTCAAAACATGACATTATACATAAACGTACAGGAAGAACTTTAAAGGTCTTTCCATTCATTGCTGCGTCATGTTTTTTTATCTCAGTGACTGACAAATGATAAATATCCAATAAAGCCCAGCCCACTTTCTGTTGATCCTCTCCAGAAAATCAGTAAATGTATAGCTGTTTTTAATTTACTATTAATGTGAGTATTATGCAAATTAGCCAAGAATGAGACCTTTCTACCATCTGGGCATCATATTGGCCCTATGACCTTGTAACTAGGCAAAAGCACCTCAGAAAGTTAAGCAAGTGCTATGGTCACTAATCAGGATGAGCGGTTAATCTGCACCACCTGCAGAATTACCCAACAGTGCTTGGAACACCACAACCTAATCCCAAAATATACCAGAGGAAAAAAAAAGTCTACGGGGGGAGCACTTTTATTCAGTACAATTACAACATGCACAATTCTATCAAGTGAACCAAAATGAATGGAATCATGCACACAATTAAAAAATAAAGAGATACGTTTTGATATAAACAAGCAAATCAAAAAGTCACCTACAGTAAGACATCCATTTGAGTAAGTAAATGAAGTAGACATTAGCCATAGATCATACGCTGAGGAGATAATTGGTGGAGTGTTTGGGGAGATGTGTCTAAACAGCACTACGCATGAGAAAGTGGCGAGGAAGCAGAGCAGAGGGGTTTGCCGAGACCTTGCTTTGACATTCCTGGAATTTTAAATTTTTTACCCTAGTGCAAAATATGTGTAAAACACGGCACGTGGCAGGTCAATAGTCACACACGAGAAAACCTGGAAACCTCCACCACACAGAACTGAATTTTTAACATTATAGGCTCAAAAATTAAAAGCGGATGCACTGCTATTGGATGCGAACGAAGAAGATCGACAAATGCAGGTTTTTTCTTTTAATCGTCGTCGGATGAGGAGTCTCGCTCGATGCTGTAAGCCATGAAGAAAGCGTCAGGGCGGGAGGGGACAAGGGGATGGCCCGGTCTCACAATCTCAAAGCCCAGGAAACTGAAGGTCCGCAAAAGAGATGCTGTGGGGAGAGAGGGACACACTGAAACTGGAGAACAGCGAACATGAGAAGTTGTTGGACTTAAAAGGTCGGGGCCTACCTCGGTCGTCACGATTCTTGTGAAAACAGATGAACACGTGGTTGGCTTGTAGTTGCACTTCAGCGAATTCGAGCAGAAGAGCAAACCTGGGAAACGTATTCAAATGCATTCATTATTCTGTGTCAAACTCTGCAAAAGCAAACAAATTAAAATATTTCACAAGTCGGGCTGCACTGATGATTGGTCATTCATCGCAATTAGGGCGGATTTTGATAATGCCTCAATGACAAAAAAAAGTTACAATTATTTAATTATTCATTTGTTTAAGTTTGTATACTGAGCAGTTTATCGTTAACCAAAAATAGTTATTGATTATTGGAATAAACAAATCTATAAATCATTACAGCCCTAATTACAATTCAAATCAACATTTTAGTGGATGGGATTAGCATAGACTGCAACAAAACCTTACCCTAGCTAAATGAAAAAATTGCTTAATCTTAATTTAAGATTTTTAGTACAATTAATCAATGCAATTTAAATCCTGCATTTCTTCAATTTCTGCAATGTACCAAAGAAATGTGGTTGTAATACATTTTAAACATTTAAAAAAGTTCTTGTGTGAGCGTTAAATAAGAAAGAACAATACAAGCTGTTGCATTGTTTTTTTCTAATTCACTTTTAAAATATGTATCAAAAATCAAATTACAATATTACTCAGAAAAATGGCAATTAGATAGTTTCAGAAACCATGCAAATGTTTGCTGAACTCTGACTGACCCATCTTTGCTGCCCTCGGGCAAAGCTCCAGGAGGGATTTCGACGTACAGGTTCCCTCCCTTCAGCGCAGCCCTCCACACGCTGTGCTTGCCCTCCGAACGTTTAGGCTCAAACAGCAAGAAGCGCACTCGGCTGTTAGCAGGAGCGGGCTCTTCAAGAACTAGCAACTGAGCATCCTGCAGGAGAGAGGAGAGGACAACATCAAGCACAACACATCAGAGAGAAACTAGAACCACAGCTGCACACGGGAATGAACACCTCAACACGAGAGACTAAACCAGACGCACCTATATCAGGTTCAGGTCATAGAGAGTCTGTGCCACATAAATAACCTTCAAATTAAACAATAGTTATTGTCCCAAGACAAGGAGTCATTTTGTGGCTAAACCAGACCACAACTGGCTGTATTCAACTTATTAGAAAACATTTTAGTTACACAGAAGTTCTTGGCTAAGTGAGGGTGGTCCCCTTTTTGTTACTCTTAGAACTCAATTATGTGAATTAAACCAACTTATTGTTTGCGAAAGTATTTTAACTATGTAAATCTATACTATGTAAACTATAAAATCCCTCTAAACATGTAGCTCCTCAACTCAAACCTTCAAATAGAGACTAAGGAATCTAGTTTGCAAAGATAACATTTTCTACTGATGTTGTGGTCTGATAAACACTTAACCCTTTCTAGTAATAAATAGATATATACTTTATTGATCCCGAAGGAAATTGTGCACTGGTCCCTTGCTCGCCATCATACAAACATACATAGGTTAGAGTTAAAAGAAGCAAAATAGTTAAAAAAAGAGACAATAAATACATTAAAATCATCAAAAAAGAAGTTAAGGCACTGCAAAACAATTCAAGACTCCCTCCCTCCCTCCCTCCCTCCCTGAAGTGGCCATATTGAGACAAACAAAGATTATTTTTGTGGGGAAAATAAAATAAAAGGTCAGTCCTGCAGCTTTGAAGATGACACGACATCAGCTCTGAGTGAATATCCGACATTGGAGAGTGATTATTTAATGATTAGCATAAAGTGGCAAGAGCAACTTTATTGCCAAAACACACCAACATTCAACTGCATCCTGCCCGGCTCCGGTCGCTCTGCTCGTATGCCACACTTTTCATTTTCATTCATTCATTTCTTGCGCCACCCGCACCCCTGTTTGTGAAAACTCATGTGCTCATGCCCTCAGACTAGGATATTGTGTAACTTTTAACATCCGACTTACAGAGTAGAATAGCTTAGCTGAAAGATTGTGATCCCTCTGGTCATTCCCTCGCCCACCTGGGATCTTCAGGGGTGGGAGAGGGGCATCAGGAGCACCACAGAGGCCCTGGACACGGGTTACTGCAACAGCGAGAGCACCTCCGGGGGGTGGAGATACTGAGGGAACACAAAAACATGAAAGGAGGTTAGATTCCACACTAGCAGAAGGCAGAGGAAAAGGACCAACCATAGCATGATTTCACAGAGGAGGAAGACACTGACAAGAACTAAGCAAAACCAGGACATTTGTGACTGCACACCGCGAGAACAGTGTTATTTCTAGCAGAACCCCACAATTAAAGATTTTAAAATTGAATTATTAAGCAGACAGAGAACTCGTCTTGAAGCAAAGTTATAATTCTCCTGACAATCACAAGGGTTTTAAAGAAGTGAACACAAACTCAGTCAAACAAACAATGTTCTGTTTTTAATAAATGGTCTATTACGCACGTCACCTAACAGCTGCTGCGCCTAAACCTCCAAAGTACGCTTGTATAACTTGTTTAACCATTAGCCTACTCCGTATTTTTCAGCTGTTGGGGCAAATAAGAGTGTTCTAGTAAAGCAATTGAGATTGTGATGCCAAAGGATTAACCTGGTTTATTCTGATGCAACGGTGCACTGCATACATTTCAGAGTTCAGTTTAAGCCTCTTCTCAGAACGCCTGCAGGGAACAAAACCCATTAGGAGCCATATAAAGCACACACCAACACTTACGCAAGTACCACCGCTCTGCTATATGCACTACATAATATGTGTCAGCACTAAATCTAGAATGGGGCAAGTGATATCAAATCTAAAATCACTCTCAGGGATCTTACACAAAAGGACCCACATAGCTCCAAAAGCATTTGTACCTAACCTTGTATACTTCAGCAGAGTGAAAATAGTGACTTGGTTGAAAACATCTGTGCAGCTCACATGTGTTGCGCAAGAGTATGTTATAAACGCCTTCAAAAACAACTACACCTCCTCTTGATGAGTTTTGAAATGTTTTGACATGCAACAGGTTAAACAAAATGAATCATTAAAGTGTGTAACAGCAGTTCAGTGCCACAAAAGGTAAAAAAAAAAAAAAAACCTCCAGGGTACAATGTGTCAACACAGGTCTCCAATCTGCCTGTGCCTCCCCCTTTTCAGAGGAGTGGAAATTTCCTATGAGTGTAAGCGCTGAACACAAACTACATACATACAAACTCGCACAAATGCTGACACTAAAGTAGGACAGATTCTTTTGGGGAAACACCTCTACACAGTCTATGATCCCCAGCACAATGAGAAGTCTCAACAGAGATTGAAAACAAGGGCAATACAAACAGATGCGCAGTTGTTTGCAGAAAAAAATGAAACGGCCAAAGGTCCAAGGACAATACAACAAACTAAGATGGAAACTAAAGAGAAGGCTTTTAATAGTTAAAGCCTTTGCTCTGCTGCTATTGGGTCCAAGGCCAGATCCTAAATACGCTTTAAACAAGAGAACGGCACCATCAGCCCTCATCTAGTCATTCTTATGTGGACGACATTTTGTATTGATCATGGATTTTTTTTTAAATGCATTGCAGAGTGCATTGTTTGTGTATTGATTTAAATGCATTATAATCGCCGTGCGTCATTGTCTAAAATATTCAGCAAACAGCGAGCTAAATAATGCAGATAATAGTCATTTTACAACCCTTTTTATTCATTCTTTAATACCAATAACTAAAACGGGTTTTTACATCTAAGGTCATCTCAGCGGTCAGCAATAGTGCCAAATTTCTAAGGATCCGCTTACAAGCATTTAATGTTTCTATTGCAGGGTACGGAGAGTACAGGACTCGGTAAACATTATGTAATCTGAGCCCATTTCACGTTAGGTAAGTCAATTTGACATTTGTAAATAAACTAAACGGTGATGTCTGAGAAGAGATTGTGTTGAGCAGCAGTGCAGTGTTGATCTATTGTTGACCTGACAGGTGAAAGTGAGGCTGTATGTAAACAGGACGACTGAAGCAGGAAACAGCGCTGCTCCGGACACAGGCCGCAGCTAGCTTAGCATGCTAATACTGCTAACACTGCTAACACCGCTAACACTGCTAACACCGCTAACACCGCTAACACCGCTAACACCGCTAACACTGCTAACACCGCTAACACCGCTAACACCGCTAACACTGCTAACACCGCTAACACTGCTAACACCGCTAACACCGCTAACACCGCTAACACTGCTAACACTGCTAACACTGCTAACACCGCTAACACCGCTAACACTGCTAACACTGCTAACACCGCTAACACCGCTAACACTGCTAACACCGCTAACACCGCTAACACCGCTAACACCGCTAACACCGCTAACACCGCTAACACTGCTAACACCGCTAACACCGCTAACACCGCTAACACTGCTAACACTGCTAACACCGCTAACACCGCTAACACTGCTAACACCGCTAACACCGCTAACACTGCTAACACCGCTAACACCGCTAACACCGCTAACACCAATGGATCTATGCTAACACTGCTAACACCGCTAACACTGCTAACACCGCTAACACCGCTAACACCGCTAACACTGCTAACACCGCTTACACCAATGGATCTATGCTAACACTGCTAACACCGCTAACACCGCTAACACCGCTAACACCGCTAACACCGCTAACACCGCTAACACCGCTAACACCGCTAACACTGCTAACACCGCTAACACTGCTAACACCGCTTACACCAATGGATCTATGCTAACACTGCTAACACTGCTAACACTGCTAACATTGCTAACATTGCTAACACTGCTAATGCTAAACATACCTTTCGCTTTCTGTTGGATTACTGGTCTGCTCGATAACAGGCATCTCGGATAAGTTTCTCTCTTTTTCTCTAACAAAACAATGACTATTCAAAATCGTCTGAAGGTTGGATTTAACCATCCGGCCAGCGTCGGTCGCAGATGCTCCTGGATGCCGTCCTCCCCGTGTGTCTGCAGCGCTGAGGGCAGAGCTGTATTTGACACAGGGGCGGAACCTGCACCGTGACGCGCTCTCGGATCAGACCTCATCTTCTTCTGTGCTGGTCTGTGGATCCGTCCTTGTCTGTGGGTCTATTGTTGTCTGTGGGTCTGTGCTGGTCTGTGGGTCTGTCCTTATCTGTGGGTCTATTCTTGTCTGTGGGTCTATTCTTGTCTGTGGGTCTATTCTTGTCTGTGGGTCTATTCTTGTCTGTGGGTCTGTCCTGGTCTGTGGATCCGTCCTTGTCTGTGGGTCTATTCTTGTCTGTGGGTCTATTCTTGTCTGTGGGTCTGTGCTGGTCTGTGGGTCTGTCCTGGTCTGTGGGTCTATTCTTGTCTGTGGGTCTATTCTTGTCTGTGGGTCTATTCTTGTCTGTGGGTCTATTCTTGTCTGTGGGTCTATTCTTGTCTGTGGGTCTATCCTGTACTGTGGATCCGTCCTTGTCTGTGGGTCTATTCTTGTCTGTGGGTCTGTCCTTATCTGTGGGTCTATTCTTGTCTGTGTGTTCTTGTCTGTGGGTCTATTCTTGTCTGTGGGTCTATTCTTGTCTGTGGGTCTGTCCTGGTCTGTGGGTCTGTCCTGGTCTGTGGGTCTATTCTTGTCTGTGGGTCTATTCTTGTCTGTGGGTCTATTCTTGTCTGTGGGTCTATTCTTGTCTGTGGGTCTATCCTGTACTGTGGATCCGTCCTTGTCTGTGGGTCTATTCTTGTCTGTGGGTCTGTCCTTATCTGTGGGTCTATTCTTGTCTGTGGGTCTGTCCTTGTCTGTGGGTCTATTCTTGTCTGTGGGTCTATTCTTGTCTGTGGGTCTGTCCTGGTCTGTGGGTCTATCCTGTACTGTGGATCCGTCCTTGTCTGTGGGTCTATTCTTGTCTGTGGGTCTGTCCTTGTCTGTGGGTCTATTCTTGTCTGTGGGTCTGTCCTGGTCTGTGGATCCGTCCTTGTCTGTGGGTCTATTCTTGTCTGTGGGTCTGTCCTTGTCTGTGGGTCTATTCTTGTCTGTGGGTCTGTCCTTGTCTGTGGGTCTATTCTTGTCTGTGGGTCTATTCTTGTCTGTGGGTCTGTCCTTGTCTGTGGGTCTGTCCTTGTCTGTGGGTCTGTCCTGGTCTGTGTCTCTGTCCTTGTCTGTGGGTCTATTCTTGTCTGTGGGTCTATTCTTGTCTGTGGATCCGTCCTTGTCTGTGGGTCTATTCTTGTCTGTGGGTCTATTCTTGTCTGTGGGTCTGTGCTGGTCTGTGGGTCTGTCCTTGTCTGTGGGTCTGTCCTGGTCTGTGGGTCTATTCTTGTCTGTGGGTCTGTCCTGGTCTGTGGATCTGTCCTTATCTGTGGGTCTATTCTTGTCTGTGGGTCTATTCTTGTCTGTGGGTCTATTCTTGTCTGTGGGTCTATTCTTGTCTGTGGGTCTGTCCTGGTCTGTGGGTCTATCCTGTACTGTGGATCCGTCCTTGTCTGTGGGTCTATTCTTGTCTGTGGGTCTGTCCTGGTCTGTGGGTCTGTCCTTGTCTGTGGGTCTATTCTTGTCTGTGGGTCTGTCCTGGTCTGTGGATCCGTCCTTGTCTGTGGGTCTATTCTTGTCTGTGGGTCTGTCCTGGTCTGTGGGTCTGTCCTTGTCTGTGGGTCTATTCTTGTCTGTGGGTCTGTCCTGGTCTGTGGATCCGTCCTTGTCTGTGGGTCTATTCTTGTCTGTGGGTCTGTCCTGGTCTGTGGGTCTGTCCTTGTCTGTGGGTCTATTCTTGTCTGTGGGTCTATTCTTGTCTGTGGGTCTGTCCTGGTCTGTGGGTCTGTCCTTGTCTGTGGGTCTGTCCTTGTCTGTGGGTCTGTCCTGGTCTGTGTCTCTGTCCTTGTCTGTGGGTCTATTCTTGTCTGTGGGTCTATTCTTGTCTGTGGATCCGTCCTTGTCTGTGGGTCTATTCTTGTCTGTGGGTCTGTCCTGGTCTGTGGGTCTGTCCTTGTCTGTGGGTCTGTTCTTGTCTGTGGGTCTATTCTTGTCTGTGGGTCTGTCCTGGTCTGTGGATCCGTCCTTGTCTGTGGGTCTATTCTTGTCTGTGGGTCTGTCCTGGTCTGTGGGTCTGTCCTTGTCTGTGGGTCTATTCTTGTCTGTGGGTCTGTCCTGGTCTGTGGATCCGTCCTTGTCTGTGGGTCTATTCTTGTCTGTGGATCCGTCCTTGTCTGTGGGTCTATTCTTGTCTGTGGGTCTGTCCTGGTCTGTGGGTCTGTCCTTGTCTGTGGGTCTATTCTTGTCTGTGGGTCTATTCTTGTCTGTGGGTCTGTCCTGGTCTGTGGGTCTGTCCTTGTCTGTGGGTCTGTCCTTGTCTGTGGGTCTGTCCTGGTCTGTGTCTCTGTCCTTGTCTGTGGGTCTATTCTTGTCTGTGGGTCTATTCTTGTCTGTGGATCCGTCCTTGTCTGTGGGTCTATTCTTGTCTGTGGGTCTGTCCTGGTCTGTGGGTCTGTCCTTGTCTGTGGGTCTGTTCTTGTCTGTGGGTCTATTCTTGTCTGTGGGTCTGTCCTGGTCTGTGGATCCGTCCTTGTCTGTGGGTCTATTCTTGTCTGTGGATCCGTCCTTGTCTGTGGGTCTATTCTTGTCTGTGGGTCTGTCCTGGTCTGTGGGTCTGTCCTGGTCTGTGGGTCTATCCTGTACTGTGGATCCGTCCTTGTCTGTGGGTCTATTCTTGTCTGTGGATCCGTCCTTGTCTGTGGGTCTATTCTTGTCTGTGGGTCTGTCCTGGTCTGTGGGTCTGTCCTGGTCTGTGGGTCTGTCCTGGTCTGTGGATCCGTCCTTGTCTGTGGGTCTGTCCTGGTCTGTGGGTCTGTCCTTGTCTGTGGATCTGTCCTTGTCTGTGGGTCTATTCTTGTCTGTGGGTCTGTCCTGGTCTGTGGGTCTGTCCTTGTCTGTGGATCTGTCCTGGTCTGTGGATCTGTCCTGGTCTGTGGGTCTGTCCTGGTCTGTGGGTCTGTCCTTGTCTGTGGATCTGTCCTTGTCTGTGGGTCTGTCCTGGTCTGTGGGTCTGTCCTGGTCTGTGGATCTGTCCTGGTCTATGCGGATGATTGTCAGATCTATTTTCCCATCGCAAAAAATGCTTATGGCCCCCTGACACCCCTACTCGACTGTCTATGTGACGTCAAGGCTTGGTTGACCCAAAACTTTCTTAAAATGAATGATAAAAAAACAGAAGTGATTCTCTTTGGGGCCAACCAGGTGGATGTGGGACCGCTGAGTGAACATGTGCGTCCCACAGTCACCAACCTTGGCGTCACTATAGACAGTGATTTTAAATTTGACAAGCAGGTCAACAGTGTTTTAAAATCGAGTTTTTATCATCTGCGGCTTTTATCCAAGGTTAAAACTTTTTTATCTTTTAACCTTTTTGAAAAAGTTATGCACGCTTTTATTTCTTCACGTCTGGACTACTGTAACGCACTCTACTCCGGTATTTCACACAAGGCACTTCACCGGCTACAGTTAGTCCAGAACTTTGCGGCACGGCTTTTAACAGGAACCAAAAAGCGCGACCACATCACTCCCGTCCTTGCGTCCTTGCACTGGCTTCCTGTTCATTTTAGAATTGATTTTAAGATTTTATTGTTTGTTTTTAAAGCTCTGAATGGACTGGCCCCTCCTTACATCTCGGACCTCATCCAGATTTACCACCCGCCCCGCGCACTGAGGTCCGAGAGCCAGCTCCAGCTCGTGGTGCCTAAGACGAGACTTAAAACCCGGGGGGACAGGGCCTTCTCTGTGGCTGGACCAAAGCTCTGGAACGCCCTGCCCCCCCACGTCAAAACAGCTCCCTCGTTGGAATGTTTTAAGTCACGTCTTAAGACCCACTTTTATTCTCTGGCTTTTAACACCGCATGAGTCGTGTGGTCCTCTGTGTTTTTATTTTATTTTATTTATTTATGTATTTTCTTATATAAATGTGTGTATTTATTTATTTGTTGCAATTTTGCATGTTGTGCAGCACTTTGGAAACTGCGTGTTTATGAAATGTGCTATATAAATAAAGTGGATTGGATTGGATTGGATTGGTCTGTGTCTCTGTCCTTATCTGTGGGTCTGTCCTTGTCTGTGGGTATGTCCTTGTCTGTGGATCTGTCCTTATCTGTGGGTCTGTCCTTATCTGTGGGTATGTCCTTGTCTGTGGATCTGTCCTTATCTGTGGGTATGTCCTTGTCTGTGGGTATGTCCTTGTCTGTGGATCTGTCCTTATCTGTGGGTATGTCCTTGTCTGTGGGTATGTCCTTGTCTGTGGATCTGTCCTTATCTGTGGGTCTGTCCTTGTCTGTGGATCTGTCCTTATCTGTGGGTCTGTCCTTGTCTGTGGGTCTGTCCTTATCTGTGGGTCTGTCCTTGTCTGTGGATCTGTCCTTATCTGTGGGTATGTCCTTGTCTGTGGGTATGTCCTTGTCTGTGGATCTGTCCTTATCTGTGGGTCTGTCCTTGTCTGTGGATCTGTCCTTGTCTGTGGGTCTGTCCTTATCTGTGGGTCTGTCCTTGTCTGTGGATCTGTCCTTATCTGTGGGTATGTCCTTGTCTGTGGATCTGTCCTTGTCTGTGGGTATGTCCTTGTCTGTGGATCTGTCCTTGTCTGTGGGTATGTCCTTGTCTGTGGATCTGTCCTTGTCTGTGGATCTGTCCTTATCTGTGGGTCTGTCCTTGTCTGTGGATCTGTCCTTATCTGTGGGTATGTCCTTGTCTGTGGATCTGTCCTTATCTGTGGGTCTGTCCTTGTCTGTGGGTCTGTCCTTGTCTGTGGATCTGTCCTTATCTGTGGGTATGTCCTTGTCTGTGGGTATGTCCTTGTCTGTGGATCTGTCCTTATCTGTGGGTATGTCCTTGTCTGTGGGTATGTCCTTGTCTGTGGATCTGTCCTTATCTGTGGGTCTGTCCTTGTCTGTGGATCTGTCCTTGTCTGTGGGTCTGTCCTTATCTGTGGGTCTGTCCTTGTCTGTGGATCTGTCCTTATCTGTGGGTATGTCCTTGTCTGTGGATCTGTCCTTGTCTGTGGGTATGTCCTTGTCTGTGGATCTGTCCTTGTCTGTGGGTATGTCCTTGTCTGTGGATCTGTCCTTGTCTGTGGATCTGTCCTTATCTGTGGGTATGTCCTTGTCTGTGGATCTGTCCTTGTCTGTGGGTCTGTCCTTGTCTGTGGGTCTGTCCTTGTCTGTGGGTCTGTCCTTGTCTGTGGATCTGTCCTTATCTGTGGGTATGTCCTTGTCTGTGGATCTGTCCTTATCTGTGGGTCTGTCCTTGTCTGTGGGTCTGTCCTTGTCTGTGGATCTGTCCTTATCTGTGGGTATGTCCTTGTCTGTGGGTATGTCCTTGTCTGTGGATCTGTCCTTATCTGTGGGTATGTCCTTGTCTGTGGGTATGTCCTTGTCTGTGGATCTGTCCTTATCTGTGGGTCTGTCCTTGTCTGTGGATCTGTCCTTGTCTGTGGGTCTGTCCTTATCTGTGGGTCTGTCCTTGACTGTGGATCTGTCCTTATCTGTGGGTATGTCCTTGTCTGTGGATCTGTCCTTGTCTGTGGGTATGTCCTTGTCTGTGGATCTGTCCTTGTCTGTGGGTATGTCCTTGTCTGTGGATCTGTCCTTGTCTGTGGATCTGTCCTTATCTGTGGGTATGTCCTTGTCTGTGGATCTGTCCTTGTCTGTGGGTCTGTCCTTGTCTGTGGGTCTGTCCTTGTCTGTGGGTCTGTCCTTGTCTGTGGATCTGTCCTTATCTGTGGGTATGTCCTTGTCTGTGGATCTGTCCTTATCTGTGGGTATGTCCTTGTCTGTGGATCTGTCCTTGTCTGTGGGTCTGTCCTTATCTGTGGGTCTGTCCTTGTCTGTGGGTCTGTCCTTATCTGTGGGTATGTCCTTGTCTGTGGATCTGTCCTTGTCTGTGGGTATGTCCTTGTCTGTGGGTCTGTCCTTATCTGTGGGTCTGTCCTTGTCTGTGGATCTGTCCTTGTCTGTGGATCTGTCCTTGTCTGTGGGTCTGTCCTTATCTGTGGGTCTGTCCTTATCTGTGGATCTGTCCTTGTCTGTGGATCTGTCCTTGTCTCTGGGTCTGTCCTTATCTGTGGATCTGTCCTTGTCTCTGGGTCTGTCCTTATCTGTGGGTCTGTCCTTGTCTGTGTCTCTGTCCTTATCTGTGGATCTGTCCTTGTCTGTGTCTCTGTCCTTGTCTGTGGATCTGTTCTGGTCTGTGAGTCTGTCCTACATCAGCCCTGACCAGTCCTGGATCTTTCCAAATACTGAGCGACGGAGGCTGCTGCTTATCATTTCTAGGCCCCAGCAGCACAAGTTGGCGAGAGGTCTTTCACCTCAAGGGCCACGCAGCGACATAACAATTTAACGCCCTCACGTTTACACACCTGAACGCACTCCTTCAAACTCTCTGCACGTCATCTACAGCTGTGGAACATCTGAATTTAGCCTCAGATCTTTGATAACTCTCAAATACACAAAGACATATCAGTAATATAAAAAGGGACCCAAAAATATATGTATTCTTCAATGAAAGGGAGCCCAGGCTTTGTCATCATGTATTTGGCTGAAGTTCCATAACATTTAAGTTCCGTAACATTGAAATCTCTAATTTTCTTTAACTTCCAAGCACATGTCCCTGTGCAAAACTGTGCCGCCGTATAGGACCAGTCTGTGCTATGATAATATCCATAATACACATACAATACTAGCCTGGTCGTACCACACCATAGTACAAATTACATTAAGGTCTGGATTTGCTCCATGGGCTCTATGCACGCACCACTTCCGCGTTTTAGCTACAACCCCACTTGACTTCCTGTGCGCGGGGAACGGCTTGAGTTTCACTGGAGTTCAGCAGATGTTTACACGGGTTTCAATTTCTTGATAGAACCAGACCGGATTACTTTACTATCGCATTTTTCGCCATTGCCAAACTACGACCTTCCCGTTCGACGCAGACTCTTGACGTCACCCACAACTAACTACAACACTCTCCTTCCGCGCTCTCTGATTGGTCGGTCGAAATTCAACCGATTGTAATCGCTAACACAGGGACCAGACCCAGACGTTACATGCAGTGAAATGATTGAGCGGAGAGTACGGATGGATAAGGCCAGGCTAATACGATACACACGTCTTAATCAAGTTTTGTAAACTTAAGGATTATTTCTCCTGGAAACTGGTTGTAATTCATCTCAGAATGTTTGATTTGACTTCAAGTAATATAGGTATACATCTGTGTTTTTACGTTTCTATGAGTATATGAGCTTGAAAGTTACATTTATGAGGTGACTGACAATAAATACGGCTAAATAGGGCGACAGAAGCTCAGTTAGTAGAGCATTGGGCTTTGAGCCAGAAGGTTGTGGGTTCGAGCCCACCATAAGATGAGCAGCAAACTCCCACTGATGTCTGCTGTCGTTGTGTCCTTAGCAAGACACTTCACCCCCATTGCCTAGAATTAGTCTGGTGTGTGTGAAGGGTTGGTGGTGGTCGGCACATACTGGTTGCCTCGCTTCTGTCAGTGTGTCCCAGGGCAGCTGTGGCTACAGTAGTAGTTTTTCACCACCGTGTTTGGAGTGAATGAATAATGACATGTGAAGCGTATTTGAGTGTCCAAAAAAGCGCTATATAAAACCAATGCCTTATTATTATTATTATAAATGCAAATGTTCCACTGTTGGAATGTTTGAACAGAGTTGGTTTAATACCTATTACTATTTGTGGGATTTGAATGAATTGATCACAACATTCACAATATTGCAGGAAAGGACACTCACACCAACACAAACACACGTCTGTGGAAGAACAGCCACAAAGAGGTCACTGCAGGAGACAACATAATGAAGTCCTGATATAAAAGGGGCGTGTGGCGATGAGCTGAAGCTCTTTGACGCCCTTGGTAACGGATTTTCCTGTTCTTTCTATTGTCAGGCCTACTCTTGACGACATGGAGCAGGTCGGCATCATGTCTTGGGCCTCAGCGCTTCTTGGATACAGTAACCCTGAGCTGCATGTGCTGCTGTCAGTCACAGCGCTGAAGCATAGATCCCACTCACAGGCTCATGTCAGGGCAGAGAAAGGCAGCACGAGGGCAGATTCGCAATCTTAAACTTTTTCCCATCAGGTAAGTGTCGTCTTCTGTTTATTCTAATCTAGTGCAGGGTGGGACGCATGTTGCAGAAGAGAAACTGATCTAATTTAGTCCCTCAGTTATTCATGACTGTGACATACATTTCAGGCTGTGCAGCTGCACCGCACACAGAGCTCCGACATTTGTAAATCCGTCAATAAATCAGCATTCAGAGTGAGAGAGGAGAGGAGCATTGGTGACACTACAAGTAAGACATATTACTTTTTTGTATTCAGCATTAACCATACTACAGTGAAATGATTGAGTATATTTATCTTTTCAGTGTCTTATGAGCGTATTCTGTCAATCACAGACTTAAGTGAGGTACAGAACCCCTGGAAAGGGGTCACCATGAATCGCTGCTTGGTTCTTGCCCTGGTCGTGCTGCTTGTGAGCTCAGGGGTCAGCGAATTACATGGTAATAATAAATATCACACAACGTTTTGATAATTATATAATGTATTTATATATTTTCTTTATTACAGAAGCTGTGGATTATGTTGTGGAGGAGACAGGAATTATGTCTTTCATAGGAAGTCTGCAGGACGGATCAATATTGCAGGTATATTATTATTGTTCAGAACATTTGAAACAAATATTGCAGGGATGAGAACAACTGTCTTTGTGATTGCAGTTTTCTGTGTGGGACAATCTAAAATCATGGTGGGGAGCTGAAGAACTGGGGACGATAAGACGCAGAAAAAAGCCCATCGGCAACAAAGCAATCCTCAAACCAAAAACCAAGCCTTAGTGTAGTGCTACCTCAGCCCTTTGTGCTTTAGAAGGTCTATAACCACAACAGAATATACGTCACACAAACTCTTCTGGACGTTTCTTTGAAATGGACAATTCCACCTCGCTGTTCTATCATGCACGTTCAGAACAACATTAGTCTGATCACTGTTCTTTAATGGATGGCTCTGTCTCTGAAGCTGTGACAGGTGCATGACATTATTCGTTTTAGAATTATACTTCCTGTTGTAGATGTGTTACCTAGCAACCATCTCATATTTTTGGGCCGAAACTGATGATAATTAAATAAATGACTAATAACTTATTATCGTGTAAAAATACAGTACATGTTTATTCAGATGTGGGAATCATTAAAGTGTCTAAAAACATATTTTTTGTAAATTGTGCCAAACTTTATTTGACTAAAATTAAGATCTACTTTGTGGTGTAAACTATTTCAAAGGCTTTGAATAAGAGGAGCTTTAACAAACTTTACAGGAGCGATAAAGCAAGATATTGACCACACTTCATTCAACCACAACATTGCAACTGCATAAAGTACACACTTATATACGTATGAGGTAGTACTTCAGTAAATTATATATTAGCATATTTAAACAATGAATATTCCACAACTTTGTAAAATCTTGTCACTAAAACTAGAAATTTCAATACACCTTTTGGCACCAAATATTTTCAGTGCCTCGAAAAAGAAATATCTATCTGCTGATCAATGTAGAAACTATTGGTTAAAAAACGTACATGACCTCCAGGGGGTACACAAGAGGATTACGGGGGGTATGAAAAACTGTATCCGAACTAGAATCTCCCACCATAACAAAGTGTCTTCCCTTCTGCAGTTGGACTTGTGAACACTGTAGAACTCCCCCCTTTATAATCATCATAAACCATACTTTCTGGATTATTAGGCACAACCGAATAAAAGCCACACCCGCAACATTTTAAAATAAAATCAGTTTTGTCCACACATACGTCAACAGAAGCCGCAGGGGTTCATGTTGTAATGTAGCAGAACTGTTTTAACCGTCACAACAGGATTTAATAACAAGGTGTTTACAGGAACAGCCTTAGCTTCCATGTACTCATTCACCAGTCTGTTTTTAAACAAGTGTCCCATTGTAACCAAAACTTGATGGAGTCAAAATAATAATCCCGTTGACTCTGCTCTGACAACTCTACCTCAATGAAAACATTATTAGCTGCGTGAAAAGAATAAAGTACTTCTGTCATTTTATACTTATACTATCATACCTTTGGACACTCATTCATAATATCCATCCATCCATCCATTTTCTTCCCCTTAATCCATTTCTGGGTTAGGGGGGTGGCAGTCAGAGCTGCACCCAGTCCACACAGCACCAGCCCCTCACTGATCCTCCGGCAGGTGCTGAGATTTTTCAGTGGGGGCTTCAGGCAAAGTGGGGTTAAGTGTCTTGCCCAAGGACACAACGGCAGCAGACATCAGTGGGAGTCTTGAAGTAGGTCTCATGGTGGGCTCGAACCCACGACCTTCAGGCCCAAAGGCTCTCTACCAACTGAGCCACTGTCGCCCCATATTCAAAATATGTACTGTTAAATGCCTTCATATCTATTTTTAATTTTTTTTTTACTTCTCCGTAAAGCAAAGGAAATTCAGAGTTTGTGACTTAACATGGTACTTCCATTGGCAATAAAAATAAATATCTTTGTCATACTTTTTTCTAGAGACAAAGTTGATTATATTCCGTTTGAAACAAAAAAGGAATCAGTGAAATATCAAACTTTTTTATTTCTACACAAGCACACAATACGAAGCAGCTGAACACAGACGTCATAGGTACAAACTTTCTATGGTGGAGGTCAGAGCTTTATCACTTTATTCTAATTGTGAAAACTTGTCAACTTATTGTTATAATACTTATGGACAGTTCAGACTGAGCGCTGATTGGCAGTTCAGAAAGATGGTTAAAACCGGTTCTGAAGGTGTGATAATACATACTGCATTTACAGGCATATGTTTTGTGATGGATTGAAACAACTTTGACGCAGACTTCAATTTTTCACTCCCTCAATGCTTTGGAAAACCCTTCGCTTTAGCGGCATTCACAGGCCGTAGCCACCATGTCCGGCTCGGTCTTCAGCGTGGTCCCCAGCTCCCCCAGGTCCACCACTTCCATCTTGTCGTAGGCCACGGGCACACAGCAGGGGGCCCGCTCGCTGCTGTGGCCGCTCTCGATGTGGGAGTTGAGCAGCACGGCGTGATTCCGGGTCAGGCCCATGGGGAAGGCGCACACCCCCCTGCAGTTCTTGATGTCGGCCGTGTTGGGGCTGATGAGGTAGCGCTCCAGGGACACGGTCAGAGTCTTCAGGCCGCAGATGGACGGTGCGTTTGGGTTGGCCCGTGCAGACCTCTGGGCTCGGGGTGGGTTGAAAGCACGTCTGGCCATCTGCAGGGCTTTGAGGAGGAGAAAGGCTCGGTACTGAAGCGTCCCTGTACAGACAAGTATCATTTTACTGCATAGATCATGGAGACAGTAAGTAATCTTTAGTAGTAAGGACACTGGCCTCCAATCAGCACCATTCATTCACACACTCATTACATTCATACCTATTGTGCATGTCTTAGTGGCTAGCAAACCGGAGCACCTGGAGAAAACCTATGCGGAGACAGAGAGCATGCAAACTCTTCTCAGACAGGCCCTGTTCCGACCAGGATTCGAACTCAGGACCTAAATACAGTGGTATTTAGAGCTGCAGAAAGCAATTTTGGAGTTCATGGAATAGTGAAGGTACAGATATTGTGATTATTGTGATTATTATAATGTTATTTGCATTGATTCTATTGCTCCATCTAATGACAAACAATTTTCCCATTGGGGACAATAACGTTTTTAGTTGAGTTGATTTAAAGCAGGGGTACCCATGTCCTAATGATGTTATTTTCGTCCCCGTAATTCATCTATTTATGCCACTGTAGCCCCCCAAAGAAGCAGGGGTACCCATTTTGTCTGCTGTTTTTGTCTTATTAGAAAGGTTATTGTTTGCAAACTTGTACGGGGAAAAAAAAAAAAAAAAGAAGAAGATTGAGTCACTCTTAGGTTCACTTGTGAGTGTTTTTTTCCGCTGGTATCATGTTATTTCATGATAATTTCATGTTTGTACAAGATACGGATCATGGTATTTCATGATATCAATTTATTATGAAATAACAAGATACTGTAGATACAGAAGAAGAAGCTGTAGACGTCAGACCTTTTAATATTTACAGTCTAAGGCCAGAATGTGGAATGGCTCAGACAAAGGACCCGCTTTGCACCTTTCTGCGACGGCGAGGGGTGTCAGAGGAATCTTTGTTGTGGAGGCAGAAAGATCGAGTCAGTAATAAATGTGAACTTATGAACTGCTATCACCATAATTACATACAGTTCCTTGCGAAAGTATTCGGCCCCCTTGAACCTTTCAACCTTTCGCCACATTTCAGGCTTCAAACTTAAAGATATAAAAAAAAAAAAAATTGTTGTCATGAATCAACAACAAGTGGGACACAATCGTGAAGTGGAACAAAATTTATTGGATAATTTAAACTTTTTTAACAAATAAAAAACTGAAAAGTGGGGCGTGCAATATTATTCGGCCCCTTTACTTTCAGTGCAGCAAACTCAGTCCAGAAGTTCAGTGAGGATCTTTGAATGATCCAATGTTGTCCTAAATGACTGAGGATGATAAATAGAATGCACCTGTGTGTAATCAAGTCTCCGTATAAATGCACCTGCTCTTTGATAGTCTCAGGGTTCTGTTTAAAGCGCAGAGAGAACCATGAAGACAAAGGAACACACCAGGCAGGTCCGAGATACTGTTGTGGAGAAGTTTAAAGCCGGATTTGGATACAAAAAGATTTCCCAAGCTTTAAACATCTCAAGGAGGACTGTGCAAGCAATTATATTGAAATGGAAGGAGTATCAGACCACTGCAAATCTACCAAGACCCGGCCGTCCCTCCAAACTTTCATCTCAAACAAGGAGAAGACTGATCAGAGATGCAGCCAAGAGGCCCATGATCACTCTGGATGAACTGCAGATAACTACAGCTGAGGTGGGAGAGTCTGTCCATAGGACAACAATCAGTCGTGCACTGCACAAATCTGGCCTTTATGGAAGAGTGGCAAGAAGAAAGCCATTTCTCAAAGATATCCATAAAAAGTCTCGTTTAAAGTTTGCCACAAGCCACCTGGGAGACACACCAAACATGTGGAAGAAGGTGCTCTGGTCAGATGAAACCAAAATCAAACTTTTTGGCCACAATGCAAAATGATATGTTTGGCGTAAAAGCAACACAGCTCATCACCCTGAACACACCATCCCCACTGTCAAACATGGTGGTGGCAGCATCATGGTTTGGGCCTGCTTTTCTTCAGCAGGGACAGGGAAGATGGCTAAAATTGATGGGAAGATGGATGGAGCCAAATACAGGACCATTCTGGAAGAAAACCTGTTGGAGTCTGCAAAAGACCTGAGACTGGGACGGAGATTTATCTTCCAACAGGACAATGATCCAAAACATAAAGCCAAATCTACAATGGAATGGTTCACAAATAGACGTATCCAGGTGTTAGAATGGCCAAGTCAAAGTCCAGACCTGAATCCGAGAATCTGTGGAAAGAGCTGAAGACTGCTGTTCACAAACGCTCTCCATCCAACCTCACTGAGCTCGAGCTGTTTTACAAGGAAGATTGGGTAAGAATTCCAGTCTCTCGATGTGCAAAACTGATAGAGACATACCCCAAGCGACTTGCAGCTGTAATTGCAGCAAAAGGTGGCGCTACAAAGTATTAGCGCAAGGGGCCGAATAATATTGCACGCCCCACTTTTCAGTTTTTATTTGTTAAAAAAGTTTAAATTATCCAATAAATTTCGTTCCACTTCACGACTGTGTCCCACTTGTTGTTGATTCTTGATACAAAAAATAATTGTTATATCTTTATGTTTGAAGCCTGAAATGTGGCGAAATGTTGAAAGGTTCAAGGGACCGAATACTTTCGCAAGGCACTGTATTTAGCACCGTGAGGCGGGCGTGTTAGCTTGTCAGCCTAGCTTTGTATTTCCCATGATGGTCAAGCTAAAGGCTAAACTATATTTGCTGGCCTTAAATTAATCCATTGTATAATTTGATTGTTAATATATAGCGCTGAACTGTTGTTTTATATCTACTTTTGATGTTGTTTTTGTTTGTTGGATTGATTTTAATATGCAGCTCTTTGAAGTTTAGTGGAAATGTAAGTGTATAGAATAAATGTATTTCATTATTATTATCAATACTTATTGTTATTTTTGTTTGATTGGCTGAGTGAGGCTGGTCTGAAAATACTGATGTAAACTGAATTTGAAGAAGTATTATAAGTGTGAATAAACGGGGACATCACCTCCCACACGGTCCGCAAATGGAAACCCAGAGAGCCGCTTGAGTCTATCCAGTCTCCCCCTCACTCTTCCATCTTCCACAGCCTCCATCACCTGGGACACCTCCTCCAGGACCTGCCCCAGCCTCTGCCCCAGCTCCTGCAGAAGGACGGGGGACAAGGCAAGCTCCTCGTGATGCGCGTGGAGCAGGGAGCCCTGGGTGAAGGACAGGATGGTGGGGGCGGACGAGTGGATGAGGTCCGCCAGGAGGGACTCACTGGAGGCCAGGCCGATGGGCTGGGAGGGCAGGGACCGCAGGAGCCCCAGGTTCAGCAGGGGCGCCTGGTGGTCCTGGGGGGTTGACTGCACCAGGAAGTGTCGCAGCTCACAGAGGAAGGAGTTGTGTGAAAAGTCGTTGTTGTTTGGAGGCCTGCGTGGGGAATATATTACAGTGTTATTGGAATGAGCATGAGTGAGTCTGCTCGGACTGAACATGTGGCATGGGTCCAGTATGTGAACAATCAGACACAGAGGAGACCCAGGACTCAGAGGAGATAGAGGACACAGAGGACACAGAGGTGACAGAAGAGACCCAGGAGACAGATGACACCAAGGAGACAGATGAGACCCAAGGGAGACCCAAGGTGACAGATGAGACAGAGGAGACCCAAGGGAGACCCAGGAGACAGATGAGACAGAGGCCCAGGAGACAGAGGACACAAAGGAGACAGAGGAGACAGAGGAGAACCAAGAGACAGATGAGACAGAGGCCCAGGAGACAGAGGACACAAAGGAGACAGGGGAGACCCAAGAGACAGATGAGACAGAGACCCAGGAGACTAAAGGAGACAGGAGACAGAGAAGACTAAAGGAGTCAGAAGAGACCCAAGGAGACAGAGGAGACCCAAGGGAGACCCAGGAGACAGATGAGACAGAGGCCCAGGAGACAGAGGAGACCAAGGAGACAATGGAGACAGAGGAGACCAAATAGATCGAGGAGGAGACAAAAGAGACCAAGGAGACTGAAGAGAAAAAGAAGGACTCAATTCCACAATACAAGTAATTCCTCTAAATAATCGATATAATATTTCCTACAAAAGCAGAACCCTAATTTCAGAAAGTGTGAAAAAGAAAATTGGGTCCATTGAGCTAATTGTAAATGAGTAATATTTGTCACGAAAGTTGTCTTTTTTTTCCGAGCTATACACAATCAGACAGCTTGGTAATGAAAAATTGGTTCATTTATCTTCTAGAACACAAATAGATAAGGAATAATATTTTCATTTGTTTTATAAGAAACAAAATTAGAAACTATTAGGCCATAATCCGTGACGAACACCCGCATGTACTTTTAGTGTAAAGAATAACGTATCTTTGTGCTTGATGGCTGAGGCCTTCATGAAACACTGAACACATGGAGGACAGTGACCTGGTATCAGTTCCTCTTGAGGAGAAAAGCAGAAGGGCAAAGATGCTGATGGTGCTGCTGCTGTCTTCGCGGTCCACAACATCTGTAAACGGTAGGATATTGTACAAATAACAGATTATTTAAAGAAATGGCACACTTCATCTCACTTGTGTCAGAGGAAGTCTGCATAACTATGTCCCATGTTGGAGGAAAGCTCAGATGGTTCCCTGTGAGAAGAATGTACCGAGAATCTTCTGAAGTGCAGGGCGTCTGAAAAGAATGCACATTTTCAGTCACATTTTATGGCATTGTATGTGAAGATTAGTTGTATTTGAACTTAAAAGTAGCTCCCCGTGTATCACTAATGCCTTTATGTTTATTTGGAGATACGCTTGCACTTCTGGATTGCGCCACACGGGGGCAGAGCAGTGAGCAGAGTCTGGGCTGCTCTGGACCTCACTGCTGCCGTCTCTGTATTTCTTCTGTTTATTCAGGAAATAGGTTGTAATAATTAATATATACAGTCTATCGTTGTAATAACACCTTTTAAAGTACATGCAAGACAACTGTAGACTGTGTTGGTCGTAAATCACCATTTTAAGAATGGAGTGGATTACGTGAATTACTTTTTTTTTTTTCAAGTTTAGTTGTTTCACCGTGAGGGAATACGAGGTTGGGACATAATACATAATGATAATAATATGTATGTATTAGGGGTAATAAGCATGTATCGTATGTAAGTAATTTTACGCATTTTACAGACCAAGATCGCCCAAAGCACTTTTCAATGTTCAGAGTCAGATATTGTTCCAATCATTCCACACACGGTGATGACAGAAGCGAGTCCAGAACACACTGGACCATCAGCTCCAACACCATCCATTCACTCTCTCATTTACATTCAGACCTATTGTGCATGTTTTTAATGGTAGGGGAAACCGGAGCGCCCGGAGGAAACCTACGCAGACACGGGGAGAACATGCAAACTCCACTCAGAAAGGCCCAGTTCCAACCGGGATTCGAACCCAGGAACTTCTTGCTGAGAAGCGAGAATGCTATCCACTCAGCCACAGTGCCACATGTATGTACCAGGGGTAATAAGCATGTATGTATTAGGAGTAATAAGGATGTATTAGGGTTAATAAGCATGTATGTGTTAGGGGTAATAAGCATGTATTAGGAGTAATAAGCATGTATTAGGAATAATAAGCATGTATTAGGAGTAATAAGCATGTATTAGGAATAATAAGCATGTATTAGGAGTAATAAGCATGTATTGGGGTAATAAGCATGTATTAGGGGTAATAAGCATGTATTAGGGGTAATAAGCATGTATTGGGGGGTAATAAGCATGTATTAGGGGTAATAAGCATGTATTAGGAGTAATAAGCATGTATTAGGGTTAATAAGCATATATTAGGGTTAATAAGCATGTATTAGGGTTAATAAGCATGTATTAGGGTTAATAAGCATGTATTAGGGGTAATAAGCATGTAGCAACTGTGACAAAATGTTTCAGTTAAGAATGTAGTTTTGCAGTGACTGAAGTAGTATCAGAGAAATGGTTGTTATAAAGTTTATTATATATATATATAGTATGTTTTTGTACAGACCTGACTTACAAAACCTGAACTCTACTACAAGTAACTGAAGAAAGTGTTGAATTAGGCTTGGTAATGGTACAGATATATACAGAAACAAACAGTCAGTGTATTATTCTAGTATTTACCTGTGTGCTGGGGTTTAATAACTGACTGGTAAAACGGATGCCCGACATTTTGAAGATGCTTTGTGATGGGAATAACAATACTGCTGGGCTGAGCGTGGTTTGAGGAGGCTTTGTCGGATCAAACGTCAATACGAGCACTCTCTTATTAGTTTCCTTCCTCAACACCACTAAAAGACAGTCAGAAACATACAAAAACAACATTACACCATGTTTTTAAAGCAGAACACCACAGCAGTTCTCAAGCCTTTCCCATCCTCCTGAAAATATCCAACAGAACTAAACCAGGTCTAAAATAATTCACAATTTGACAACACTTTTGCATACATAAATATTGACAAATTAATGCGTTACCTTGAGTTGGAATCAGCACATCCAGCTTCTCACTGCCTGCGTCCTGTGCCAGCTGTAAAAACATGGGGGAATTCTCTGTGCAGACAGAAAACTGGGCCATGCTGTCATTTCTCACGTGTCCATCCTCCTCCAAACTCTCACGCAGCGTTGCCAGAACATCATCCACAAAGCATGGCAAGTTTGGAGGAGAAGGCGACGGTGCAGAGTTGGTAGATTCTCTGATTTCTTCCGTCACTGGAGGAATAAATGAAAGAATGTATTGAGTACGTCATGAGGTCAGTTAAAACTTTAGTCTGAACCAAAATACTGTGTCATGGACTGTGTTATGTGCATCTTCTTTAGCAGTGAGTTGTACCTTTTCACCTCACAGACTGGTGTTGTACAAATCTTTTCCTTGTGGTAAAAACTGCTAAAGCATGTCTATATTTGGGCTTTCCTCTGAGGCTGCTCTTTCTCTGAATAAACTTTAAATATTTGAAGGCAATTCCCATTTTCTTTCAACATAATAAGCCCTGTCAAATTTATGAAATTAATGTTTTAGCCCTCAGCTAAAACTGAACTCTAACTGGGCTGGTTTTAAACATGAACTAAAGCGATTTTTTAAAACAAACCAGGTGTGTGAGCATCAATGAGTTGGAGAACATCTATCTGCTTTTGTATAATGTGAATTTTATAATGTATAATGTGTTTTAATTGTGTTAAAAGCCCTCCTAGGGACGGACATTGCAAACTAGACTTGGCTATAAATGTTGTAGTGTTTCACATGTTGATTGTGTACACTTGTCCCTATCAAATAAATCAATAAATAAAAATAAAAATAAATAAATAAAAATGTAAAAACTGGGGCAGCTGTTTCAAACCAATAATAAAGTACACTGTAAAAAATGTCTGTAAAATGACAATGAAATTTCAACATTAAACAAATATTATTTTGAAAAACAATTAAAACATGCAAATTTAATTATAAATTGGTTAAAAAACACCCAGTGGCGTTTTATTACCACAATTATAATGTGATTACAAAAAAAGTTACAATACCGTAAAATTACACGTGTAAGAGGTGTAAACTCCTGCTTATGTTAGAATGATGCTTTTCTATTTTCTTGTATAAACTGAAGATGTTAAAAAAATATTTGAAAAGTTGTGTTCATTAAAGGAAAACAAAATTAAACTGGTAGTTTTTTGTTCAATGAAATTCTTTACAGTGAAATTATTTACAGTGCGATACAATACATAATATCCTTGCTCTCAAAACTGTTTTTTCATGCATGATTCTTACACTTTGGTCTCTCACATCTTCAGATCAACTTTTTCCACGCATAAAAACGAAAAAATGTGGACCAATCCTCTCCCAGCCAATCAGATCTCAGCCTAGAGTGTTAAATTATGTCTGACAAGGCTAAAAAAAGACAGTTTAGAATTGCTTTGTTCACAGAATGCCAGCCTTACAAGTCTCTTTCTGCAGAGGAGAGTAAAAATGAGGTACCCCGGCTTAAAGATGACATTTTTAATTTGATGGAAATGAATGAAAAAACAGATCATACCTTCAATGTCTGCGTTCTGAGACACCTGGAGGACTGCGCAGAGACCGGCCCAAGCAAACATGAAATTGCCTGTTGTGGTCATTGTGGTGTGAGGATAGAGGTCAGTCTTCTTCAATGGCTTTTTAAATGAACCCAGCCTCTTTGATTTTTATCCTCCCACCCATCACACATCCTGCAAACCTGGTGAACACACTCCCAAAATAGAAATATCGTGTCCTTGATGGATGCAAAACTGTGGAGGGATCATGCTTGCAACACTTTGAGATAAAGTATGGGGAGAGTGGCATGTGCAGGGACAGCAGCACTGAAAGGTCCTGTCCATCTTACATCTGTGTACAATAATAACTAATAACCAGCCTGAACTTCCCATGATAGATATGTGTGTGTCTGTGTATTTAAACATTGTATTTTTGTGTTAAATCTGGGGCAGCAAACATTCCAACTACAGTTTTTTTTAAAGTAAATATTCATCAAAGTAGTTTCTTGCTCTCCAAACAGTTTGCTTATATCACATCTTCAGCTTTTTCAAACAAAAAGGTACAAGACTGTCTTCACATCAGCCAATCAGCTTTCAGCCCAAAGTGTCCAGCAGTAAGTATGCTAAATTGTTGAATGCTTGTGGTCTGATCTGTTCACACGCTTTTACAAGACTCAATTTTAAGACTTTTCTTGTTGGGACAAACACACATAACCACCAACAAAATATGCACGACTGTGGGTAATTGCTTAAGGACACACCAGTGAGCAATAGGCTTTTGTTTGTTTTGCTGTATTGAAACTGTCTCAACAGAAAGTCTTGTAAAAGTTAAACAGAATGTCATTGTGCAGATGTGCTCTTCATCTTCACATGTCGAGCCTAATGTTCATGACTATGTAGATAACTTCCTACAAATGATCCATTTTTTTAAATCTCAGTTGTGGTTAAATTTGCACATTGATAAGTCAAGTTCTTTTCATGGATCACAAACCAGACACGGAAAGTCACATTTGTGTAAAAGTGACATAAATATGTATTTATTTATTGTTTATTTGGTTGGGACAGTACATGTTCATGAACACATCTCTCCGGATTGTATCCATGAGCTAATTTGCATCCGTTGTCCCACATTCGCACTCACAAACACACACTCATTCACCCTGAACTATTGTACATGTTTTTAGGGGTAGGCGAAACCGGAGTACCCGGAGGAAACCTAAACAGACATGGGGAGAACATGCAAACTTCACGCAGAGAGGCCCTGTTCTGACCGGGATACGGACGCAGAACCTTCTTGCTGAGAAGAGTGCTATCCTCAGCCACCGTGCTGCCTCATATAAATAATGTAGAGCCCTGCTTTGGGCTGAGAGCTGATTGGCCGAGTGAGGGTGGTCCCTTTTTTTACTTTCCTTTCTGAATAAACTGATCTGTGATGTTACAAAACATTCAAGCAAGTGAAAGATAGCAAAATAGCCAAACTGTTTTGGGAGCAAGGAACAAGTTGGATGGATTTTCAAACAGTTTTTTTGGCTTGAAAATTCGGTACCCAAGTTTTAAGTGGACTTTTCTGGTTAAGAGCACAATCCAGTTCCATGTCTGAGTATTTTGTAATATAGTAATTGATATAAAAATCATGTGTCGAGTGATTATGGCGGTCCTTGACTCCCACCAGGCTCTCACAGCTGCGCTCTTGTTTTGCAGACGAGTCAAGGCCCCAGGCTGAAGAACGTCCATGCGTCTCATGAGATAAAACCAAGGTTCATTCTTGGACATTGCAAATCTTCCACCGGGAATGACAGGAATGGGCCGTCATCCTGAAACGGCCTCCAAATGTAGCAAAACATGTGCTACAACGTTCCTTAGATGAAAGAAGTTGTTAGTAAGAAACACACAGTTCCATGATACACTTTGTAAGAAACCTTTTATTTATTATTGTAAAGGCAGAAAAAAAACAATAAACTTTTGTCATAAGATCTTAGGATAAAAGCACCAACACCGAACAGTAACAAGTTTCAGGGGCATTTCAGAAAGGTCTGTTGTTATTATTGCACCTCAGACCAGTCCCATTACACTGGTCTGTAACCGGTGTGCACCAAGCTGACTGACCCACACTTCAGAACTCGTGAAGCTCCATAGACGTGGGAGTGCGGAAGTTGGTTTGTGACAGTGAGAACTATTCAGGAAAAGGCAACTGGCATAATTTAATGTTTGTAAAATGCCCATCTGAGGAATTGACCGAGCCCTGAGCCAGATTCTAGTTTGTGCAGCAGTTTTTCTATTTTCAAACATGGGCAGTTCCTGAGTAAAAGTATCTGGCAGGATTTTGTAAACAGCCTGGGTGATATTATATAACAGCTAGATTTTATTCAAAAGTTGTATTTCCAAAAGTCATTCTCACCGACACAAATATCAACAAAGTGGAATTGAAACATCAAAGCTGTTAAGGGACTAAAACCTTTGCCCTTCAGGCGGATCGCAGAAGAGAAGCATGATTAATATAGCTGCAATTTCCCTGTTTTAAGTGAAGGAGAGCACCATGTGATCTGTCAGAAATGATTCAGGAAAGTTCAACTCATACAAAGTAAAAAAGAATTTAAATAGTATCAGCGTCATTAGAAAAGTCCCATCAGTGCTGGTTTACACATTAAGGTCTATCGTATTATTTCCTAAAAATCAAGGTAAATGACGTTTTCTATAAAGCTTTGATAATGACTCAACTTTCTCATGCATGTACTTCAAGTGAAAAATTCACACAGACAAAAATTGTGATGCGAACAAAAACGTGGCTCTCTGAATAACACAGAAGTATTTCCAAACGACATCACTCTCTAAACGAACACATGAACAGACGTCTTTGAGACATCAATAAATCACTACATGAGGACTTTGACAAGTTTGTTTTGCACCAATAAAACAACTGCTCAGAATGGAGTTGTTCAGAGCATAAGCACCATGATTCTTAAATGATGGAATATTAAAACAGTTTTAGTGAGAAGCATTAACAGTGTGCTGGACTACTGCACCAAACAGCACCGGACAGATCTTCATATGTACATATGTTCTATGTACATACATAATATCACCGCCTTTTCATTTGGTGGCAGAGCCTGGCTGTCCGAGGCTCCACGCCCTGTTTAAACAGGTTAAGCACCAATACGTCCTATTCCTTATATTTTATATGTCATTATAGACTATAGATATACATTTCATAGAGCACTCTCTTCATGACTAAACTGCTCAGGAAGGATTTGTGAAAGGCTGTTCCACACAGGAGAGCTCTGCAGTATTCACAGAAAAACACACATATCAACAAGAGAAAGGCCAAAGTGGCTTTACAAGGTTTCCTCTGTACAGCACCAACTCTTCCATTTGTTTGTGGTGTTTCACCAAATAATAAATAAGATCAGGCACAGTCCAAACTAGCACCAATGTTCTCAAACTGTAAGCCAAGTACACACAATATTGCATACTACAATATCAACACAGTCTGGAATTAAAAAAGGGAAAAAAGACAATATAAATATTATAGTCTAAATTATACACAGCTATACAATCAATCAACCACATTCACAGTACAAACATTTGTTTTATCCATTTGTACAATAGAAAGAAAGTCCAGTAGTTCTGTTGTGGTCTTGGTAATGTTATTGGCTAGTGCGAGATTCTCTTTGAAAATGCCAAAAGTAGAAACGTGTGAAGAGTTACTTTACTTATTTAGATTAACCTGCAATTCCAAAAGCAGAAACATTATGTGCAGCTTATTAACAGTAATTGTTTTTGTTTTTAAAGTAGTGTTGTTCGTCCAGAGGAACAAAGGAAGGTCATCATTTCATCATCAGAGCCCAACAGGGGCCAAGACAAACACAATTTGTTAAACACAATTTGTTGTGGAGAAGGAAAATAAAAAGACATTGTTTTCGAACCAAATACATCCAAAACACACAGTAGCAGTATTACCATGAAAGGAAAACAAAGGTTTGGGGCTGAATGATGTCCTTTAAGCTACAGAAGTCACCGTCGGCCTTTTCCAGTGTGATGTGAGTTCAAATCCCTTTTCAGTTTGAGAGTTGAGGAAACTATAGTGAAGTGTGAGGTGAAGGTGACACATTTAAACTAATACACTTAAGGAAGTATTGGATACATCTAATACATATATTAAATGTATTTAAGGATGTATTTAGGTAAGAATTATACTTCCATAGCATCAATGTCTAGATGTGGCGAAAATGACAAATTTACTTTAGATTGAATTATTAAATTTTCAAGGTTGATCCAAACAATATTTTCATTAAATTATTATGGTACGTTTTGTTTCAAACCCAAAGCACCTCAAGATTAGAAATAGAGGTAGTCATTTACTGTTTATGAAGTGATCCCTCAGTCTCCACAGGTCCACAGATGACAAGAGGGACTCGACTGAGCCAGAGTGCAGCTGAAAAAGCGGTTTGCAGGCCAATGGTAGTGCACACGCTTACAAGCACCAATGACTGAGTAGGGTGCATTGGTCCACAACAGGACAATTGCATAGTTCATTTAACGTTGAGGTAGTTTTCATTAATTACCTGAGGAAAAAGAGAAAAGGACTAAGAATAAGTCACACTCTGTTATTTTTCCGCCTGAAACCAAACGCATGATTGAGTGAACACAACTCACCTTGCTCTGAAGACAGGGTACCCTGTCTCTCACACCCAACCAGTCTCTCCCTCTCCACTACGGCCTACCCCGTTACCCCTCCCTCCCCCCTAAGCCTATCTGGGCCGGGAGCCGGGCAGATGGGACGTGTGGCCACTGTGCATGTGTGTGCTCTGAGTCCTCCACAGGCCACTGCCGCCTGCAGAGTTGCTGGGCTGTGGGGAAGACTGTCGGGACGAGTAGTGCACGGCAAAGGGACGGGATGATGAGGACAGCGGGGCTGAAGCAGCAGAGACACAACTCACAGAGGTGGGAATGGAATGGGAGGACTGCACCCTCTGCTGGTGGAGGCCAGTGTGGGACAGGCGCTCTGAGCGAGCTGTGGCCTGAGGATCATGTAGCGTGGACACTGAAGATGGAGCAGCATGGAGTGGAGGGAGGGGAGGCAGAGGGAGTGAGGGGGGAGAGGCGCTGTGCAGAACGGTTTGTGTGCGGCTGTGCTGAGCAGAAGGAGAGGACACCGCAGTTTGTCGGGAGGATGCGGATGGGGACGGGCTTTGGGATGAGGTGGAGAGACTGAGCAGAGAGCCAAGGCCTCCAGAAGCAGCCAGCGCTGCCCCAAACTGATGGGACGACACTGTAGGTACCACGTGGTGAAAAATTCCTGCAAGTCATAGAAATGTAGGGAGCAGAGGGCAAGAGAGCGAGCCAGGGGAAGGGGGACAGAGCCAGAAAGAGGGGACAAAAAGAGAAGCAGGGGCTGAGCCAGGTTGAGCATAGCGCCAAGCAAGTCTTTAACAAGCACACAAAGCTCAACACACTCCGTGTACTTACAGAGCATTTCATTAGAATTACATTATCAATTGGGAAACTAGTATTTTCAGATTTTGAATTTTCCATCAAACAGAAATAGAAATAGCCAGCATTTACCTTTTGTCCTTCTCAAAAATGAAAATTGCAAAATTGAGTCGTACATTCAACAATAAGTCAATCATTCACACAATATTTCCCTCATTAAAATGGAAATAAGATAAGGGTAGAAAATGGATGGATGGATGGATAAAATGGAAATGGCCATAAGGTACACGGAAAATGTATACACCCAGAGAAAACATAATTGGTCAAAAAGAACATATTTCGAATAGAAATCTTTTTATACTCTGCATTTCTCTGTTGGGTTTGATCAAATGGAAATCGATCACATATTTTCTAAGGGTGTTCCGACCTATAACATAGCAGCAAGCAGTCACAGTCAAAAGCAAGTCCTCAGTGAAGTCAGTAAAGCAGATGAAGTCAGCAGGTTGGACTTTCACTTACCTCATTCTAAATCAATCATTTTTATCTAGCCTTGTATAATTCTAATCTTGCAAACCTCTGATAAAAGTGAAAACAGTGAGTGTCAGTGGTGCTCACCTCCAGCAGCTCCTCCAGCTAAACCAGCACTAGAGAAGCTTCCAAGAGCTGAATGCCCGTTGACAAGCCGCGTCGACCCGTTCACAGAGGATCCAGTCTGGGCCCCAAACAGTGTTTGCAGGACGGAGGTCCCTCCAAGTGGAAACTGGGAGCTCAGGAACTGGCCCACAGTAGCACCAGAGGTGGAGGAAACAGAGCTCCGTATGCCAGCTCCAGTGTTGGCAGCAGCAGAGATGAACAGGTTCTGGCTGCTACTGGTTTTGGACTCCCAGTCTCGAGGGACCTTCTGCTTCTGCTGAGCCTGTCGTGCCTCTGACCCACTGGATCCCTGTGATCCGCTGGCTCCCCCAGCCCCGCGTACAGCCCCGTCCTGACTGAGGAATGGGTTGGACATCACATATGAGGATTCCGCATCACTGCCTTTTCGCCCCTGAGCATGTGGTTTGTGGTCCAGATCAGAGTCTGCGCAGCGGCCGGGCCCCCCCGCACCAAAGGGAGAGCCTCCCGCTCTCAGCTCAGAGCCTGGCGGCTTTGGGTCGGAAATGGGTGAAAATGTAGATTTCCATTTACTTGTTGAGGAAGCAGATGAGGATTCACTGCCCGTGCTGTTGCCACTGCTACTCCCAGATTTTCTGCCTGTCATTGCAATATAAACAATGTCACTCAGAATCAGTAATCAAAAGGAAGCTGCAGGCAGGTAATATACCTCTTTCAGTATCCACAAATCTACTGGGAAGGTCTCTGCTCTCCAGTGATATTGTGGCAATTTTTCTTTCAATTCTAAAACAAAATACATAATGATCAACGGAAAAGCATAAGGCACACTATACGTAAGAAATACAAATTGTAATTCTCTAACCTTGCACTGGAGCTGTCAGCGGGATAACCAGAATCCTCGTCATCTGAGCTGGGTGCAGAAGAATATCGACCAGCTCCATTAAACTCTAGGGGGCGCTCTCTTTTCAGAACAGGGGGCTGGTCCAGGTCAAGCCCCACCGGACTGCTGCTAGACTGCTCCGGGGAGGATATGGCAGAGATCTCCAGAGGCTGGTTAATGTTACTGACCTAAACAGAGGTTTGTAAAAGATAACATGAGCTGGGAATGTGGCATGGGGATGAACATGCAAGTCATTCCCTGACCATTGAGCTGATGTTGAGTGGGGATCCTGAGGCATGATGGCCAGAGGTCAGTCCAGGAAATGACCTCCTTTTAGGGGATGTGCTGGCCGTCACAGCTCCAGTGGAGCCACGTTTCCTCCTGCCCCGCTTGCGGCCCTCTTGAGGGGCCAGGCTGTGGGAGGAGTGAGTGGAGGGGTGTGTGGGGTTGTGGGGGTGTGTGCCAGGGGACTGGTGGTGGTGGTTGCCATGGTAACCCTGCTTTGCTAAGCTGCCTGTGTGATGGTGGAGGCGGGAGCCTGCTGTAGCGCTGCTGCCACTACCTGAAGATGAAGAACATGAAGAGGAGGAGGAGAAGAAGATCCTCCTCCTCATGTCACTCTCCAGGGGCTCGTTGTCCGATTCGCCTCCCCTGTTTTCGGAGCCGTCCTCTGGAACAATGCGCGGTGGTCCATCTGCATACTGGAGCACCCCGCCAGTGCTGAGAGAGGGGCTTTGTAGAGAAGAGCGGCTCAGGGCTGGGTTAGAGTGGGAGGGAGGAGACAGAGAAGCACCATTATGCTCCTCAGAGTGTACAAGTCCATTCATCAACCCCGAGTTGGAGGAGTAACCTACATCATACAAAGAAATATGATATTCCAAATGCAAGTTATCTGGTTATTAAAGTTAATTTTAGCCGTACCATTGGTCTGGACAGGACTAGGAGTACTTCTCTGTAAAACCATATTCAAACATACATTAGATTGTGTAATCCAAATATATATTAAAAAGAATATCTAAAAAGTGTGAAGTGACACAGAAAATGTTAATGAGGGAGCAGGAGAGATGACTGACCAGTCTCTCTGCTCGGTTGGGCAGCACCACACTGGCCAGGGGGATGCTGACGGGCAGTTTGCTGGGGTGGACTGTGCTCAAAGGGATGCTAATTGGAAGGCTTGTAATACTGTTATCACTTTGAGAAGGACTCTTCTCTTTACCACCCTGGGGAGAAAAATACTAACAGATGAATCATAATTTAGATGACCATCACTTCACAATAATGGCAAAAACAAGATTTTGTATTCACCCTTTCAAAGGATTTAGCAGTACTACTTGTGGCTTCAGTTGCTCCGGGGGAGGGACAGTTTTGTTTGGCTGGAAGATTAATACCAACTAGTTCCCCTCTAGAAATAAAAGACTCAATGAATACACATATGTTACGCTTATTTCTTTTTAAAAGGTTTTATGAAAACCAACCTGTGTGTCATCATCCCAGGACCTCTCAGCTGAGAGGCAGCCGTCACATCCTGATTGAGATGCCTTCGTAAGGCAATCTTGGCTGGTGAGAAGCGTGTGTAGTCTGGAAGCGTGTGAGAGGAGAGATGCTGCCTCTGTCGAATGTCAGAAGCAGAGGCAGCAATCTCATGATCCGGGGAGATTGGGAGGTATCGGGAGAGGAGCTCCCCCTTAATGTTGGTGCGTTCAAAACAAGGAGGGCTGGTTCCATTTAACTCTGGACTAATGCCATTATGCAAAGAAGCGGAAGATAGTCCCATCTTTGAGGAGTCCATGTCCATGGAGGATCGGGACTCTAAGTTCTTCCTGTAAGGGGAGCCATCACAAGGACTGTAGGACTTCAGCTGCAGCAGTTCTTGTTGCCTTTGGGTCTTCTCCAGTTCAACAATGCTGATCTGAAAATGGACATCAGGGGTGGCTTAAGACAATGAAGACCACCCTTATCTCAATTTTTATTTACAAAACAATAATACATTAAACTACTAATTCTTCTAAACTTTTTAGCGAGAAAAAATACCTGTAATTCCAGACAGTGCCTCTGTTTCTCTGATATCTGTCTTCGCAAGGCCTGTTTTTCCTTCAACAAACTGTCCAAACACAAAGAGCCCCAGTCAAGCTTCAGCTCTTCACATCGGGTCTTCAGCTGGAGAAAAGTAGAAAAGAAGTGTGGGCATGTAAAAACTACATTTTTGAATTTACAATGGAGAACTTACAAGCAGCAAGCTATGGTCCCTCAATAAGGCCATGTCACGCTCAAGCTGCTTTGTCTGCTCTTTGAGTTGGAGATTGTGGGCAGAGATCTCCTTTTGCGCTTGTAAAAGATCCTCTGCTGTCAAGGCTTTCACACCTAACTGTAATCCAGCACAGAGAAGTTTCATTAAGCCAACATTGAAACTTTATGAAAGTGGTATGTCATTTGCATGATTACATTTGCCTGTCCAGTCAGGCACTTCTACATTTTACATTGGAACATGAATGTAAAATGCAGAAGGGTCTGGGAATGGGCAGGTTGGTTCTCAGTTCTGCAAAGGTATCTTGACTTTAACAGAAAACTGAGGACGTGGAATTAGCTTTAAGCAAATATTCAAGATTGTGGCACGACCAATTGTTTAAATATGGTTTTTCTATGAGTGAATGACATTTACAGTGAGGAACAGACAAGCACATGTGTCAATTAACACAAACATGGCTTATGTACTTTGCTGCTTAGGGCAGAGATAACCCTAACCATTGTATATATGAACATAATGTATAATTATTGTCAAACTGTGTGGTTCTGGCCGGTCAGACAATTCCATGAAAATACATACAAAAAACCACACTGGAAATATCTCCATCCAAATATAATCTAGGCCTTATGTCTAACAGTGTGAATATGTTCTTATTGTGTGTGAACACTGAGAACACACTATTTGGGGTTAAAGAATCACCTCTTGAAACTTTCTTGAGACATTTAAAAAACTACAGTTTCTATGGTTTTGTGCAAAAACTAAAATACAAACAAATATTTACCTCATCAAGCTTCATCTGAAAAAGTCCTTTTATCTTATCCTTGTGGGTCTGACAGACAGCTTGTAACTGCTCTGCCTGCCCCGACAGGTCCCGATGTTTTTCCTGAAAATAAAATACAAAATTTGGATAGGCAAATCATATTTTTAAAGAGGAAAGGATTATTATTCAAAAGGTTCCACTCATCATACCTTCTCCTGATCTAAAAGCTGTTGCAGATTGGAGCGGTACTGAGGGGTCTTCATGTAGGACATAAACTGTAGGTACTGTATTTTGATGTTATCTGTAGAGAAATATACACATACATCTATATACACACACATCTTTAAACTGTCTGTAAAACAATCTGCGAATCATAGGCAAAAGGTTACCAAGCATTTGCTGCAAAGCTGGAGGAGTTGGACCCAGCAGCAATTGGCTGGAGGGATAGTGCTGAACCATGGGAGGTAGCTGGTAGAAGGGACTTTGAGGTGACCGGTATGAATCTGGACACATAGAAACCAGTGAGCTTTGTGACAAACACGAGTGGCCTTCTGGACTTTTTGTGGGGCCTGACCCTGAGTGGGCGCTGCAGACAGAGTTTTGGCGTGCAGCAAATCCAATGCACTTTGATTTTTCTTATTTTTCTTCTCAGTGGTGTTGACAGCGGCCTTCTTCGGGCGACCACGTTTTTTGTTGTTCAGCTTTCGTCCTTTAGACAAAAGCCGAGTCCTTCTTGGTTTGGGGCTGGGCTTCACTACCGTCACCAAGCTTGGAGGCTCCTCTTCATCACATGACTCCGGCTGAAAATACAACAAGGAATGGCATGTTAATGGAAATGAATAATATATAACATATTTCTGTATTATCTGCCTGCTTACCTTTGGGGGTTCTTTTGGCTTTGTGGGTGTGGTGTTATTGCTTTTACTTTCCTTTGTATCTTTCTGCTGGCGTCGCCGAGTTAGCTCTTGCTCTTCCTACAATAAAGCATAACTCATCATCATCATAACATTCACGTTGATACATATGTGTGATGAACGGTTTGGAACATCTCAAATGAAAGGACATTGCTGTGAAGACTGCTGGTCAAAAGCACTGGTGTCTTTCTCATATGTTTTGTAAAAGTGAAAAGTTTGCTACTAACCAAAATATTGTGAGTTACAAACTATAGACTACTAATTATTTTTAAGGGTATTTAAGGCAGCCATCATCATCTGCTTAAACCATAGACTGTATATATTAATGAACGTAGTCAGGCCTATCTCCGCCGTTCAAACTAATGGGCCAAAAGTTGGGCTCTCATGGAGTGATTCAAAATGGCCGCGGGGGGTGGAAAATGTGAAAAAACGCATCTGTGCATGCGTCAGCTGCACGAGCCCCATTCATTTTAAACGAGTGACTTCAAAAATTTACAGCGACTAAACTAGACTGGTCCAAAACACTCCCTCAGCATTGACACACATGTGGAACGGAGCTTTGGGCCAAGAACCAACTTTTGGACCATCCTGTAAAGACGTTTTCGAGAGGTAAGAAGATGCTATATGTCAGCATTGGCTAATTCTTATTCCAGGTCCACCCCCACAGGCCCGGGGTGGTATTGCAGCATGTCAGCGCACGTCATTATGGACACTTTTGAGTCAGGACCCGCCCCCACTGGCTTAAACATATCCGTGTTAACCTTCTTCGTAATACATGCTATGTGAGTCTTATTCATGAAGCCAGCTGGGTCAACCACCAAAAACAGAAAACAACTAAAATATATACACACTTACCCTGAGTTTAGGATTTTTGAGACTGGCAAAATAATTTTCAAGCTGCAAACAAAGACAAAGGGTGGTGAGTGGCATCAAAGCCTGGATCTCAGGGGCACAAAAGAACACAGTTGTACTCACTATGGTGCGGTCAATGGTGTGAAGGTAGTAGGACACCGGCTTTCCCGTCCAAGACACCGAGCCCCTCAGAGGAGACAGCTCCACCACACGCATTATTGTGCCAATGTCTACACAAGACAAAGACCACCATTAACATAGAATCATAACATAGATAAAACTTTTACTTTCAATGAAGTTCACTTACCGCTCAAGTTTCTACTGTTTATCCTAAAATTCAAAGGTGCAAAGGGTTTGGAGGAAACAATTTTTCCACCTGTAGAACAAAGATACATAATGCTTCAAACTTTTGAATCCCAAAGTTGAGGTTCAGAGCTCCTACGAGGGTAACATGAAGCTACGTAGGCTGTGATTATTAGTGTTCTAAAACATCTGCATTGTACTTAAGTTTGAAATAATTACTTGGGGATGCTGTTTTGTTACTGTTCCTACTCAACCCAAGTGAAGTTGCAAAAAGTGCATTAAAATATAGATAAAGAAAAAAATTACTTGTGTGTGTTTTGTCACTTCTTTGAGGCCCCTTATTTTCTCAATAAGAAAAGTTTGGGAACCCCTACAGAATACAGAAAGGGTGTTTGCTTGGTACGGACCTTCCTTCATGTTTGCAAAGCGTTCCTTCAGTTGGTGATCTACTTCTGGTCCAAAGGCAAAGTTATTCACAAAAATAATACTGAAAGACATAAATGAGTGAATCTCAGGCTTTGACAGACGGGCTTTAAAACATCCATGTGACGCACGCTTCGCCAACATCCTTTACCTTGTGTTGGCGATTCTTTCTTTCCACTCCTCAGACAGAAAATCCCCCCTCTCCAGCTGAGGCACAAACAAACCACGATTAGTTTCAGTATATTTCAAGCACACAATGAAAAAGTGTCATGTACAACAACAAGAACCCTGTTAGAACAAAGAATATGCATTGCTACATTAAAAGTAGTGGGGTGAAGTTGAACCCCCTTTTACCGTGAACGCTAAAATCAACTTCAATTCTCAGGTTACGCTACTTAAGTCTCGAGACGGAGAGTTTACATTTCTTCAGCATTAGTTGTTTACCAATTTAGACTATAAAATTGGCAAATAGTTATCAAAAATAAATGCCACACGGACTTTATTGCTCTACCTCTCCACTTCAAGGCGGAAATTCTCCATGAAGAAGCCTCAGCGCCATTTGAGTGACAGAGGCAGAGTTCCCATGAGTCCTGCTCCTGAATATGAAAGCCACTGTCATTCATTACACAATTGCCACAAGGGTCCGAAAGGAACGAAAACGAGGATGTGGAATCCCGTTATAGTATTGAATGCGCTGGAAAACGGGTGCAAGTCCTAAGTAGCTCTGAAACAGTTGTTGTTTTGTGCTTTTGATGTGTTGATGGTTTTACACTGGTCCAGACCGGAGCAGAGAGGATTCATGGTCCGAACCAAGTGGATCAGGTTCAAATCCACTGGAGGAATGCTAACTTTAAAAAAATGCAAATGAAGCATTTAGCATTTTACTTTTGGACTCCACTGCTACTCCACCTTGTGACCTGTCCTGCTCCACCCAGAGGCTACTCCACCTTGTGACCTGTCCTGCTCCACCCAGAGGCTACTCCACCTCTGCTGCTGTGACCCGTCCTGCTCCACCCAGAGGCTACTCCACCTCTGCTGCTGTGACCCATCCTGCTCCACCCAGAGGCTACTCCACCTCTGCTGCTGTGACCCATCCCGCTCCACCTAGAGGCTACTCCATCTCTGCTGCTGTGACCCGTCCTGCTCCACCCAGAGGCTACTCCACCTCTGCTGCTGTGACCCATCCTGCTCCACCCAGAGGCTACTCCACCTCTGCTGCTGTGACCCATCCTGCTCCACCCAGAGGCTACTCCACCTCTGCTGCTGTGACCAGTCCTGCTCCACCCAGAGGCTACTCCATCTCTGCTGCTGTGACCCGTCCTGCTCCACCCAGAGGCTACTCCACCTCTGCTGCTGTGACCCATCCTGCTCCACCCAGAGGCTACTCCACCTCTGCTGCTGTGAACCATCCTGCTCCACCCAGAGGCTACTCCACCTCTGCTGCTGTGACCCATCCTGCTCCACCCAGAGGCTACTCCACCTCTGCTGCTGTGACCAGTCCTGCTCCACCCAGAGGCTACTCCACCTCTGCTGCTGTGACCCGTCCTGCTCCACCCAGAGGCTACTCCACCTCTGCTGCTGAGACCCGTCCTGCTCCACCCAGAGGCTACTCCACCTCTGCTGCTGTGACCAGTCCTGCTCCACCCAGAGGCTACTCCACCTCTGCTGCTGTGACCCGTCCTGCTCCACCCAGAGGCTACTCCACCTCTGCTGCTGTGACCCGTCCTGCTCCACCCAGAGGCTACTCCACCTCTGCTGCTGAGACCCGTCCTGCTCCACCCAGAGGCTACTCCACCTCTGCTGCTGTGACCAGTCCTGCTCCACCCAGAGGCTACTCCACCTCTGCTGCTGTGACCAGTCCTGCTCTACCCAGAGGCTACTCCACCTCTGCTGCTGTGACCAGTCCTGCTCTACCCAGAGGCTACTCCACCTCTGCTGCTGTGACCCGTCCTGCTCCACCCAGAGGCTACTCCACCTCTGCTGCTGTGACCCGTCCTGCTCCACCCAGAGGCTACTTCACCTCTGCTGCTGTGACCTGAAGGGCTGTTGCTGATTATTACTATTTTTAACTTTTTAGAATGTTTATTTTTGCTGCTACTGGACACCTGAATTTCTCCTACGGGGATCAAAAAAGTATCTATCTATCTAGTAGTGTGGAAGATTAAGCACACAGAGACGGGATCGTGGCGCACCAGAGCTCCTGGAAGTTTATTCAGTTTCCTTCAGGTTTCAGTCGTTTCAGAATTTTTTTGTACATACAGCAAAACAGCTTGGTCTCCACAGTCATGTGCGTTCCCCCCTGGAATAGCAAAACGCCTGTCCCACTATGAGGATGACTGATCCAGAGTAACCAATGTGTTCTGAGTATTATTTCAGCTTACTATCCTCCATTATGTTAAGATAAGATAGACTTTATTGATCTCACACTGGAGAAATTTGCAAGTCACATTTGGCGCGGATAGAATCAGATTGTGCAAAAGACAGAAGTCGGTTAAAATTATAGTCTGTGCAGGATGTAATTGCGATAAAATAAAGAGTGGCAATAGCAGTGCAGCTTTTTTCAGTCCTAGTGCATTAGTGACTTGTTGTACAGTCTGACAGCGGTGGGGATAAAGTTGACATATTTCAGTAAATCACAGGCAGCCTGGTCTATTGTGACCAGCGTCTGGCCAGAACGTGGTATCTCAGTTATTTAACAAAGGGGAGACAATTGTTGTGCGAAACAGATTTCTCCCATTTACATATGACAACAAAACATGAATAATGTAAATTCCCCGTTTACTTACTGTATATTCCCCGTGTTTCTTTCCATACCACTTCATCCATTTTTTAAACTCTTTATCCATACTCTGAAATGAAGGTGAAAATAACGAAACATTGTCAATCGGACTGAGAGATGAACTATCACTGTCAAAATACATGTGGATATGGACCTTCTGGACAGATTTCCCGGTCACCCATGTTTTGACAGCCATCACACAATATAACAACTTGATTTTAGGAGAAATATTACAATACAAAAGAACAGCCCTTTTTCTGAGCTGCATTTACAGTATGTTGCACTTAGTTAATCATCTGCAGGTATTCAAAGCAATCGGTTTAGGAACAATCTTGATACTTCTGCCATTCACTAGTCACTCTAACTGTTGATATTATTGCTGATGATTATTCTACTCATATTCTCCGCTGCTAAAGTACAACACACACATCTGTAAATACTTCTGAACACGTGCAATTATAGCTCCAGAGTTTATTATTGTAATTGTATTGTTTATTATCTTAAATAACAGACTGATGTGTGCAATCTGAGTGCTCTCATTTCCAACTTTCTCTGCTGTAACGTGCGCAACGATGATGCTGAAGTTTCTCCACTGTGAGACAAATAAATATCTTAAATCCCTTCTAATTACAAATGATTGTGTATGATGTTTAAATGAATGAATCCTAAAAAATATCTCAGTGACTCGAGATAAATGAATGATGAAGGACCTTGTATGCATTGTGGGAAGACAAATATTGAGTTACCTCCGCATATGTGGCTGGAATGTCTGCTTTCTCCACACCATAGTAGTGTTTACAATTGGTCGCTGCAGCAACTTGTAGCACTACTTGCCCAACTCCTTCAAATAAAATAAATGTTCAATAGAAATATTTCCACAATCAAGATAAAGCACAAACAATGTCATAGGGCTGTAACGATTAATTTGATAAATAGATTAGTTGTTTGGATCCAAAACGGTATCAATATATATGGAATTTGTTCATACATTTGATCAAAATAAAGCTCAAGCGATGCCCCTGAACAGTTGTCTCCAACCTTTTTCACCCGGAGAGCTACTTCCCCCGGAACGATAAAGACAGTGAGCTACTCCTTTAAGCAGCCCCGGGGAGAATGTGTTGATATATTTGTGTGAACGCACCTGATATTGGGTACAGCCATGATATATTTATTACTAGTGCACAACGTAAATGCATTTATAATAATAAATACTGATAATGAATAATAAAAATCCTTCGGCGAGCTACCTGGAAGGGGGTGGAGAGCTACTGGTGGCTCCTGAGCTACAGGTTGGAGACCCCTGCCCCTGAAGAACCTCTTCAAAGAGACAACTTGTCACAACTTGATTTGAAATACTTGACACATTTATGTTTCATTCTGCGATCATTATAGAATTATCTGAGTCATAAAGTCTCTTCTCAGCATGATTAAAAAAGGGATAGTATGAAATATTTCCATTTTAAATTACATCTGCATATTTGATGTATCCCCAGATATTAGGTCACATGTACAAATCATACCTAATTTCTGAACAACAGTGTAAAGTGAAGTTATCTTATGGATCTTATTTATGTCTCTGCAGATTATCCAATCAGAGAGCAGAATGAGCCTCAAATTTGTGTTGTCAGTCTGTTGAAATTCAGCTAGTATTGGCTCAGTTTCTAGCTAAACCCAAGCAGGTGGATCGATCAGTCTTCAGTGTCACAGGCTGGAAGATTCTGCCAAGTTGGATTTTAAGGGCGTTATTAGACCACTAATTGTGCTACATATGGTCCTTTTAAGTCTATGTAAGGATAAAAAAACGATTAATAAACTATTAAATTAGTTCAATAATTGATTAGTTAGATGAATCAACTTGTTACAGAGCTACAATATTACAGAAATGACAAGTGAATGCAATAACAACAAAAAGCTTTCTAACCGCTGCCAAGATCGACAAAGGTGTCCTCCTCCATCATCTCTATCTCATCAATGATCTGAGCAACCAGGTCAAACGAGGTCTCCCCGTACACCTCCGGAGAAAAGGGTTCATAGTTGTTGAGCTTCTCTGGGTCTGTCACTGAGTGGTTGTACACCTGCTGGAGGATATGTCGTAGCAGCCCGTTGGAAGGACGCTTGTTCAGTTTCATGGGCTGGGTGGTCCCTTTCCACTGAAAATGGCACACTTTAGAACTGATATGTAAATGGCTTCATAAGAACTATAGATTTATTTACTAACCAACTGGTGAATGCTGTCGATGGCCCGGTTGTATTTGTCGCATAGTCTTTGCATGCTTTCAAAGCTAGGCCACAAAAATATACAAGTTAAGTTTCCTAACCATAATCGATTTCCTAAACAGCAGCATTCATTTCTAAAACCCGACATGTCCACGCACACTGACTCACCATTTTGTGTCATAATCAATGAGCACATAGTTTTCCATTGCCAGTTTGAGGTCTGGTATTTCCTCACACACCCATCTGGAAAACATGAAAATACTGTTACTCACAAATAAACACAAACAGAAAATGTCAAGAAAAGAAGGAATTTTACCGTATCGTTTCAATGATTTCGTGAGCAGCATCATGATGTTTATCCTAAAACACAATGAGAGCATAGTCAAAATAGTGCAAATAACAGTTTTTTAACAACATTGAACCTGTGTTCTGTAGAATAAGTTACAGAACAGTAGGAATGAGGAGCACACAACACAAGATGGTAAATATTAATGTAGCAATATGTAAGATTTTCATGTAAAGACATGATTAAATGGCCCTAATCTCCAGAGAGGCATTAATAAAACATACTCTTTTCAAATACTTCTTTAACTGATAACAGTGGTTTAGCCGAGATATTTTTACTTCAATATAATGTTTATAGTCCCTAAATCTTTTTATGGTTTTCATTTTGATGTCCCGCCCTCCACCGTTTTACCAATCAGAAAGTCCATGATCCGGGTTGCCAGAACTCACCGTGTCGAGCTAATCTCACTGGTAAAGTAAAATGTGGCCGCAGGAATAAAAATGTTATGATTCTCGAATCATTCATGAAAAAAAACGAATAAAAAAAGGAGTTCTATTGGGCAAAAAGTGTTGGTTATAGATATGTTGTGACAAAACTCAATTATTATAGTCCCAGCTGTATTCGTCTGCATATCTGGCAACCTGAGCCAGGGGGAGTGCAGTACCACTTTTGGCCAGATTTTGACACACTGCTCCTTTAAGTATAGCACTCTATACTTTAAAAGAAATATAATAAAATCTCTAGCTTTGTCTTAATAAAGAAGCAAAATATAAAATACTTCATACTCTTGTGCAAGAAATACATGTATGTATAAAAAAAAAAGAGTATACAAAAAACTAGGGATTGTTTAGATGGATTTTATTACCGGTAGTTATGTTTTTGTATTTTCAAAGTTAGGTGCTCCAACTTTAACATACAAGTTCACCGTAAATGTAAACGTTGTGTTACGGGGCTTGATGGTTTGTTGTGAATATCCGACATTGCAGAGGACAAGTCTGGCTGGAAATCACAGCTGCAGATGGGAGGAACAGGAGTCGTATTACACCAGAGCACAACCAGCCTGAGCCTGTTGCCTGAATTGACCCACTGACCCACTTTCAGACTGCCGCTCTACTGCAGAGTCAAGGAGGACTTTAGAGGAAGAGAAAGCAGGAAATTATTCAGACTAAACGTGAGGGACATTGAGAACAGGCTTTGATAGCTTTCAGCTTCGACTCACAGCGACATTAACCAAACGTTACGTCACACTAGTTTGTCACAAAGTGCAACAACGATGAGTCTAAAACACTCTCTGAAGATCTCCTGCATCAGCAAAAGGACGCAGTGTTCCTCAAATTAGAAGCAGCACACAGCTACCTTCAGCAGCACATGTAAGTGAGACGAAGAGGAGGGGGTCATTTGCTCAGACAAAGAGGCACACAGCAACACCAGCTTAGAGCACCAGCTAAAAATAAACTCTCCGAAAGCAGAACCTGGACTCTCTGTGCTGTGGGGAGGGAGCCAGACAAATCTCACCCCATAAAATGCACTTCTACAAAAGCATTAAAAAACATATACAACAAGACTAAATGAGTATCTGTGATGACCAAAAATAATCATAAGAATTTGCACTGTAACCCACAACCATTTGAAAGGTCAATGTTTTTATGCATATAAATACAAAGGGAACATTCAAAACCTTTTTCAGTATTTTCAAATGACAATGAGTCTGCAACCATGTGGGAAGTCAATGGTTCCTTCTGAAAAAAACTTCTCTGCAATTAAAAGAACTTGCTAAAAACCAAATCATATGTCAAAGATTGTTAAATATAAACATTATAGGGAGAAGAAAGAACATGCTAAAGCAATAAGAATGTTGCAGTTTGTAGCTCCAATATAGAAACATCTTCTTACAGAAACGCATCGGCATCAATGATAATGTAGATCAGTTCTTGAAGATATTTATTACTCTAATGTCAGAATGCTGTGGTCAGCTCATCCATCCCTGCAGAGCGGAGCATATGGGCATGAGGAGAAGGAGGAAGTGCACAGAGAACAGGAGGACAGCGCCACATGATTGGGCTCTGAATTGTACAATACCATATGTAAGCCAATGGTCTGCTTCCAATTCAATCCCTGATGACTAGCTCAGCATGTTTGGGAGCGGGCTGAATTCCTTGCATGCTTTTTGCAGAAGTCGAAATTGACACAGGGAAATGGGCAAGGGCTTAAATCAGAAGAGATCTTTCATGAACTGGCCTGGTGTCAGTCAAAACAGAAGTCCATTTGACTACTACAAGAACTTTAGGAAACATTTGTCCCAAAAAGTACAAATTCATTACCTTAAACTTAGATTTAGATTGAACATGTGACTTTAAATGACTGATGGTTGTAGGACAATTAAATAATGAAAACGTTTTATGAATCAGCCTTTTAACAAATAATGTCAACATACTATACAAGTCATTCAAGAACCAGTTCAGTCTGATAAATGGATTTTCCCATAATCGAGAAGCCCTACTTATTGTCTATGATCTTAAATAATAGACTTTGATGTGTGCAATCTGAGTGCTCTTATTTCCTTTCTCTGCTGTAATGTGCAACGATGACACTGACATTTCTCCACTGTGAGACTAATAAAGGTTTATCTTATCTTATCTTACTAGTCTAGTTTACAAGGGGGGAACTGAGAATTCCTAAACATTTTGAGAAATGTGCTTGTCCGTCTTATCACAATTTCTCTAAATGAGGATCAACGCTAGTACTGAATCATACATCACAAGACTTCACTGACAACCACTTCCTTTTCCGTCTCTCTTGAATGAAACAACTTGAGCCTACACAATTGCACATCACAACCCGTTAAACACAAATGCATATAATAAAATACTACCTGCTGATAAATAGGTTCATTAGAATTAATTTTCCATTAGAACGTGCCAGGAGCCCACAAAGGCAAATACCACGTTTCAATACTACTACTACTACTACTGTTATTATCACAGCCAATGAACTACTACTACTTCTACTACTACTACTACTGCTACAACTTCTACTACTAGTACCTAAACCACAGTTATTATCACAGCCAATGAACTACTACTACTACTACTAGGGTTGTCACGGTAAACGGTGTAGCGGTAAACTGCGGTAAAAATTTTGACGGTAAAACTTACCGTGTTATTTTTGAAAAACTATATTACCGCGCCCACGGTGTAAGCACGGTGAGCCTCACCGGCCACCGTCTCATCTGCTGGAGTTGCCGCGCATGCGCACTATGTTGTTGTTTTTTACCCAAAACAAGCTGGAATCATGGCCGAAGGAGAAGACGGCAGCGCTCAGGACATTTATCAACCTTCAAAGAGGACCAAGTCTGAAGTCTGGGCATATTTTGGGTATTTGAAGAACGCCGAGGGACAGCTGATAGAAGACAGTTATCCTGTTTGCAGGACGTGCAGGAAAAAAGTTTCTGCGAAAGGCAGCAACACGTCGAACCTCATGACACATCTGCGTGACCATCACCCACAACTCTACAGCCAATGCAAGGTAAGTTAACATTTTAGCCGAAATGCATAATGTGCAGACTTTGGGTTGAGGGAGAACGCAACGAGTCGCCCCATAGTGCAGCCGTAGCGCCACCGCTTCCATGTAAGCCGTGTCGCGGATACCTCCGTATTGAAATGGCACAATGCATTACAGGACTCCTGGAGGGCAGATAAAAGCCCCATTATTATGAATTTAACAATGGTCACTGACATTTTCCCAAATCTGAAAAAGCACACGGGAAGGACACAAACTGAGCACACTATATCCTGAGGGTTTATTTAGTTGTCTGGAAAATATTATTATTATAAACACATTTCTGGCGCTATAATTAGTACATGTAATACCCTCGAAACGATCAAATCATTAAATATTGGAATCAATAGCAAATATACCCATGAACTTATATGTATAAGCCCTGTAAGAATTTCTAACCAATCGTTTTATTTTGATTTATCAACAAAAACAAGTATAGGCAAACTCGTCGTATGTATTTTAATATGAATGATATAATAATAATTAATAATAATGATTCATAACAATAATGATATGGGTATTTTTTTAAATATTTTGTTTTTGTTTACAGAAAGGAGTGGGACAGACAGCGAGGCAACGGAGTACTGCTACTGGATCATCAGTGACACAGACACTTGAGCAAGCGTTCAAAAAACAGACTGCTTATGCGCCTGCATCTAAAAATGCTCAAGAACTGACTGCAGCAATCGCCTATTGCATAGCAAAAGACATGATGCCTTTCCGGATAGTCGAGAGGCCTGGCTTTCTGAGGGTGATGAAGGTTGCCGTACCTCATTACAAAGTGCCTACACGCAATTATTTTTCAAAGACTGAAATTCCAAAGATGTACAATGAAGTCAAAGCTGATGTTAAGAAGAGTTTGGCTCAGGGTGAATTCTTTGCTGCAACTACTGATCTCTGGACCAGTGAAAGAGGGGGTGGTCTACCATACATCAGCTTTACAGTTCATTATCTCACCCCAGACTGGCAACTGGAATCACATTGCTTAGAAGCCCATTTTTTTCCAGAAGATCACTCTGCTCAAAATATTACAGAGTTTTTTGAAAATATGTTGGAGGAATGGGAGATAAACAAAACAGATCTGGTCTCCATAACCACAGATAATGCAACCAACATGACCAAGGCCTTTGAAGACTTTCCAGATCTGTGGCTAGGATGCTTTGGTCACAATTTGAACCTGGCCATCTCAAAGGCTCTGAAAATACAGAGAGTTGAAACAGCAGTCAGGGCATGCCGTCATCTGGTCCAAGGCTTCTCACGGAGCTGGAAGAGAAAGAGAGAACTGAGAGAAAAGCAACTTGCCCTCAACTTGCCACAGAAGGCTCTCATCCATGACGTTGTGACCCGATGGGGATCTACATACAAGATGCTTGAGCGGTTCATCAGCCAGCAGCAGGCAGTCTGTGCTACATTGGCTGCAGAAAGGGGAGTTTGGCATCTGATGCCCAAGGATACTGATATAGTTGTCATGGAGCAACTCTGCCAGCTCCTTGACCCTCTGAGCAAGTTTACAGATGCACTTTGCTCAGAGACACGAGTAACTTTATCAGCCATTAAGCCAGTCCTTGACCACATCACTGGTGATGTCCTGGAGGAAAATGAAGAGGATCCAGCCCTGACCAAGCAGATGAAACGGGCAATGAGAGAAGACCTAAACAACCGGTACACAGAGAAAGCAAAGGATGTCATGCAGATGGCTTGTTTCATTGACCCCAGGTTCAAAACTAACTTTTTAGACCATGTGGATGATGTAGTTGACCGCTGTGTTCAGGAGGCCTTGAAGCTGACACCTGTACAAGTCAGGCAGGAACCACAAAGCACCAGCAGTACCTCCACAGCAGCATCAGGAGGGAAAGGCCTAGCTGGGTTACTAATAAAGATTAACTCAACAAGGCAGCAGCGATCTGAAGAGGGTTCGGCAGCCACCCCAGAAGATAAAGTGAAGGAGGAAGTCAAGATCTACATGTCTCTGCCATCCATTCTAGCTGATAATGACCCACTGGTGTGGTGGAGGGCCCATGCATCAGAGCTGCCTCATCTTGCCAGGCTGGCAAAAAAGCTTTTGTGTATCCCAGCAACAAGTGTTCCATCAGAGAGAATATTCAGTGCCAGCGGGTACATTGTTTCCCCTCTTAGATCACAACTTAAACCAGACAAGGTAAATATGTTGACATTTTTGCATTTCAATCTCAAGTAAATGGAGATGCATACAGTCATGATGCTGGTTGCTGGATCAGCAGCATCTTATCTGTTATGGAGAGAAGTATACAATTAGTATTTTTTTTATGCCATCTATACTTGAACATTTGGATTTGATTACCTATGATGGTAGACGTTATTTTTGTAATTTGTTTAAAGTGGCTATTTATTTTAAGGTTGACTTGTACAGTGCTAAAGTCAAGTGTGCGGTTTTAGAAAACAAGTATAAGACACAAGTGGTGTTTCTTTGATTTGTTTACATATTGTTCCTTATGTCTTGAATGTTTGGATTTGTAAAATTCAAACCTGCACTATTGTAAATGTTCCTGACAAATAAGCTATTTGCATGCTCAACCCTTTTACTTAGATGTGAAAAGTTGCACTTTTGATGAGGCTTTGTCTGTATTTTTTAATATAATAAACACTGTTACACTTTTTCTAAACTATTTGCATTTGTGTAGGACTATCAATGCTTTCTGAACATATTCAACACACTTAAAAAAAAAAAAAATACCGCGATAATACCGAAAACCGTGATAATTTTGGTCACAATAACCGTGAGGTCAAATTTTCATACCGTGACACCCCTAAACTACTGTTATTATCACAGCCAATGAACTACTACTACTTCTACTACTACTACTACTACTACAACTTCTACTACTAGTACCTAAACCACAATTATCACAACCAATGAACTACTACTACTACTACTACTACTACACTGTTATTATCACAACCAATGAACTACTACTACTACTACTACTACTACACTGTTATTATCACAACCAATGAACAACTACTACTACTACTACTACACTGTTATTATCACAACCAATGAACTACTACTACTACTACTACTACAACTTCTACTACTAGTACCTAAACCACAGTTATTATCACAACCAATGAACTACTACTACTACTACTACTACTACACTGTTATTATCACAACCAATGAACTACTACTACTACTACTACTACACTGTTATTATCACAACCAATGAACAACTACTACTACTACTACTACTGTTATTATCACAACCAATGAACTACTACTACTACTACTACTACACTGTTATTATCACAACCAATGAACAACTACTACTACTACTACTACTACACTGTTATTATCACAACCAATGAACTACTACTACTACTACTACTACACTGTTATTATCACAACCAATGAACAACTACTACTACTACTACTACTACACTGTTATTATCACAACCAATGAACAACTACTACTACTACTACTACTACACTGTTATTATCACAACCAATGAACAACTACTACTACTACTACTACTACACTGTTATTATCACAACCAATGAACTACTACTACTACTACTACTACACTGTTATTATCACAACCAATGAACAACTACTACTACTACTACTACACTGTTATTATCACAACCAATGAACTACTACTACTACTACTACTACACTGTTATTATCACAACCAATGAACAACTACTACTACTACTACTACTACACTGTTATTATCACAACCAATGAACTACTACTACTACTACTACTACACTGTTATTATCACAACCAATGAACAACTACTACTACTACTACTACACTGTTATTATCACAACCAATGAACAACTACTACTACTACTACTACTACTACACTGTTATTATCACAACCAATGAACAACTACTACTACTACTACTACTACACTGTTATTATCACAACCAATGAACTACTACTACTACTACTACTACTACACTGTTATTATCACAACCAATGAACTACTACTACTACTACTACTACTACACTGTTATTATCACAACCAATGAACTACTACTACTACTACTACTACAACTTCTACTACTAGTACCTAAACCACAGTTATTATCACAACCAATGAACTACTACTACTACTACTACTACTACACTGTTATTATCACAACCAATGAACTACTACTACTACTACTACTTCTACTACTAGTACCTAAACCACAGTTATTATCACAACCAATGAACTACTACTACTACTACTACTACTACACTGTTATTATCACAACCAATGAACAACTACTACTACTACTACTACACTGTTATTATCACAACCAATGAACAACTACTACTACTACTACTACAACTTCTACTACTAGTACCTAAACCACAGTTATTATCACAACCAATGAACTACTACTACTACTACTACTACTACACTGTTATTATCACAACCAATGAACTACTACTACTACTACTACTACTACACTGTTATTATCACAACATGAACTACTACATACACACATAATACACTGAACTACTACTACTACTACTACTACTACACTGTTATTATCACAACCAATGAACAACTACTACTACTACTACTACTTCTACTACTGTACCTAAACCACAGTTATTATCACAACCAATGAACTACTACTACTACTACTACTACTACACTGTTATTATCACAACCAATGAACTACTACTACACTACTACTAGTACTAACACTGTTATTATCACAACCAATGAACTACTACTACTACTACTACTACTACACTGTTATTATCACAACCAATGAACACTACTACTACTACTACTACTACACTGTTATTATCACAACCAATGAACAACTACTACTACTACTACTACTACACTGTTATTATCACAACCAATGAACTACTACTACTACTACTACTACTACACTGTTATTATCACAACCAATGAACAACTACTACTACTACTACTACACTGTTATTATCACAACCAATGAACTACTACTACTACTACTACTACACTGTTATTATCACAACCAATGAACAACTACTACTACTACTACACTGTTATTATCACAACCAATGAACTACTACTACTACTACTACTACACTGTTATTATCACAACCAATGAACAACTACTACTACTACTACTACTGTTATTATCACAACCAATGAACTACTACTACTACTACTACTACTACTACACTGTTATTATCACAACCAATGAACTACTACTACTACTACTACTACTACACTGTTATTATCACAACCAATGAACTACTACTACTACTACTACTACAACTTCTACTACTAGTACCTAAACCACAGTTATTATCACAACCAATGAACTACTACTACTACTACTACTACTACACTGTTATTATCACAACCAATGAACTACTACTACTACTACTACTTCTACTACTAGTACCTAAACCACAGTTATTATCACAACCAATGAACTACTACTACTACTACTACTACTACACTGTTATTATCACAACCAATGAACAACTACTACTACTACTACTACTACACTGTTATTATCACAACCAATGAACAACTACTACTACTATTACGACTACTACTACTACTACTACTACTACTACTCCACTGTTATTATCACAGCCAATGACAGCCGGCGACAGTGGCCATTGTAAACAACCCACATACAAATATTAATTATACGCCCTTTTGCACGAACAATGTGGAATCCACGATTAATAAAACAAGTCGATTTCACAACACTCGTCATCATCTGATTATCGGTCTGACTCAGAACCGACAAGTTTGACCTGATTCCCCGGTGTGTGCTCTCGGCTATCACCCGCTAGCCAACATTAGCACGTGGCTAGCTAACAAAGACAACAACACGGGTTTATGGCCTAATTACGTCCACTTTAAACACGTGTGCTACTTACATATATCGGTAATGGCCACGGGTAACCGGCGGGTTCTGCTCCTACCGGGGACTTGAGCTTGAGTTCCAGCTTTTCTCCCATTCTCCACGGCACGGAGGCTCGGCTGTGCTCGGTGTTAGCTTACTGCCAGTGTTAGCAACTCGGCTACAACGGTGACATTTTGTGAAGGAATGCGCCAAACGTGAAGGAGACGCGGCTGCTCGCTCCGACGGGAGTGTGTACGCGGTGAGGCGGACGGTGCCTGTGGATCTGACCGTGTTTGTTTTGGCGTAAATAAATGGCGTTTTGTGTTCACTGGCGATAACAGCCTGTCCGTGCCGCCGCCATCTTGCCCGGCGTGAATGTGGCAGAGATCCACCGCACGCGCACACACCGCGGGGAGACGTCAGCACGAGGCGGGTCCTGTGCGCGTGGAGCAATGTCAGTCAGGGGCCCCCAACACCGTGAAGGCTCCTGAGAATGCTGAAGATTATAATAATAATAATGCATTGGTTTTTTTTTTATACAGGGGCGACAGTAGCTCAGTTGGTAGAGCATTGGCCTTTGAGCCTGAAGGTCGTGGGTTCGAGCCCACCTCAAGACCTACTTCACAACTCCCACTGATGACTGCTGTTGTTGTGTCCTTGGGCAAGACACTTAACCCCACTTTGCCTGAAGCCCCAACTGAAAGATCTCAGCTCCTGTGGACTCACCACTTGCAGGAGGATCAGTGAGGGGCTGGTGCTCTGTGGACTGGGTGCAGCTCTGGCCACCCCCCCGACCCAGAAATGGATTAAGGGGAAGAAAATGGATGGATGGATGGTTTTATACAGCGCTTTTCTGGACACTCAAAGACGCTTCACATGTGTCATTATTCTTTCACTCCATACACGGTGGTGATAAACTACTACTGTAGCCACAGCTGCCCTGGGGCACACTGACAGAAGCGAGGCAACCAGTATGCGCCATCGGCCCCTCCGAACTCCACCAACCAGACTAATTCTAGGCAATGGGGGTGAAGTGTCTTGCCTAAGGACACAACAGTAGTTTGGCACTTTACAGCCGCAGCCGCCTCACTGTGGCTGGTGTTCCCAGAGGTTAAGTGTCTGGCCCAAGGACACAACGACAGCAGACAGTGGGAGTCGATGGTGAAGGTCGGGCTCAAACCCACGATCCTCTGGCTCAAAGGCCAACGAGATGTCCCTACTTACCCAGGACAGTCCCAGGTTGAGAGCTTTAATGTCCCAGGGTGCACGTAACGATGTGCCCCACTTCAGCTCAATATTTATTACACACACACACAAAAAAAACACTTTGTATTACATCCGATGGTTTGTGTTCTCTCAAAGTTTAAATCAGCCAATCATCTATTTTGAGTGCTTGTTTGATTCCTAATGTCATGTGCGCTGCAACCCTTATCCCCATCCAAACACGAATTGTATTACTGTTTATATTACACAAATATAGCGTTCGACTGACGGTCTATGCCTCCCAATCTGCTGGTTTTTTGTCCCACACAAGTTGGATTTTGAATATATAAATACGATCGAACTTGTGAGGTATTATACTTCTAAGTTTTCTCGCTTACAGTCGTTTGGGTTTTCACATGCACACAGCGTCAATACCATAGACTGTTTAATTGATACACAGTAAGTATTGAGAGCGATCAAGGATTACACTCGGTTCCACTCTTTTGTGATTTGAAAGATACATGTAACCCGTTAGAATAACTAGTAATACATTACATTAAATTTGCCTTCTGAGTGTATGTTGTGAGCTCTTTTAGACAATGTGCAAATGTGCCAACGTTATATTGAATAAAACGCATTATTTAGTCAAATATTTCTATGTTATAAATTATGCTATGCCTGGCCGTTTATTTCGGAGTTATAATTGACATATCAGATCAGTGTCTTGGTAAGTATATTGCATTAAGTTAGACACGTGCACTGCAGGATCTACAATAACGCACTCAATAACCACAGCATGGCCATACGGTGCTCTTGTGGTTTACAGGTGATTTGCTGCCACCTTTGGGATGAATGTGGAACCGCTCAAGCAAATTTAATGCCCAAATTAAAAGCTGGTAAATTGTATTCTGCTATTCACAACCACTTTAAATTGTAAGGCACTAGTTTTTAAAAGGGTTTTATTGAAACACATCAGTCTCTGTCGCTTGGTGTCAAAGCATGCTTTCGTAGCTACAGAAAGTTCCTCTTCCCAACGCCTTTATTTATTCTTTTACAGCAGCTTGTATGTAGAGAAAAGAAAAACCTACAACAGGTCATTTTGGCACAATCAGCTCATACAACAGTTTTCCTGTGCTGGCATAATGATTTACCATCCAAATAAAGAAAATGAAAAACATTACAATGGAACTTGACAAAAATCGATGTGTAGAAAAGTGTTTTCTGAAAATATAGGCCTATTTCCAAAGCAGCTTCCTTGATGAAAGTTGCAGCCAAGTGTGCTGTTCCTCAAACTGGTCACCACAGGACAAGGCTTTGATGTAGAGTCTTGTGTCTTCACCCTTTGGTACTTTATAAAACACCGATCTAGAGTAGAGAAGCAGGGACTGGTAGGAATCAGGATTTCTAGTTTGATCAAATACTGCGATATGTTTCTTTTCTTCATTTGGTAGAGCATTGTGTTCAAGTAATACTTTGGTAGTATCCATGCTGGTCAAAGCTAGGTCTTGCATGCCAATTCAGTTTTTAATGTTTTTGCCATTGACTTCATTTTTTTTTTTTTTTTAAGACTTCTCTGTAACATGTCAATGTGCATGTACCCTGATGGACACAGAACTCCAAGGTTACAGCAAAGGTGCAGACTTATATTCACATAAAATACAGCACGGATTAAACCAGACCCATTTTCTACAGTATCTCCGTCTTCAGACTTTTTGGAAAGAGCTTTAGAAAAAGAAATACTTTGTATGACCTCTTTGTCACATCTGGAAAGGCAAAGTTGGCCGACAGTTCCTCTGAGACTTGAAAGAGCAGTCCAGCCACTGACATGGCTTCATCTTAACAGTCATCTCAATAGACAATAGTGGGTTTAAACCTTGCATACACATATTGGAAAAATATTGTTCCTAAAATAATACTCTAAAGATGTTTTTTGTTAATTAAAATAATGCTTTGTTTCTGAAATAATGAATGGAAATACTGAACGTATTACAATGTCAGAAAACATGGAATAAAGGTTGCTACAAAAGCTACAATAAACTAAACCAGATGGGAGAAATTAAGCTAAATATTTATAATGGCTTCTTGGGTAAGTATCACCATTTTGGTTCTAACCAAGTTCCACTGTTCAGATGTTACCAAAGTACAGCTTGTTAAGGATTAACAGGTCAGTTTAAAGCTCAGGAAATGGAAACGTCCCTCATTAAGACATCTGCACATAATTTAGAAAAAAGGCCAAGCCCACAGGCCTGCTTCTGGCTTTGTGCATTTAAAGTAATGCATTGATTAAATCAACAGCAATATCCATCCCTCTTTGAAAGAGAAAAAAAATGATGCCAATGCACTGACAATTTCATGGACAAGGCAGCTTCTTGGTAAAATACTGGCTGACATTCAAGAGAAGAGGGAAAGCACGGACAGTTAGGTACTGATATTGAGGAGTGTGGAGAAGACTCATCCCCCCAAATAAGTGTCAAAATAAATAGTGGAAACAGACTGATTATAAAACAGCACAACCAGTTGTTCAACTGATAACTGATGGTTCATTCTATTTATAAACAAAAAAAAGTTCTTTAGGTGCACAATCTGTCAATTTCAAAAAGTGTCCCCCTTTTAAAAGATTGTATAGCTCATAATTGGTGTAGGTTTGACTCCTTTACCACTGTGCACTAAACGCAGACTGGGATGCATCATGACTACAGATACGTATGGCCACTATAGCCATAGGATCCATCGAAAAAAAGAAAAGCGTCCAGTTTTTCACCCACAAGAGCCTCGAGCCCCAATGTGGCTACATTCCCTTCATGGCGTCTCATGGGAGGATTTAAAGAGGAAACTGAATCCAATGAGAAACTCTTAAAGTTGCTGTTGATCATATTCAGCAATGAGTTTCTTAATATGTGCCAGTTTGTTGTGTAGATATTCACAGCGGTTCTTCTCTTGACTATAGTTGGGATTAGTCTGTAACACATACAAGTTTACACCATTATTAGTATAATGAAGTTTCTGCCAACTATTGTACTGTATTATGTATACATGTGTCTGCTTACCTTTTTGATTGTGTGGTACTCCTGAAGAATCTGATTATGGATTGTCTGCAAAAAATAATAAAATGCAGTAAAGGACTTTGATAAGTATGCTACTTACTATGTATGCACAACAGTAGACTGCACCTTGTACTTGTCTGTGCCTTGCTGGAGCTGTTTCAGCTCATTGTCGAGCACCGTGAACTGACGTGTGACGCCCTCTATCCGAGCATGCAGATCCCTGTACTCTGTGTACTCTGCGTTGAAATCATTTTTATACTTTTGGCGCTGCTCAGAAGAGCCAATCACTGTGTACTTCCTAGGGTCGAAAATAAAGTTTAATTTAAAAAGTATCACAAATACATTGTTGCTAAAAATACATTACTTACAATAAATAGTCAGCCAGCTCAGGGGTCGACAAAGGAATACTGGTAATGTTGCACGTTCCATTAATATCTGAATATGAACAAACTTAATTAAAAAAACAAACAAACAGCAGGGGTCTCTAGACACAAACATTGGTCCTGGTGGACTAGACATGTTACTGCATCAAACCGGCCTCACCTGTGCTTCTGTGTGGAATACAGTTCTTCAGGTTGTCAGGATTCTCCTCACATTCTCTGGGCTCAGGCACTCGTTCTTCATGGACTTTCCTCTGATTCTCCTCAGCCTTTTCTTTCACCCTTTCACGGGATTTGGTCTTATCTTTGTCTTTATCTTTATGTTTTTTGGACTTCTTTTTGGACTTGTTAAAGGAAGTAGAAGTGTCGTTCTGGGCCACATTCAGGGCATTGTGTCCAGGGGAAGACGTGCTGATGTTAGGGGTGGACAAAGTACTTGTACCAGAGGAGAGGGAAGGTGCTGGACACAGTCTCTCTGCACTTTCATGTGAGTCACAATCACGGCCATTATGGCTGGAATCGTTGCTGACGTCCGAAAGTGCTTCAAAAGGTCGGGGGATGTCCAGCACTGGCAGTGGCTGGATACTGGACGTCACACCAGAGTCTGACATAGAAACAGAAACTCCTGACTGGGCTTCTGCTTTCCCATTTGATGGACCCAGTCGGCCATTTAATGGGGTTGTAGCCTTGCCGGCTAGATGTGATATTCTGGGCTTTTTGTTGGCTAAGGGGTCAATGAAGTCAGCAGCAGGTCGTTTCTGTAAAGATGAGTCTTTGTGAGCATGGACATGAACAACAAAAAAACGACAATGTATTTTATAAACAATAACATTTGAGCTGTTATGTCAACATTCATTATCCATAACCCTTATTGATTCATTAGACATTGAAATTGGAGTACCAATTTTTTGATACCGAGAGCTGATTTTAGAAACATTTTTATTTCCACGTAAGTAACAAATTGTGAGTATTCTCACAACTGATAAAGATTTGAGGGGCATGAAAACTAATCATCGAATTAAAATGTTTTAAGATCTAGGATTTAGTAACATTGATTTTATTACATGTTTTATTTTTCTTTTATTGTGCATTTATTTGTTGCACTTCACATTCAACAATATTGTACAACGTGGGATTGGGATTTGGGTTAAAGACAATACTCATCATGGCCGGCCTTTGAGGGAAACAGGATCAAAACACACATCTAGAAACTACGGAATGAAAGAACACATACATCGACACCAGTCCAGTATCGGGAATAACAAAACAGGAAATGTACCTGAGATGGTGAACTACTGGGCTGCTCTTTGGGCGGACTCTCAGGCAGCGGGGCTTGTGTCTGCTTTCTGAAACAGTGCAGAACGGCCCATTGATTTGATTCACATGCAAATGCAATTAGTCTAACTAAAATTATTCAAGTTATGTTGGTAACTAAAGGGGAACATAAACTCATGCTCTGACAAAGACCAAACACATGCGCAAGAAATATCCATGTTTATCTTGTTTATGTAGTTTTTAGTTGTGATCCAGTTTAGCTTAAGTATTGATACTTTTAACAACCCAAAACTTGTGTCCTCAGAGACAATGCCAATATTATTTATTATTTGTACAGCCTTAATTCACAAGTGAAGCACTCTTTTAAAGGCCATAAAAATGTAATCTATGGGGTGATTATCAGTCCAGGGCAGTTGGTTAAAACTGGGTCGCATCAGGACCCCGCCCTGCCCTGCCGGGGTGTGTCAATGCTGAGGAGCTGAAGAGGAGCAGGAGCGAGACCCTGTTGTCAGATGGCAGAGAGAGCTGAACCTTGGACTGGTGCCACCTCACAAACAGATCAGCGTGTGCCTAAACACTGTTGCATCATCAACGTTCCACGGTGCAGCTCTGCTCCGCTGCGTGACTGAATGCATTAGCTCCAAAACTGGAGGAGCTGCGAATGGGGGGGGGGCTGTGGCCTGTGAGCTGATAAACTGACCAAAAGTTCAAAGTACAGAAAACGGCACACAAAACCCCAAATCAACAGAGAAATGCACTTGTGCTTGCAAAGCAATGTTTGAACAGTCAAGCGTTTCAGAATATCAAGATTGTAGGAAAATACAACAGTATATGCCCTTTGGGAGATCCGCCCCTATTGGACCAGCAGGCAAGTTCAACAACAGCCAAGACAGAACCATTGTAAATGAATACCTAAAGAGGATTCTCTTCAGAAGCTGCTGGTCTCCTTCTGTGTAACTGGGCCAATCCTTCTGAATTTCCTTATAAAAAATGTCTTTTAATGTGAAGGTGTTGTCCTTCATATTTAGATTAGCCACCTACAAAATGGCAAACACAATACAACAGTTAACAACATAGTCCAACCATTAGTGCAATTTCAAGTGCATGATTATAAACCTGTTGCAGGAGGCTATCCAAACACTCCTTGTCTGATGGTGAGAGACCATCTTTTTGCAATCTTAATATTAGCTCTGGCTTCTTGTAAGGCTTAAGAGCCAGGAAGTGAACAAGCCTCTCCCGAAGTGGCCGGTGCTGCACCAAAACCTTCTTCACATTTCCACTGGAGATGATCACAGGTCGAGAAGTTCTCCGTGAAGGAGCGATGTCAGAAAGCCCAGGAGCTGGTTTCCGGATCTGAACTTTCTTGCCTTTGAGACAAAATAAATTAAAAAAATTCAATAAAGTTCAAATGTTTATAAGCACTTATTATATTCAATAATAAATGTATATAAAGATATAATATAATCCAATTAAATAATAATAAATAATAAATATATATATAAAATTATGAATATATGGTGATGATGATGAAGATGAAGCTCAAGCGGATGTTCAGACTGAAAGACCGAGTGCCTGCCAGCCTCGAGCCTCAGCCAATCACACAGCTCTGCCAGCCTCGAGCCTCAGCCAATCACACAGCCAGGCCAGCCTCCTGCCAACCCTCTCAGAGCAAAGCGGGCAGTTTAAAAGGCAGCCACTTCCTGAGGCTCTTAAACACCCACCACCTCCCCAGCACCCCCTCTGGCTCTTGGCTCCCGCTCTGGCTCCCGCTCTGGCTCCCGCTCTCGGCTCCTGCTCCGCCCCATTCACACCATACTCTAGCCACCACCAGTGATTGACCCCGGGGGATCTGAGATCATCTCAGCTGCAATCGATCTCATAGCTGCAAGTGTCACTGCCGGGGTCAATGCGCCAAACAAATAAATCATTTTAATGTATTTATCGTGTCTTTGGTCTCTTCAGATTGAAATATTAGTAAAGGCTGTGATACTTAACGTATAAACAATATCAATATAATCATATTATACATACACTGTATAATTTTCTGAGAATGTCACTGTTGCATAACTAAATATACCACCGACTTAGCAAAGCTTTAGAAACCACATCAGTTAAATTAATTTAGAATAGGGGGTGGGAGTTCAAAAGTCTTAAACTCCTCCCACTCCTTTTCGCGCTGGACTTTTGTTAATAAAACAAAACGTACTGTTTATCAGTATATTATATATATATATATATATATATATATATATATATATATATATATATTATGTATTGTCTCTTTCTGTTTGTGTTTGTGTTTTTTTGTTCTTTGTTCTTTTTCGTTATGGCTGGAAATAAAAGTATTAATTCATTAATTCACTTACAAATTCGGATCATTTGGATGACCAGTGCCTCTTTTGTACAGTCCATGTAGGTTTCTGAATATGGGTTGTTTTGGTGTGATAAACAAACTATAAAGCAGTGATTTGTAACCCTTTCAAAAATGTATTTGTTGCACATTGGGCCATCACGCACGTTTCCTGAATATTTCGTGCAAATCCTGTTAACCTTTTGAATTATGTTGCTCACAGACAAACGGCTGTGCTCACTTAACCTCAGAGACAGCAGTAATGAAAACCTGGATCAATCATTTTTAGAAAATAGTGGAGTTCCACAACATGGAATTCTGAAGTCTGTCATGGCACAACTACAGCGAGCATGTTATATTAGTGTTCAGTATGCAGGGGATTAAGATTAAGATTAAATTATATACATGCATATGTGTAGAAAGGAGCGCTACCGTAGGGCCTTTATCCCCACCGCTGTCAGACTGTACAATAAGTCACTTTAAATGATCACTGTGTGAAAACCTGCACTACTATTGACACTGTTTCCAATTGACACTTGTCACTTTTGTTGTACATAAATATCGTGTATGTAACACGTTTGCACATTTCCTCCTTTTGCACAATCTGAGTGTCCTATCCATGCTAAATGTGACATGTACATTTCTCCTATGTGAGATAAATAAAGCACATCTTATCTTATCTTATTGATATATGTGTTGTACTTTTAATCGCCATGCACTTTAAGGTCACTGTAAATGTTTGAAAAGAATAAAATACAAAATAATATTGAAACAATGTTTAATACTGCAGTAAAACAAGATTCCTTCTGCCACACACCTTAATGAGATATTAAAGCACACAAGACTGTTCAGCAGAAACATTGCACCTTCCCCTTTAAAGTGAACTGATCCACTTACCCACATATCTCCCTCCAGGCTTGATGACAATGGCACTTCTACTCCGAGTTTCCTCCTCCACCTGGGCCATGTTTTCTCTGGCCTTTTGGTAGGAATCATCAGTGGCACATACTGTAATCTTGTCCTGTATTCCTCCCAAACAGTCCAGCTGAATGCTCCCTTCACTGTTAAGAGATGGCACATGTGAGTCCACTGTACGATTACAGGTTATTATCCTACTGTACAGAGCAGTGTTAGATTTGATTGACCTGTCGGTGCTTAGCGTTAATTATAATGTTTAGTTCTTTGAACACATATATAAACAATGATAACAAAAAAGGCATGCATAAAATGCATTCTAAACAGTTCAGCCGTGCCAGACTAGAAGTACAGGTTATAAGTAGCTTGTTGAACTGCTGGGCTCCTGCCAAAAACACATTCAGTAACTCTATGCATGAGTGTGACACAGAGTGGGGAGAGAGTAATGAGAACAATATGTTGTGTTTATTGTTGCTTTAGCATTTATTTCACTGCACTTAAGGCCATTTTATACAAGTGGTTTTCAAACTGTGGGTGAGACGTCTGCAAGTCCCTTGATCGTGTGTTGGGGGTAGGGCTGGACAACATTTTAAGGGTATTAGTCAAGAACAGATAGATTCTGGGAACGCCCTGTAAAATGTTCAATGGAAGTTTGTAGTTTTCATCATTGATGAGGCCAGTCTTTGACAAAAACATTTCACTTAAGGACATTAGTGCCAAGGTTCTGTGCACAAAGTGGTGGTAACATAAACAATTTTTTTTTACTTTAAAAACTATTTTGCACCTTGAGCCAAAGCAATTTCACGTTACATCCAATGTAAAAAAAAAAAGAATTCTGATGAAAAACAAAGTCAGCCATCGACAAAATTAATCATGTACATGGCACAACAAGGACGTTTTCAGTCTTATTGATGAAAGCTAGTTTATGCAGCATGAATTTAGCCAAAGTGATATTTCTGGATTGTTAAACCCGTACTTACAACTGAAATAGTAGACTTTTGTTGGATTATGTTAGGCAATGCAGTGCTAGATACACTATATCCTAATAGGTTTCTTTCCTCATATAATCCAGTTAACCTTGGGTCAAGTGCTGTACATGGAAGAAAACATATCCGTGTTAACATGCACGAGTTTTGTTTTGCCGAGCATACCGACCCTGACCCCACATATAAAGCAGCTTTTTGTGGTGTTGCTTTTTACTGACTAAGCAAAGATGATTGTATCAGGGAAAAGGCGCGTAGCTCCTCCTTAGCTTCAGCAGACCTTGTGCCTTGAAGGTTCACAGTGATAAGATTGGGAACACTTTCAAACAGTATAGACCAAATGGACATGTGCATAGAACACAAACAAATGGGAAGTATTCAACACTGGACTCTCCATTTGATTGTTGACATGGCATCATTGCATCACTGTTCCAGTAAATTCATTTGAAATATAATCCTTTATCTGAAAATCATGGTTAGCAGGAAATCCCCCCCAGCTGCCTCAGTGTTCAGAGGTCATTACCTGGTAATGTACTGCTGAATGCAGTCAAAGCTGCCCTGCGGGTTGTCTCTGCCCACATGGGACAGGTAGAACGTAAACCCTTGTGCTTCACTAGAGCTCTCTGTTCTTGGTATTGAGATTTTCTGTTGACAAAAAAAACAAAGTTGAAATTAGCAGTATACCAACACATTTCTACCCATGTCCCATTTACCATCTAGAAATGTAGATCTTTAATAAAGTGAACAGTGAGATTCATGTGCGAGCTGAAGAGTTACAGTATATGTCGTGGAGACAGGTGTGTTTTTGTTATGAGAGTTAACCACAGTTCAACGCAGGCCAACTCCTCCAACCACTAACCACCATCATACAGAACTATTCTACTATAAACACACTACATTCTGGAATGCTCAAACTACACATTTACTTCAATTATACATTCTGTTTCTGTATTCCAAATGCTGCAACTTTTAGTTTGCACAGTGACCGATAGAATATGTTTAGTATAAGTACCCCTTTAGCTTTGCAATCAGCTCATCTTCCTAGGCCCAATTTACACAACTGTGTATTCCCCCCACTGCATTAATGCGTCAATGTCACACGACGAGTTAATCCAATACATTCAATAAAAGAATCATGCAGAAGTCAAACATGTCAGTTTCATTTTAGTCCATAGATGTGCATACATGGAATGGAGTTTGCATCTTTCAAGACATTTCTTAAGAGATTTCCTACAGTTAAGGGGTGAGATGTTTTCATTTTGTGTTCGTTGGTTACTGCGATACGTTATCATGAAGCCAGAAATGCAAACTATATCATCCAATTCAAAATAGGAAACAGGAATTTGTTTGAACAATGAAAGCAAGAGTCAATGCAATAAGGGTAAATATTATTTAAAAAAAAATCGATACAAATATAATATACTGACGCAAAGAATGAGGATTAAAAAGTGGAATTCTTTGGTGAATACCGTTTGCATTTAGTTTATATACATCAAATGCATATTTTTGAGTCATAAAACCTAAAATGTTTAGGTCAACAATTGACAAATCTGCTTTCTAACAGCTTTAATTTAGTAAATGCAGTAATTATATTAGTGAATCTGGTTCATGTTGATTTATAGATAGTAGATATGGCATGACACTACAGTGGCACAGATTGGCAATAGTTTGATACCAACACACTTGTATTTACACATTAACAGTCCTTTTAGGTCCTAAGATCACCCCCACCCTCCCCCCTCCGGGAAGATGCAGAGGGTATGATTCTGTTATGGCAACGTTAAAGCTGCATTACACAACTTTCCTGACGCACTCCGTTAGGTCTTTGTTGCCTTGGAGATGTTACCGCTGGATAAAATGTAAAATTTACACCAACTCAAGGCTCAGGCTGCCCAAGAGCAGGACAGAACACTGATGGTGCTTTCACACCGGATCATGCTGCGTCGACTTTCAATGCAAAGTCAATGGTGACGCGTGTTCGAGCGTTGAACTGCCTGTGCGTCTCGGGATGCACGCACGGACTGCGCGGTAGCGACGCACGGACTGCGCGGTAGCGACGCACGGACTGCGCGGTAGAGACGCACGGACTGCGCGGTAGAGACGCACGGACTGCGCGGTAGAGACGCACGGACTGCGCGGTAGAGACGCACGGACTGCGCGGTAGAGACGCACGGACTGCGCGGTAGCGACGCACGGACTGCGCGGTAGCGACGCACGGACTGCGCGGTAGCGACGCACGGACTGCGCGGTAGAGACGCACGGACTGCGCGGCAGCGACGCACGGACTGCGCGGCAGCGACGCACGGACTGCGCGGTAGAGACGCACGGACTGCGCGGTAGCGACGCACGGACTGCGCGGCAGAGGAGCGGAAAATTGACGCACGCAGGAGATAAATATTGTTGAACGTTTCCTCGGGACGCTCGTGCAGCGACCAATCAGAGAGCGGCAAAGTGGTCACGGGGACATTATTGGTCTGAGCGAGCAGACTGAACATACTGCAAACAGCCAAAACAGGAGCTACACCAGGACTAAACCAGGACTAAACCAGGACTAAACCAGGACTAAACCAGGACTAAACCAGGACTAAACCAGGACTAAACCAGGACTAAACCAGGACTAAACCAGGACTAAACATATGCGTTCTCATGCTCCCGTGACTTTATGCAACTGCTTCGAGCGTGTTCGCCGATGTGGAAGTACCGTTTAATAATAAAATAAACTTATGGCGCACCTCCGTGAACACATACTGTACTACTCTTTTATAAAGTCTCTGGACACAGACGCTGCAGAGCTGCATTATTGGGGAAGAACTTTACACAAAAAGCCTCTAGCTCAACTCCGTTAGCATCAAAGTACTCCCGCTACTTCTGCCACTTCCGGCGGGCGCAACCGCAGCCCAGGACTTCTGGTGCGAAGACCCCTGCGTCTGAAAATTAGAGAATGTGCGTCTCGTGCGTGAGGCCTCAGCATTCCAGCGTCAGCGACGTGAAAGCACCTTAAGGGAAGTCTTTCCGCCCTGAGGCAAACCCCCTCCCCTTTCAAGGAGAGGTAGTGACTTTTTTTTGCACATATCTTTTCCTCAATGATGTCAATGTTTAATACAATTTTAGAAACACTATTTTATGTATATCAATGTATTTATGCACTCACTTGGTAACAAGTAACAAATACTTATTCCAGTCTACTAAAATGTAAATCGTGACAAGCAAAAACCAGACTATCAGACTATATTTGATGAGAAAGTCTGATAAAACATTTTAAAGCTTCCGTCCAAATATACATTAATCTTCAGCCCCTTATTCCATTTCTGGGTAATTTATGTGGCCCTGGCACTTAAAGCCTCAACCCAATTCTCAAACACCAGCACACGGATTGGTTTTTCAGCAGAGACCAACTGAGCCACTGTCGCCCCTACCGTCCGAATATATGATGCATATAAACACCCAGCCACTTATGCAGATCTACTTCAACATCTGAAGTGATGTTTGTTGGGCCAAATTTAACCAATTAGGCTTTAGTCAAAGTCTCTTAATGAGCGAGAAACCAAGGCCAATCAGGCCATATCTCCTGTTCTGACACCACAGCGGGTTCAAGACTGTTTACCCATGGCTGACATGAAGGCTGCAGGTGCTCAGCTCAACAGAAATCCTCATCAATCTCCCAGTCCTCAGAAACAGCCTAAGAGTTTCTCTCAATCCAATCATTCACCATTTTAATAAGAAATACCGCATGTTCGTTAAAGAGAAGGCATTAAGTGAAATCATGTTGAATGGGAATGAATAAATTATAAAAACACTGTATATTTACATATACAGGGCAAATCAAACTAGGCAAACTTCAATTTACAGATTGAGGGAAAAATTATTTTTTAAATAAATTATTTAAAAAATCAGACAAACGATAGTGGTGTTTCATCAATAACGCAGTTCACCTTTCACAGCCTCAACGTTTTGTGGATTTTTTAAACTGTAATTTTACTTTTAAAGCGTGCTCTTCATGCTCTACGTGTACATTCACAGCACTGTGTTAGAGGACGTCTCCACAGATTTAAGACCTGTGTCCAGCCCAACTTAAAAAGGTGGGACCAGTAAAACAGGCTCTGTCACAATGAAACTTCAAAATGAGAAAGTATTTTAAAAATGAATAGAACAAACCACATACTTTGGGTGATATCACTGGGTAACAAAAACATATTTTTTGAAAATAGTCCAGGGTTTTTCAGCTGAATTAGACTAATGTTGAGGCTCTGAGTCCGAAAAGTCCCAGGATTTTTTGCTACAGAAATATTTTTTTTAATCGATTTTGCGTAAAAAACAAATTTCTGCGGATCATCAGCTGAGAAACCCTTGACGTTTTTTCCGTTTTCCTCAAGAAATAAAAGTCAACGTATCCAAAGTCATTCAGTTTTTATTTACGCCATCAAATTTTATAAACAGAATTCATAATAACGTAGACGTACATCTGTAACACTGGCTGTATCTCACAAAGTTGACATTCGGACTCAGAACACCAACATTAGTCTAAATCAGTTGAGAAACCCCTGACCATTTTTTGGCTGTCAACTTGTGTATTCAGTCATTTACAAATGTCAATAACAAAAAGTGTCCGCACACCTTTGATTGGTAATGCATTAAAATCAGTATGGGTTCGAGTAGTTTGCCCTTTTTCTGAAGCACATGCAGAGAGCCGTGTACTGTCACACAATCACGTTCAGGCCTCTTACAGCAGTTAGTTTGTAATAATAGATTTTCAGATGTTTTTTGTGTGACTCTGTATCCTTCAATAGTTTATTAAACTTCTGATGCTTCATACCTATACTTCGGTGTATGCTTTTACTTTTAGATGTTAGGGTTTTCTAATCTTCACATTACTTTTGGGACATCTACTCTTTTAGCATGACAAAGTTTTAGCATTTTGCAATACTCAAACTTTGTATATGGTTTAATCTAAAAAGGTTAACTATATTTTTAAACTTCCATGTCTTGCATTTCAGTAACACGTTGTGGTACTTTTATTAGACTCAAAGAAAAGATCCTGTTTTTGTTGAATGTTTGATGAATGGAAGCTTCTTTCATGTGAGCCGAGCCATCTGCTGTAGAAATGAGCCACTTTCACACTTAGACTTCATTTCAGAATTCAACAACACACGCTGAAACACTACCACTTCAGTTGAATCAATTACAGATTGTCCTACTCTCAGTATTAAACTACTATGTTAGTTCAATACAAGTTTTCCTCTTCTAGAAGATTTTAGGACAAGCTACGGTCCCTTCCACAAGTTTCTAAGGTGCACATATTACCAATGCTGCATGCCTAGTTCTCCATGGGCAGGCCGGCACTTGTACAGCCTGTGGGAAACTTATAATTCACTGAAGTGAAATATAAGCAGTTTTCAGCTAAAGAATAGAAGCACGAGTTCAACAATTTCTAAGTAGATTTGGTTGGATACTGAATTGTGGTCAAAGTACCAAAGCAGTATGTCGTTTTAAAGAAGCTATACCCGATTTTTTTTTTTTATGAGTTCATACAAATGCTTATTACTAAATAAAAGTTGTATTATAATCCGTAATTTAATTGAAAACTGATTCAGCTTGTGTATGAATTCAGGTCGTAAAAAGTCACTTGATAAATTCACAAAGTACCATTTCTTTTTTTCTTTCAATGATCATAGCGGAGGTCAGGCCTCTGCTTCTGGAAATGTTTGTTCCACACATACTAAAAATGGACAGCACATTGTTTTAGATGCATTTGTACTTAAGCTATACCAGTTTCTGCAAGGTTTGAATGTTTAGCACCGCCCCTCAACTCGCTCACAGGTCTCTCATTTGGGCTTATTTCCAAATGGAAGATTACAAAGCAACGCTCAAACTATTAACTGGACTTGAAAATGAAACTGGTCTGAAGTGGAGTATGGAGTTCATAAGGTAAGACCATAACACACCTTAAAATGTGCTTTTTACATTCTTTGTATGAGCAAACAATTCAGACACAAAACATATTCCGCTGTTGCTAAAATTACACACACGATTGTGGTGATGTCAGTGCCTCACCAACCTCACGTCACTGGTTATTACCGAGTGCTGGGGTTCAGATAGTAACCAATGACCAAACACTCTGGTAACCCAAATGAGACACTAATTATGCTTTGTGATTGTGCATATTCTAAGCCTTTTACCCAATCAGCGCAGAAGTACCAAATAAAAAATAATATGCAGAAAAGTACCAGTGAATGTTGAATGACTGCGTCTGTGCATGACACAGTAAAAGTAGAAAAAATAAGATAAGCTTCCTGAAGGCTAGGAAGGAATTCATTTATTTTTATTATGGCTAACTCCAACTTTATTTCTGAGAAGATGGGCTTCGGTGCGGTTGGTTAAAAACAGCAGTCACTCAGAGCATGACAAAGGCTGACTCGACAGGAGACAATGTTAAAGACTAGGGAGGGAGTATGAAGCAGTAGTAAATAGAAAAGCATTTCATCAGTGTTGAGAAACCTTTTCATAATTGCCAGATCACAAGAGGTGAATGAAAAGCCCTCTTACCCCTTGGTTTCCATTAAATCTGATCAATGGTCGCGATGACAGCACCTGTAAGAGAGAAAAGCCATTATTGTTACATATGACATCTTTGACGCGACAGTGCTTCTGAGCGTACTAGTGTCCACTCAGTGGGATCACAGAAAGAAATTACTCAAACAGATAAAGAGTCACTCAGGAGACTTCGTAATCTTATGCTTTGGAAATTCACTCATTGTGCCATTGTGGTTTCCTAATAATTTCATCCAAATCCACCCGTTATGGTGCAAACTATTTTACGAACACTGTTGATTACAACCTCCCCCCGTATCAGGGGTGAGGTTGTCAAAATCTGAGGCGTTCCAAATTTTGACTAGGGCACATTTTTCTCATGTCCAATACTAAATATTGCCAAAAAAAATCCTAAATTAGTTTTGTGCAACAGTTTCATATTGTTAATTCAAACGAAATCCTGGAAATAAAAGTAAATCATAAAGGCTATATGTTTTTTAATGTGGCCATAAATGCGTGAAAGCCAGATCCCGTCAGACCACTGAAGCTAAGCAGGGCTGGGCCTGGTTTGCTATGTGATGAGAGACCTCTGGGAACAACAAGTGCCACAGTGGGGCGTCTCTGACTATAAAGTGCCAAACTGCCGTTGTTTCATTAGGCAAGACACTTCAGCCTGCAATGAATCTGGTTTGTGCATGGTTGTGGTTGGTGGTGGCCAGAACACTGATGGTATATACTGGTCGTCACGGTCCATCAGTGTGCCCTGTGTATGGAGTGAAATAATGTCATGTTAAGAGTGTCCAAATAAACTATATAAAAACACTGCATTAATGATAATAATATGAGGCTCATTGATAGTATCACAATGAACTGGATAAACTATTCAAATATAATTGAACATATTTGATGTCCAACATATCAATGGTGCTGCATTGTCAAGGCAAACCGTGAGAAAAATGGGTCAAATCTCCCAGGACAATAGGCAGCACTGTCACTCCATATCAATACTTTCACTTGCATGACTCAAAAAACAAGCGTACACGTTCTGTCCTTAATAGTATATGAATCATCTTCCATAATAGTGCAGGTTTTCAACATTTAATTGTTAGATACATTTAGGAGCGAAGCTCAGTCCAAACAAAGCAGAAAGTTAACGGCTCTTTTCTAACCATTTAAGCAAGGCACAGACATTAGCCATGTTTCTGTGGAGGGAGTAAATGTATGCAATTATTAAAATGAGAACCAGTGGTCCCCAAGTAACTTCCTTCACCTTACCAGCCAGGCCCTTCTACACTATGACAAAGTGGTAAAATCCTGTGGTTCTGGGAGAATGTCTAAAATAAATTTAGTGACGATGATATAATTTTTTTTCCGACAGCCAACCCCTTCCTAAAAATGGGTGTGTAGTGTGCTAACCAATGGCAGGACTCTTAACAAAAATCACAATATTGAGTCACGGTTTTCTTCTGATGGGCATCAACGGCGTCTCAGCCTTTCCAGGAGCGACATACCTTTCATGGAGCTTAGCCCTGCAATGTTTGAGCCTGCACCCCTTTTAGCTCTCCCCCTCCCCCGCAGCACTCGCAGCAGTGCTAACATAGTGCTACACTCAGCCTGTTCATTTGAATGGGCTGCTGACATGTCACTATTCTGTGGGACCTGAGCCCAGAATGTTCCATAGGGCTAACCCAAGGGCCAGAGGAGCTCCTAGCGAGAGAAAGGCCCCACTAGGAAACACCAGGCCAGGGAGCGTCCATCTGAAATGATGATAAAGTTAAGTACACTCTGGACATATCACAACAAGAGCAAGGTCTGGACTGCTGCCATCAATGAAATGTAGGAAGTGCATTTATTGCTTCACAACAGCAGTTTCTTTGGAAAAAGGTTTTGGATAAACGTGTACCCAAATCCAAACATTTGTCCACAATTTGAGTACAATTATAGACAACAATCTATAAAATATAAATTCTATACATATTTTCATTTATTAACCCAATATCGTTTGGGAATACGCACGTAGTTTCCATGATGAATAAATAAATTTTTTTAAAAGTTAATTATATCTTCAGCATTTTGTTTGTAATTTCATTTACTAAACTTGGCCGGGTCATTTTCCTGCCATTATGCATAAATTATGCATTTCTAAACAAGAACTTAAAGAAAAACTAGACTCATTGGCAAAGGAATTCCCTTTAATAGTTACAAGAAAGTTTTGCTTAAAAGAGCGATGCAACTGCACTAAATGTCTTCAAAGTTGAACTTCAGTACAAGTTTGCGAGCAAACGTCTACACAGATCTATTCATAGAGAGGCTTAATGCAAATAACAGTGACACAGAAGTGCAGGTCCCACTCTTGCCCCTGCTGCCAAAGAGCTCTTTGTTTTGGAGCAGAGGCACAGAAACAGCAGAGCTCAAAGCCCTGCGCTCTCTGCAGCCGCACACTGTCAGGCCTTTAGTCGTCTCTAATGAGAAGGGCCACATTTCACACTTTCACAAGACGATGGGGACTAGGACAGCCAGCCTGAAGCAGCTTCAACAGTAGTGCTACAGTTTATCTTTATTTTTTATCAAAAAGACAGACAGTTGCAACGGAGTGGGCTATGCCGAACACTTTCAACGAGTATAGAGATGGACAAACGGCACACTCATGCACAGCTTTAAGTCACCGGCAGTAATAAAAAAAGAATCACTTACTGCAATCTTGAAAACAAAATCAAAAATATTAAATATTTTGCCATTACAGGTTTGTCTGTATGTATGACAACCTTTTTAACGCAGTCCAATGCTATAGTCATATGAAACTAAGATAACATTGAAATGTGCAGAGTAAGATGGGGCATATTTATCTGCCATTTCTTCCAGTTCAACATTTTGAAGATTGTTTCAGGCGTAGCCTCAGCACTTGGAACAGAACGAACTGTGCTGCTGTCACATAAGGTCACATACAAACTCTACAACATGGACAGCATGTGGGTGCTTCCTCATTTCATACATTTTCAGAGCCTGTGGGCTGGAGAACAGAAGTTAGAGATAAACGTGCTTGACCCGAACATTTCTGATTGTCCAACTTTGGTATCCAAAGCAGCCTGCACATCAAAAGCTCAACCAAAGTGGCCCAAACAGCAAATTCACACTGTGCTCGTCGTTGTAGCGCCTCCCCATAGACTTTGCCTGTAAACCTAACGCTGTGGTGTGAATGCAGCTAAAAGCTTTGGCCAGAGTCCAACAGCTCAGCTGTTTTATCAGGCTGATACAGAGAAATTCCTGAGAGATTTGAACAGAGCGGCCAAACCCGATGTGCAAAATCTTTGATTCACACAACATTGCAGAAGCAGTTTAATACTAATTTAATTCAGAAATGTACACACACACACACACACACTGGTGGTGATACCTACTGCATACTGCAAACTGTAGTTTTTTTTGGTATCATTTAAAAACCTGTATGTGAATGTATGTATACATTTATACAAACAAAAATATCCCAAAAAACGTTATTTGAGGAGCAAAGAGCACATTGACGCTTACACAACAAGGAACATGACACGAGTGAGTCAACGTGCTCAGCGTGCAGTGACACCGGGTTACCATGGTCCCACACACGCTGACATTTCGAGTCATATTTGGCCTGAGGAGCATTGGTCATCTGTAAAGCTCCGGAAAGTGAGGACTCTGCATTCTTTTAATAACCCAAGCACAAGACAGACCGAGCATTACATCTCCATTACATCCCCACAGCCGCCAAAACATACGCATTACACAGGAGACCTAATCTGGGACGAAGGGGGCAATATCAAAAGCAATTTACTGGTTGATGTGTATGTTGAGAAAGTGCATCTAACCCCATGAAGATAAAGGGATGACTACTAGTAGGTCTGGGCAATGCAACATCTTACTTACCCCTATAACCTCCACCTCAATTATTCAGATTATTCATTTGGGGCTAAATAATAAAATTTTGAAACGTTACATATTTATTCAGTTTCATTCTGCATAAAACAATCAGCTATTCATATTTAAAACAAGAGAGACGTTTTCTTTTGTCTGAATTGTCCCTTAGTTTCCTCGTCACATGCTTTTACACCCAAGCAGAACTTTGACAATTAGAAGTGATCATCCATGACTGAACTGTAGCATAACCTGACGCACAGAGCAATTTCTGATTCAAAACAAATACTTGATTGTTTTGCCAGACGTCCTACAAACACACAACAAGAACAAAAATACACGTGGCAGCCATAACTCGAGCTGAGCTTCTTATTTTTACCCTTTTGCTTTATTTATAGTAACAACAGAGCAAGACAGGAAACTGGGATCAAGCCGTGAGTGGCACAGAAAGTAAAGAAGGACGTTGCTGTGGCTCCTTCATGAACCACACATGAAACCATCTTCACAATCTTTCCCAAAACTACAACCGCTGCTTACATCATGGAGACTTCATCAGAATCATGACTCTGCCCATTCCTCATAGTTCTGTCCACAGCTATAGCCCAGTGACGCTAGAGTGGCCTTAGTCACTTCCTGTCTGATGTCAGTTAGTAAGTCCCGCCCCCCTCCCCTCTACTCTACTCACAAATATCAACACAGACCAGCTGACTGTCATGTCTTCTGAAGCCGTACACGTAGACAAACAGTCCTCAGATGACTCTTCAACACACTTTAATTAATGTGTTATTCAAGCAAAAGCAAAATTGTAAACAAAAATTACACATGTTTTGCTTAAGTACTGAACAACAATATGCTTTGCACATATTGTCAATGCTTTGGCCAGTCCCAAAAACAAATTTGGATGGACAATTTTGGAACTACTTCATGCCACTGGTGCAAATAATTCAGTAAAAAGCATTAGCTAAGAAAATTAACTTAAATATGACATTGGTAAAGGTGCACTTTATCCCCGCAAGGCAATTCATTCTCTGCATTTGACCCATTTTGATGCCACTTGGGAGCGTCTATCAGGGAGAACACGCACTCCACTCAGAAAGACCCTGTTCAGGCCAACATAATGTGTGTGTTTGTGTGATACATATATCTCTACTTGGTACAAACTTGATTTAACCATACTGGACTTTTCCATTAATGTATGTAAATATATTGACGGGAGATTGCTATCATAAGGACTAACACCTCCATGAACTGTTGGGATTCCTTTACAGGCTCGTACCGGCAGCTTCTGATGTGATGTGATTGACCCCCACATTTACATAACCATTTCCATGTAGCCACACAAGTCGGCTCATACAGTTATCCTTGTATCCACTATGTCCAGAGGCCTTTCAACAATATATGTACATCAAAGTAACGCATGTAACCTTCAAGAAGTGTGTGATCTATGAAAAGAGTGCTTCACATTTAGTCAGAAAAAGTGAGAAGTGGGTAAGTCGCCCCAGGCCTTCAAAGACTATTATGCTTCTAAGATCTTGTCGGGGCACAAATATGAGCAGTCCAACCTCCACCAGTTTCTGTAGTATGCAAATGTTTCCATACAAACACGTAAACTTTAGTTAGAAGAAGTTAAGAAACATCTACAAAAGAATGGGGGGGGAACATAAACAACTTGAAAACTGCCTCTGTGCAAGATTATCAAAATAATAATCTCATGGTGTTAGTTATGGTGCTTCACAATCACCAAGGGCCAGAAGGCTGACAGATAACTTTCTCTGCATTAGCACCATCTCAGAGTTAAGATTTAAGAACCTCTGGTAATGGTGGTTTTATCCATCTGAAGTGCATTTCAGAATGAGTCCTGATACACTATGGTCTGATGGGATTTGGTTACACATATACTGCTTCAAGGGCCACTATATCAGCTACTGGAAGTCACGAAATTACCCGTCAGCTTTATTGTTAGGGCTTATCTGAGACACTGTGCGGCACCATAGCCACCGAGCCTAGAGATAATGCCCTTTCCTCCTGCCCGGCCAGGTTTTCCCTGTCAAATATTTATAGAAGCTGAAACATTAGATGGCCATCATCAGACTGCTAGCTCTCTGCTTAAGGAGCAAAGCAAGCTACAAACCAAGCGCACATAGAGTTGGGTTAGAAAAAAACCATAGGTGGTTTATGAGACTTTGTGAGAAGCTTGAGGCATTTATTTCTAGAGGTGTTAATGGATACTTCTTCTATACGACTTTGTTATTTGATACAGATCCGAGGAAACTGGTTGCAAGAAGCATAAGGACTAAAAATACACAACCAATGAAGTAAGGCCTCGCCTATTTGAACTCATACCTTGACGTTTGGTAAAGTGGAGCTAGTTTAGTGGCTAGCTTGTCTGACGATGGACATATTGACAACTCAAAGATACAAGTATTATCTAAACAGATCATGACATTAAAGAGCTTAATGTGGAGTTGTGGGAACAAGGTGGAGACACAAAATGTGATCTAGAATAACTTGAAAATGAAAAACAGCGCATAAAAGAAGTGTTGGTGTCCAGACGAAGCTTTAGCAATCTAAGTCTGGGTGTAGCTTGTGGCAGCAACAGCCTCTTGGCAAACTTTACAAGCCTGTGGTCTGTTCACGACACTTTTGAAGCCCAAGCCCTTTACTGCTGGAGTGACTATAGCAGCGTGAAGGCAGCAGACACGACTGGTCTCTCCCTCTCTAGTCTCTCTCTCTGGTCTCTCTCTCTCTCTCTGGTCTCTCTCTCTCTCTCTGGTCGGTCTCTCTCTCTGGTCTCTCTCTCTCTCTGGTCTCTCTCTCTCTCTGGTCTCTCTCTCTCTCTGGTCTCTCTCTCTCTCTGGTCTCTCTCTCTCTCTGGTCTCTCTCTCTCTCTGGTCTCTCTCTCTCTCTGGTCTCTCTCTCTCTCTGGTCTCTCTCTCTCTCTGGTCTCTCTCTCTCTCTCTGGTCTCTCTCTCTCTCTCTGGTCTCTCTCTCTCTCTCTGGTCTCTCTCTCTGGTGTCTCTCTCTCTCTCTCTGGTCTCTCTCTCTCTCTCTCTGGTCTCTCTCTCTCTCTCTCTCTGGTCTCTCTCTCTCTCTCTCTCTCTCTCTCTCTCTGGTCTCTCTCTCTCTCTCTCTCTCTCTCTGGTCTCTCTCTCTCTGGTCTCTCTCTCTCTGGTCTCTCTCTCTCTGGTCTCTCTCTCTGGTCTCTCTCTCTGGTCTCTCTCTCTCTGGTCTCTCTCTCTCTCTCTGGTCTCTCTCTCTCTCTCTGGTCTCTCTCTCTCTCTCTGGTCTCTCTCTGGTCTCTCTCTCTCTCTCTCTCTGGTCTCTCTCTCTCTCTGGTCTCTCTCTCTCTCTCTCTGGTTCTCTCTCTCTCTCTCTCTGGTCTCTCTCTCTCTCTCTGGTCTCTCTCTCTCTCTCTGGTCTCTCTCTCTCTCTCTGGTCTCTCTCTCTCTCTGGTCTCTCTCTGGTCTCTCTCTCTCTCTCTGGTCTCTCTCTCTCTCTCTGGTCTCTCTCTCTCTCTCTGGTCTCTCTCTGGTCTCTCTCTCTCTCTCTGGTCTCTCTCTGGTCTCTCTCTCTCTGGTCTCTCTCTCTCTCTCTGGTCTCTCTCTCTCTCTGGTCTCTCTCTGGTCTCTCTCTCTCTCTCTGGTCTCTGGTCTCTCTCTCTCTCTCTGGTCTCTCTCTCTCTCTCTCTGGTCTCTCTCTGGTCTCTCTCTCTCTCTGGTCTCTCTCTGGTCTCTCTCTCTCTGGTCTCTCTCTCTCTCTCTGGTCTCTCTCTGGTCTCTCTCTCTCTCTCTCTCTCTCTCTCTGGTCTCTCTCTCTGGTCTCTCTCTGGTCTCTCTCTGGTCTCTCTCTGGTCTCTCTCTCTCTCTGGTCTCTCTCTCTCTCTCTGGTCTCACTCTGGTCTCACTCTCTGGTCTCACTCTGGTCTCACTCTGGTCTCGGTCCTGTCACAGCTGCCTGGAGTCGCACACTTCCAAAGAGAACCCAAACGTCCCTTACCTTGGCGCTCTGGTAGCCTTCAAACGCTCTCAAGGCGCTGTCAGTGAGTTTGACGTGGAAAACGGACACATTACTGCCATTGCTCACTCTGCCACAGGACAGTCCGTAGCACTGCTCCTCCTTCAGCGCCGCCATCTTGCTGCCGTTCCCACGCGCGCGCACGCACTGCTGTCGTAAAGAGAGAAGTCCCGGTGCGCGTGAGCCCGTGTCCAATGAGCAGCGTTGAAGCTCGGAGCAGTTAAGCCCCACCACACGTGATGCTCCGGAGCCACAATCATGCTTACAAGTAACATCTCAAAGGGGAACGTCTATTGTCAAGCCATTACATCAACTACTGCTTTAAACCATCTGGATCGAGTTGTTTGTTTTTTTAAATCAGCTGTTTTTACAACTACTCTAACATTATCTAGAGCAGTGTTTTTCAACCAGTGTGCCGTGGTACATTAGTGTGCCTTGAGATGTTGTTTGGTGTGCCTTGGGAAATATTCCAATATCACATAATTGGTCAAAATAATGTGAAAAGAAAATCATGTGAGAAGATTAGAAAGACTTTTTGGGCTCGTTTCATTTTCTATTAATATCTACCTTGATTTGAATGACTTTGCTTTCATACTAAAAGCTACAAAGTTCCATGTTTGTATCAGTTTCAGCCGGTGGTGTGCCATGTGAGTGTCTTCAACCAAAAAGGTTTGCCACGGCTACAAAAAGGTTGGGAAACACTGATCTAGAGCACAAAACGCATATCTTCTTGATAGGGCCTAATGACTACCTGGAAAAGATAAAGGAAAACTAATGGTCATCACATCAGTCTCATTGCGTCAGAAAGACGTCAGCCACAGTGAGGGATCCCCTATTAAAGCAGTCAAGCAAACAATGGACATTATGTATATCTACAATCTGCATTTTAATACCATTATAACGTACATGATCGACTTACCTTAAGTTGAAAACAATAAGACAAAAACAAAATACTTTTTAGGTTTTATTCTGAGAAACAATTACTTAAACAATTTAACAAAGCAAGGAATGTGTGTTTTTAAAAGTACATTATCTCAATGATTTGCCAAAACAGGAATAATCAAACCAATAGATGAGTCTAAGCATCAAATTTAAGGAATGTAGACTGGAAATAAAAATAATAATCTAACGACACATAAATCTAAAAGATACAGTGTTGGAACCAAAAAAGTCTACATACAAGAACAAGTGATAAAATAGTGGCAGTGACATGCATTCATTCACATTTGTTTGCGCATATCGTATATCAAATTTAGCATTTATATGTAAACCCCAAGTCCAGCTCAGTCATCGTGGGCAATCATCAGTGGCATCTATACCCACAACTCTGGTTCAAAGGAATGGCCTGATGTGCTTCCTGGTATAGGCTTTCTCCTGTCGCCCATTACCACACGCTCGGTTCAGTTTCTAGCAGCTATGACAACAGATAATGCTACACCACCAATGGCTACAGCAGTGGCTCCAAATAGCCATTTCCAACTGAGAGCCTGGGAAAAGAATAAGTGAATGTGTCAGTAAAAGATAAAAGTTTAATGACATAATACAAAAGTTGTTACCCATGAAGCTCTGGCTGTGCGTTTCTGTGAACTGCCACTGGGACTCGAGGGGTTACCCAGCATCTTCTTGTACATGGCCTGCTCTGCTCCTCTTTGCTCAGAATTCTTCTTCACTAATTTGGAGAGCTCTGCATGTATGGTCTAAAGGAATAAACAAAACCAATATCAAATTACTCACTGACTGATTACAAAACCGGCCAGTGGTAGAAGTGAAGAAACAACAAAGTATCAAAGTTCTTGTTTAGTGCAGTGAGCAATGCAAATACTAAATGTTTTATTTACCCAAACTCGGAACGTTTTAACGTGTCACTAACAATGTGCAAGAACTACTATACTAGCAACCGAATCTAGAACGCTTTTTATACACAGACTAGGCTTCACACAAACATTGGCCTACATTTCCTTTATTTTTATTTTTATTATTCTTACATTTACGGTATTTCTGATAATATTTATGGTAGTCACTTTTCTGAAACAGATGCTTAGAAAGGTAAAATATTATATATACATTTGTATATAGTATATTTGTATTTATTTGTTTATTTGGACAGAACATTGTGTATTAATGAACAGTGATGAGGAAAACCAAAAAGCATATTTGATCAAATGTTTGAGAATCCGTGTGACGTAAAGAGATGAAAATTAAAAAGCATGAACGTAGACGGACAGAGGGGCGGTGAACCATTTGGAAAAGATAATGTGTCATTCTGTCTATCTCTTGTTGCTGCCCACCCATTGATATATTTAGCAGAACAAGGAGGCTTGAACAAAATGTAGAAAATGCATTTACATTTTCTACATTTCAATATTTTAAATCTTAATATTTTCATTTAATATATATATATATATATATATATATATATATAAATTATAGTAAGTAACTTAGTAAGTAAGTAACTTTTTATTTATATACCGCCTTTTCACTGCAGATCTGAGTCTCAAAGCGGTTTACAATTGTTAATTTTTGGGCATTTGTCTCTCACTCCACACAGAGATGGGAGCGGGGCCAGTACAGGAGGCACATGCCAGAACTATTGGACATATTTTTAGTGGTAGGGGAAACCGGAGTACCCGGAGGAAACCTACGCAGACACGGGGAGAACATGCAAACTCCACTCAGAAAGGCCCTGGTCCGACCGGGATTCGAACCCAGGACCTTCTTGCTGAGAGGCGAGAGTGCTATCCACTCAGCCACCGTGGATAGCACGTGGATAGTTTACATTTAAAGTGTAGTTTGATGGTTGATCCAACTCTGTCTCTGTACATGCAGCCTATTTACCTTGGAGTACAGCAGCAGCAAGAGTAGGATCAGAAATGTAACTTCTCGTCTTTGATAATTAGCCAGTGCACATGTTTGACAGATTGGCGTAGGGGTTTTCTGGGCACAAGTATGCAGCAGCAGCAGCTTACGGCTGATCCAAAAGCCTACTCACTGAGCTTCATTAGGGAAACGCATACCTACAGTTACTGGCAAAAATCAGTCATACATTGATGTATTGGGATCTGAAATGTTTACAATACATCTGGTTTCAAAACTATACTCATGTATTGGAACATTCAATTGAAAATGTTCTGAATATGTATGGTAAAACAACTTCTCATTTTAAAGTGACAACAAACATTCGATAAAAACCAAAAGTTGAGTCATAAAAACAATTCTGCTAAACATTAGTTACAAAAAATAAATATTTAGCTCCATCTAGTGGTTCAATAGCAAACAGTACCTTATTGCTAGGTTCCAGCTTCAGTGCTTTTCTCAAGGTTTGAATAGCTTCAGTAAATTTACCCTGCAGGGCCAAAACCTTAGCAAAAGATACAGGTTAATAGAAACTTAATGTAAACTAATGGAAATGCATGTAACGTTTACCTTTCCCATTCTAAAAAGTGCTTTAACGTTATCTGGGTGGTGTTCCAGTGCAGAGACGCTAGATTTAAGAGCAGCATCATAGTGATCAAGCTTAAGGTGAGCAGCAGCCATGTTGTTTAAACATTTAACTTTGACGTCCACAAGTTCTCTTTCCTCTTCAGTCGTTATATCAACTGCAAAAGAGTCTGTATAATAAACAAAAACACCAAACAAAACTGTGTCTATAATAAAAACAAACCTTTTGAGTTAGAATCTGTTATTTGCATTGCTATGCTATAGGAGTTCACAGCGAAAGCATAATCCCCACGCTGATAATGGACATTGCCCCTTTCTCTCTTCTCATCAGCCAATGCAATCCTTTCTTTGGGGGGAAGTTTTTCCAGGTCAGGAGAATCAATGGCCTCCAACAAATCCACTTCCAAGGAGAGGTCAGTGTTTGGAGGGACTTCAGGGTCAAAGCTAATGTGCACAGTAATGAAAATAGCATAACAACAAGCCATTACACTTTTGGTCAACATAAGAAAAGGTTCAGTGCCCTACCTTCCGTAAGAACCAAATGCATATTTTGCATCAGTAAGTACCAACGCTTTTTCTCCCAATTCCATGAGTTGTACTGTGAGATCAAGTGCCTAAATGATTTGAATAAAATGAAATCAATCAAATAGATTCATCCAGAAGTGCAAATAAATACAGAGAATCAATGTATTTCTTAACCTGGATGACGTCACCATCTCCAAGAGTGAAGATTATATCAGACGTCTCCTTTATAAGTGCGCCGTCTTTCAGGGCCACCTTTAGATTGATTTTAACAAGTTGTCCTTTACGTGGTCTGCTGTCTTTTCCTTCACCTGGCAGCAGCACTTTTTTCTTCAGCTGATCGTTACCTGTTGTAAGTAGACAGTGACAATACAATGTGTCCAGTCTGTGTCCTTTGATGTGCATTTTGAACATACCCAGTACATCCAGCCACTCTTCTGCAGGGCTTGCATCAGTGTCATCCCCGTCTTTCTGGACATTCAGACTTTCAGCATCTTCCAGAGGAGGGGGTTCATCATCTCCCAGGTCTTCTTCATTCAACACTTCAAAGTCTTCCCCGCTGTCCAGCAATAAGGGTCTGTCATTCCTCTTAGCTTCTTGTTCTTCAGCAGCGACGACCAGGGTGTCCTCCATTTCAGCCATTGTACTGAAAGTAGAATAGGGCAGGCTTACACATGAACACAGCTGACACAATGCAGTCACCATTAAGAACTGTTATAGTCTCACACATGGCCATCAGGGCATACAATATAACTTAGTTCACCTTAAGTTAAGCTGGTTCAGCAGTAGCAGCGACAGCAACAAAGTAGTGATACAGAAATGTTAGCCTTAATCTGATTATCTTTTTGACAATGATGCTAATACAGTGTTGATGTAGATAATTACCGTCAATATCAAGGTAAATGTTGTCTTTGAGCTGGTCCCCTCGCATACAGGGGTGAGGTCGGTATCACATCGGTAAATCTGTCCGTAAATCGCATAAACATGCTCCTAACACCGATGCTAAGCTAACCAAGCTAACTCCGCTTCTGTCAACAAGACACTTCCGGTAACCTTGAATAACTCTGTTCCTATTGGCCAGCGTCAGTCCTACGTCGTAACGAGGATTTCAGTTTGTTTTGTTTGAAAATATTAAAGCTGAGGTGTGTGTGTTTATTCCTAACAAAAAGAGTCTTGTAAAAGTAAAATGTTGTGAAGAAATAGACCACAACACACAGTCTTAATTTTAGAGATCACATTGTCTTTTATCTACTTTTATCTACTTGTATCTACTTGTAAGCGTTCATGGAGAAGCTGGTGAAGCTGGTGAAGCTGGTGACCCATGAGCTGATGGTGACAAATATATACAGTCTATGGTGGTGACACACGTGCAGTGACAACAAGACAACAAAATCTGAAATGTTGCAAATGTATGCAAAAGAGTTTATTTTGCGAAGTAAAACCATCTGTGTGATCCATGGAAGTATTATAATATTGACCAATTTAAGATAAGATAAACCTTTATATGAATGATCCAATAATTTTCTTCCCCATAATCCATTTCTGGGTCGGGGGGGGCGTGCCCCTAACTGATCCTCCTGCAGGTGGTGAGTCCAGAGGAGTATGGCTGCTCTACTGTGAGCTGCCTTGATTTTTCAGCGGGGCTTCAGGCAAAGTGGGGTTAGGTGTCTTGCCCAAGGACACAACCACAGCAGACATCAGTGGGAGTCGTGAAGTAGGTTGCGTTTACCCCAGACTGTAAATGTTACCTATGGATGGACCGTTATTTACGCCAGCTTGACGCAGATCAGAGTATCTAAATACCATGTTGCTGCGTTCATGGTTGTTCTTGCAACTACTGTACAGGGACTTGAGTTCTAGCATACTAAGGGACTCAGTCATTTCAGAGAAATAGAAGCAACAGAAACAACAAAAGCCTGGCTTCAAGCTACTAGAATTTGCAATCATCTCAATCAGGGGGATTAGGGATTTTGAATATAAGAGATCCATGGATACACCATCAAGAATACATGGGTTTGCATTTGCCATCTTATATCAGGTACAGTGAGGCAAAAAAATGTCGCCAATTGTCCTCCCACAACATGTGAGAGATTGACTATGAATAATTATTTTTTCTAATATGGTAAATAGGCATTTAGTCACCCACAAACAAGCAAGATATCTGGCTCTCACAGACCTGTAACTTCTTCTAGAGGATCCTCTGTTCTCCACCTGTTACCTGTACAAATAGCCCATGTTTGAACTTGTTATCTGTATAAAAGACACCTGTCTACAATCTCAGCTATCCCAGAACACAGGGGGATCTAGTGAGTGACCTGCAGAGGGCTGGAACCAAAGTAACAAAGGCTACCATCGGTAACACTACACCGCCAGGGAATCCTGCTGTGCCAGACATGTCCCTATGTCCAGTCCCGTCTTAAGTTTGCGAGAGAGCAGCCCTCCAGAAGAGGGTTGCGAGAATGTTCTATGGCCAGATGAAATCAAAATAGAACTTTTTGATAAAAACTCAACTCGAGTTGTTTCCAACTCCAACACCATTGGGGATGGAAACATCATGCTCTAGGGCTGTTTTTCTGCAAAGGGACCAGGACAACTGATCTGTGTAAACTAAAGAATAAATGGGGCCATGTAAAGTGAAAACCTCCCCCATCCCAATGACAATGATCCCAAACACACTGACTGAGAAACGAAGGAACGGCTTTTAAGAAGCCAGGCCTAGCCAGTTTCCAGATCTCAACCCCAATCTTTGGAGGGAGTTGAAAGTCTGTGTTGTCCAGCGACAGCCCCAAATCATCACTTCTCTAGAATCTGCATGGAGGGATGGGCAAAAATACCAGCAACAGTGTGTGAAAACCTGTTGCTGGTATCATGATTATATTTAGGCCCGAGCCCCGAACGGGGAAAGGGCCTATTGTTTTTGCTCGAGAGATGTCAAATTCTGCACTTTGAGCCTTAATTTCACCCCCTGAACATGCATGAAAAGTTGTAAAATTTTGACCAAACATCAGACCTGGTGAAAAATTTGATATTTTGGTGTTTATTTTTATGGGACTCAAAAAATGCCAGAACAGCGCCACCTACAACAGCCAATGGGAGTTTCAGAGGTCAAGTTTGTCGTAGAGCCATGAAATTCGGTACACATGTTCCTCAAGTCAAGATACGACCGAAATGTTATCATGGCTCCGCCCTCTGACAAACAGGAGGCCCATATATTTCACTGCAAAATGGAAAAATGAACAGCAAAAGTTTTCATACATGTCGGTTGGAAAGCGACTCCTCCTCGGCCGTTTCACCGATTGGCCTCCATATCACTCCACATTGTCTAAACACATGTACCATCAAAATGACCTGAGGGATTTTTGATCAGTGAAACATTGTTTGAGCAGCGGAGCGGCAAAATGTGAGTGTTTATTGGCCGTTTTTCACAACCTTCTATTTGCTCCCGTTTACACATACAAATTCCGATTTGCACAAAACTTGAATCCATGGTTCAACTCTAGGGTCGAGGTCATTTGAAAGTGAAATAATTGAACTTGGCTCATTAACGCCCCCTACAGACTATTTCAGAGTTTTTAGTATGAAAAACTCTGAAAACTTTGACTCCATCTGTAGGGGCACTAATGAGCCAAGTTCTTTTATTTCACTTTTAATTGACCTAGACCCTAGAGTTAAACAATGTATTAAAGTTTTGTGCAAATCAGACTTTGTATGTGCAAACGGGAGCAAATTTAATATTGTCCAAAACGGCCAAAAAAAGGTCACAATTTGCAGCTCCCCTGTTTGAACAACGTTTCACTGATGAAAAATCGCCGAAGTCATTTTCAAGGTACATGTGTTGAGATGATGTGGAGCGATTTTGAGGCGAATCGGTGAAACGGCCGAGGAGGAGTCGCTTTCCAACCGACATGTATGAAAATGATTGGTGTTCATTTTTCCATTTTGCAGTGAAATTTATGGGCTTCCTGTATGTCAGAGGGCGGGGCCATAATAACATTTTTTTCATGTCTTGACTTGAGGAACATGTGTACCGAATTTCATGGCTCTACGACAAACTTGACCTCCGAAAAATCCCATGGGGGTTATTATTAGGCCCGAGCCCCGAACGGGGAAAGGGCCTATTGTTTTTGCTCGAGAGATGTCAAATTCTGCACTTTGAGCCTTAATTTCACCCCCTGAACATGCATGAAAACTTGTAAAATTTTGACCAAACATCAGACCTGGTGAAAAATTTGATATTTTGGTGTTTATTTTTATGGGACTCAAAAAATGCCAGAACAGCGCCACCTACAACAGCCAATGGGAGTTTCAGAGGTCAAGTTTGTCGTAGAGCCATGAAATTCGGTACACATGTTCCTCAAGTCAAGATACGACCGAAATGTTATCATGGCTCCGCCCTCTGACAAACAGGAGGCCCATATATTTCACTGCAAAATGGAAAAATGAACAGCAAAAGTTTTCATACATGTCGGTTGGAAAGCGACTCCTCCTCGGCCGTTTCACCGATTGGCCTCCATATCACTCCACATTGTCTAAACACATGTACCATCAAAATGACCTGAGGGATTTTTGATCAGTGAAACGTTGTTTGAGCAGCGGAGCGGCAAAATGTGAGTGTTTATTGGCCGTTTTTCACAACCTTCTATTTGCTCCCGTTTACACATACAAATTCCGATTTGCACAAAACTTGAATCCATGGTTCAACTCTAGGGTCTAGGTCATTTGAAAGTGAAATAATTGAACTTGGCTCATTAACGCCCCCTACAGACTATTTCAGAGTTTTTAGTATGAAAAACTCTGAAAACTTTGACTCCATCTGTAGGGGCACTAATGAGCCAAGTTCTTTTATTTCACTTTTAATTGACCTAGACCCTAGAGTTAAACAATGTATTAAAGTTTTGTGCAAATCAGACTTTGTATGTGCAAACGGGAGCAAATTTAATATTGTCCAAAACGGCCAAAAAAAGGTCACAATTTGCAGCTCCCCTGTTTGAACAACGTTTCACTGATGAAAAATCGCCGAAGTCATTTTCAAGGTACATGTGTTGAGATGATGTGGAGCGATTTTGAGGCGAATCGGTGAAACGGCCGAGGAGGAGTCGCTTTCCAACCGACATGTATGAAAATGATTGCTGTTCATTTTTCCATTTTGCAGTGAAATTTATGGGCTTCCTGTATGTCAGAGGGCGGGGCCATAATAACATTTTTTTCATGTCTTGACTTGAGGAACATGTGTACCGAATTTCATGGCTCTACGACAAACTTGACCTCCGAAAAATCCCATGGGGGTTATTATTAGGCCCGAGCCCCGAACGGGGAAAGGGCCTATTGTTTTTGCTCGAGAGATGTCAAATTCTGCACTTTGAGCCTTAATTTCACCCCCTGAACATGCATGAAAAGTTGTAAAATTTTGACCAAACATCAGACCTGGTGAAAAATTTGATATTTTGGTGTTTATTTTTATGGGACTCAAAAAATGCCAGAACAGCGCCACCTACAACAGCCAATGGGAGTTTCAGAGGTCAAGTTTGTCGTAGAGCCATGAAATTCGGTACACATGTTCCTCAAGTCAAGATACGACCGAAATGTTATCATGGCTCCGCCCTCTGACAAACAGGAGGCCCATAAATTTCACTGCAAAATGGAAAAATGAACAGCAAAAGTTTTCATACATGTCGGTTGGAAAGCGACTCCTCCTCGGCCGTTTCACCGATTGGCCTCCATATCACTCCACATTGTCTAAACACATGTACCATCAAAATGACCTCAGGGATTTTTGATCAGTGAAACGTTGTTTGAGCAGCGGAGCGGCAAAATGTGAGTGTTTATTGGCCGTTTTTCACAACCTTCTATTTGCTCCCGTTTACACATACAAATTCCGATTTGCACAAAACTTGAATCCATGGTTCAACTCTAGGGTCTAGGTCATTTGAA